CCAACATGTGAGTCATTGCACGACACACCCTCTAAGACAGGCGTGAGGTCCAACATGTGAGTCATTGCACGACACACCCTCTAAGACAGGTGTGAGGTCCAACATGTGAGTCATTGCACGACACGTCCTCTAAGACAGGCGTGAGGTCCAACATGTGAGTCATTGCACGACACGTCCTCTAAGACAGGTGTGAGGTCCAACATGTGAGTCATTGCACGACACACCCTCTAAGACAGCTGTGAGGTCCAACATGTGAGTCATTGCACGACACACCCTCTAAGACAGGCGTGAGGTCCAACATGTGAGTCATTGCACGACACGCCCTCTAAGACAGATGTGAGGTCCAACATGTGAGACGCTCTCTAAGACAACAGGTGTCATTACCAACGATTTGTTGTGTTCTCCCATGAGTTGTATTGCAACCCCATACCATAACACTTCCACAACAGACGACGTTGAGGAACGCAAGCGTCGCTAAAACGTTCACCAGGACGCCTGTAGACCCGTGAACGACCACCAGACCTGGACTCATCTGTGAACAGTATACTGTCCCAGCCTTGTCTTCTGAGTCCCAGACGCTGTCTACATCCAGCTTGGCGGTCCTGACGGTGACGTGGAAACAAAACTGGGTGGATCTCTTGACGTCAGGGCCGGATGTTGCGCTCCTTCAAGCGGTTGCGTTCGGAACTGTCACTAATTGGTATCAATTCCGTAGATGCACCAACCGATTATGGTTGTCTTGTTAACGTGATGTCACACATGGAGGACCGTCCCGTGGCAAGTTATGCGCGGTGCCCAGCTGTAGATAACGTGAGTGAGTGAGTTTGATTTTACGCCGCTTTTAGCAATATTCAAGCAATATCACCAGAAATTGGCTTCACACATTATAACCATGTCGAAAATCGAACCCGGGTCTTCGGCGTGACGAGCGAACGCTTTAACCACTGGGCTACCTGACCGCCCCCTGTTGATAACATCTCTAAAGGGATGTTAGTGTATTTCGATGAAAATTGATACAAATGATGCAAGATACAAATGAGTTAATTCGTAGTTCATGACAATAGACCAATAATACAAAGTTACATAGTTACACATGTTGTCTGCTGAGAGTTACACAAAGTTTACAATTCTTCCCGTATTTTAAATACACATGTGAGATTTTGGCAAGTGTAATTATATAATATGAGAATCTAGATTAGAGATTGAACAAACAGATGTGCTACGTGTTTGGGGGAGTAACACATCTCTTATACTGTTATATAACACATAGTTATACAATATATGTGTTTCATCTTCCGGCACTTTACACATTTTACATAACGCATCATCGTTATTTAACTCACATAGTCCTCCCCAGATGCCTGGGCTATTGTACCGACTTATAAATTATGTTAGGATTCTTTTATATCTAAATTATTCTGCAAGTAATAAATAATATGCACAGGCAAGGATAGATGTAAAGGTGCTGTACATTTCTAAAGATTTGTTGTTAAGCTTATCAGACCACTTTTAGAAAGCACAGTCTTTCATTCTTTGGTGAAATGTATACAGACATCTAACAGGATCCCCCACTTGCTTAGTGCAATCTTCACATACCCAAAACCATGATGGAATGGTATCTTTGTGACGTTGGTAGCTCAATTTTGGCGTTTTCTATCAATTATGCATTGATATCGGCGCCTCTGATGTGACATTCTCAAGAGACGAAGCCAGTATCTGAGTTCAAGATTTATAATAAATAGCGGTTGTCTACCAGTCTCCCCATATGTAACACAGTTTGAGGTTCTATAGCCTACAGCCAAGATAAATTTACAATATTTCCTATGTACAATTTCATTTCTTTCATTACAGTAAATCCGCAAATTTCTTAACCATATGTCAGAATAGGTACGTTCTTCTTATCAAACATCTGGAAGGCAATCGAAATTTTCAGGGAATATATTTAATGTCTGATTCACTCAGGGAATATACATAATCCCTAACATTTTCAGGTATTAAACATATTCCCTGATTTAACAACAAGTTTTTTAGACATATTCCCTGAAATTATTTTTGAGGCTCTTATATAGTCAAACTTGATAATAATAAAAAAAATTATTTATGAGAAGACAAATTTATTTGACATGATAACAAATACCTTTCACTTAACTTAACAATTACTCTTCACTGTAATCAAAACAATGCTACCTCAAACATAGGATAGACTTAACAAACAATTTTTTCGGAAATTCTCCTCTAACTACATCTTGAAATTGTGAGGTAATTCTGTACTGTACTGTTTTGGGGGTTTAACGACCGCTTCGGGGTAGGTGGGGAAAATAAAAAATAAATAATATTTTAATATAGGTAAACACCATACCCCAGACCCGGTGAGAGGGGCATAAACCTAATCCTAAACTACGGCTATAATGTACAGCATGTGTATTAAAATATATAAAGAAAAGATAAGTTAAATGGTAATATAATAAGAGAGTAGAAAGTGCTATATAATCTATCCTAGTAATTGTAAGCTATACTTGAAACAAATGTAAATCATAGTCGGAGGTAACAGTTGTTGCATTAAGTGTTTAAGAAGTCGCCTTCTGGCTAAGCACTTTCGTCTGACCTGTCCCTCTTTGGGACTCCTGTGTGTGAGTAGGGTAGACATATCTATTGTGAGTTTGGTATTTACATAATTTCTGTTTTCGTATTGATATAATTCCTATTTTCGTATATTGATATCATTTCATTTTTATCCTTGGCTGCTCTGTTTATATACGTTCGAGTAGTTGTCCATCTCTCAGAAATAGAGTTAGTTTGGCCTTCGCTATTGCATCTCTTGGCTTAAGGAGATCTATGACAGATGGCAGATCTAACTGCAATTCTTGTTTTATCCAAGCCCGGGCTGGGGCGTGGTCTTAACATTCTAGTAACACGTGAGCAATGGTTTCAGCCTGATTGCAAGAGGAACAAGCCTTGTCATAGTGCTTTTGACCGTGTCTGAGGCATCAGATGGCAATTTCAATTTTCCTTTCATTTGAGTAATGTCACTATGAGTTTGGCTTTTGTTGGACCTTGGGTTGAGGTAATACATAATGTCAGCAGTTTTATACCTTGAATTTCGCATGTTGTTGCAGCTGCAAACTCGTTTGTTTTTAAAACTATTTTTGTATTTCATATGCTAACACTGATTCTTTGATGGCAATGATAACCATTTGTTGTTACAACAATTACTGTAAATCTTGTCTTTGTTCTTTGCGACTGCGTCAAAGGCCGACATGTAAGGTTGGATTAAGGTCAGGATTCTCCTGTATTTCCTTTAGATATAAATCCACTGATGCTTGAGAGGAGGGGTGTCGCATTCATATTGAGTATTATAATCTCATTTCTACCTTAGGTCTTGATTACAGTTAAGACTAATTGTTAAGTTAAGTGAAAGGTATTTGTTGTCATCTCAAATAAATTTATTTTCTCGCTTTTTTTTATCAAGTTTGACCATATGAGAGCCTCAAAAGTAATATCAGGGAATATGTCTAACAAACATGATGTTAAATCAGGGAATATGTATAATACCTGAAAAATTAGGGATTATGTATATTCCCTGAGTGAATCAGACATTAAATATATTCCCTGATTATACTTATTTCCTGGAACATATTTACTCCGTCTTGAAATGAACTGTTACAATGGGTACCGAGTTCATTGATGAACAAAGAGAATAATATGGGACAAAGTGCACTGCCTTGTCTTCCACCACAGGCACTCTAGAAGATGTTGATTTGACATTTTCATACATATTCTTTATAATCTTAAAGTATTTGCCATGAAAGCCATTCTGAAGCATGGAGTATAGGAGCTTGTTTCGGTTAACCATACCAAAGGCCTTTCTAAAATCTATAGGGGGGCACGGGTGGCCCAGTCGTCTTTGGCGCCGCGATTCGCTGTGCAGAGTTGCGTCCCTTGGGCACGCCAGAAACCTATGATTGTAGGTTCGAATCCCGGTTCGCCCCAATTATGTTTCTAGGTGTGTCAGCACCATACCCGAGCTCGTGGAGTTTCACCGAAGTGGTAAACGTCTTAGACCTGCATCACTTCGGGCCTTCCTCCCACATTAAGCTGACACGCCGTGATATAACTAGAATACTGTTAAAAGCGGCGTTAAACCCAACTCACTCACTCACACTCTAAAATCTATAAATGCACAATATACTTTTCCTTTCTGACTCTTTGTAATACAAACACATTGTTCACTGCTGAATGGTCCTTTTTGAAACTTCCATATTTTTGTATTGAAATGTCCAGCAACTTTGCGCCATTCATGTTTGCAGCATACCCACGGCGTGTAGACGCTGATTTCTCAGCAAGTCGAGGCATTGCGTGGACATTATTTACGGTTAAACTAAAGTGCTATTATGAGCTCCTGACAGCTTTACAATTATTGTGTGATGTTCACGTAAAAAAGCCATGTGTGTGAGTATCATGATGCCAACACGGTGAGATGAGATACGGTTTAACCTCGCCACCAGATTATTGCACTGATATAGCGACGTGCATGCATGAGTGTGTGTGTGTGTGTGTGTGTGTGTGCGTGCGTGCGTGCGTGCGTGCGTGCGTGTGTGTGTGTGTGCGTGCGTGTTTGAGTGTGTGTGACTGCTTGTGCTAGTCTGCACTAATGCCGATGTTATAGTCAACCAACCAGCCAACCGGTCCTTGTTTTAGCCCCTTAATGCCGATGGACAGGCAGGGTAACAATAGGTACCATATTTTAACGTCTTTTGGGATGACCCAACCCACGACGACAGACGCGCTATCCACGAGACCATGGAGGCGGTCTATGCTCCCACTAAACACGCACCCATCCAAATTGTGTGTCGAGCATTAACATGCACGTGTAAACTGTGAATTAAAGGAGATGTCTTCAATCTATATTTTAAAGATTATTTCTGAACATATGTGTTTATATTGAACTGTATATGAAATACAGTTGCTTGTGTCCGTCAGTAGAATGTCAACACATTACATCACATTGCAACATAACTGTATTTATTCCTGTAGTAGAGCGGCGTGGACACATGACACAGCTGTGGGTGGTAAGGCGCTGTATCATCCCACCAGGATATGGTCCACTATGGGCTGAGTGCCTGTTGCAAACAAACATAGATAGAGATTAGTACCCAGACATGTGCCTCCTACTCAGTTCACGGACATCGTACGGTCCGAAACAAGCGAGTTAACCAAGCACGAGTATGATAATGTTTGTTTGTTTACCACTGCACTCAGCAATATTCCAGCTATATGACGGCGGTGTGTAAATACAATCCAGTGATTCACATCATGAGCATCGAACCACGCAATTGGAATACGATGACATGCATCAACCAAGTCAGCGAGCCTGACTGTCCGATCCCTTTTGTCGCCTCTTACAAAAAAATATATTTAACAAAAATGCGATGTACATCCAAATATATACAAGTCTATCTAAGACACAGGGGTCGACATGGCATCAAGAATACTGGCTGTGATGGCATAAATATTGTGTCATCACACATGGCATGAACCATCTGTATGACGACTGACACAGACCGCGTGACATCATTACTACACGCGTGTAGACATGGATTTATATCAACTTGTCTTGTTACATTTAAAACAAACCGCTCATTACGTTACCGTCCACATATCGAACACGCATGCATACATACACGTCGATACGCCTACACAATTAGGGAGAGGATGAGTGTAGTTTTACGCCGCTTTTAGCAATAGTCCAGCACTATACCAGAACATGGGCATCACACATTGTTTCCATGGAATCTAACTGGACTTCCGTGTGGAGAGCGACCACTTTAACCACAACGCCACCCGCCTCCCCAGTGATCTTCGGACACTGGAGACACTCACCTGATCCGCTGAGAGACACCGTCAGATCCACACCCGCCTGCCCCAGGGTGAAGTCCTCCTCGCGGATAACCTTCCCATGATGCTTCACTCTCAGTTTGTACTCTCCCTTGAATGCCCGTATGTTAACGTCGTGGTCACGTGATATCGGGAGTGTCTGATTGGTTCTCCAGTCTCCCCAAACTAACTGGCGAACAATCTTGCCGGCAGCGTTCGGCTGAAAATATATATATATTTTTTTAAGAAAACGTACAACTTTAAGGATAACAACTTCTGGTTTAATGCATATAGCGACGTTTCGATGCAGATTCTAAACGGAGTAAGACTCTACATCAAAAAGTCGCTAAATGCCAAAAATAAACCAGAACTTGTTATTTATATAATTGTACGTTTTCTTACTTACTCGCCAACTTCAAGAATGCCAATCAGACAGTGTGTATTATCTTTTCTATATGAACTGTTCTATTACATATAACCGTTCCATAGAGCATGTATGGGAAATATTCACTGCCTAGTCAACCATGTGATAAAAAGAACTTAATATGTTTGTGCAGGTTACGTCTGATACCGAGTAAGTGAATTAATATGGTTTTACGCCGCTTGTAGCAATATTCCAGCAATATCACGGCGGGGGACACCGGAAATGGGCTTCACACATTGTACCCATGTGGGGAATGGAGCCCGGGTCTTCGGCGTGACGAGCAAAAGCTTAAACCACTAGGCTACCCGACCGCCCCTTCTGATACCGAAAACGTATGATGTGAGTTCGGGTGATACTATCTAGCTACGAAGAGTCTGGTATGAAATATTAACCTGGTAGAGCAATACGACATAGCGAGGTATTCACAGCCCTATTAAACAAAGTCATTATGTTTTTATCCATGGAGGAGATTGTAGAAAACCAATAAAGCCTTTAATACATGACATGCTAGAGACTCATTGAACGCCCCTGAATTGCAGGAATTCCCATCGATCAATATTACCGTGACGTTTGGCCCCGAGGTGAGGCTAGCGTTCGGCTTCTTGATGCCCCTGTCCCAAAAGTGCCACTGCGTGATCCCCTCCACGGCGGGGTGGCTGAAGTACAGACGGTACAGGGACTCGTACATCCGGGCCTTCTTCGTCACATCCGGCTGGTTCACGTTCAGAGCGGCGATCATGATAGGAAGACCGACCTTGGCCACTTGGTCCAGCCGGAACTGTGACAGGGAGACAACAAAGTAGACCCAATGTATGGATAACAACTTCTGTATTTACTTAAGGCTACGTTTTGGTATAGATCCTTATACCGTTGTCAAGCAAGGCTGAATAATGAGCATGGTACAAAATATATATAGTATCAAAATGCTGTTACAGTATTATCCTTATGTTGTCATTACCTAACCTACTCTTGTTAATCTCTTTCACATATACAATTATTGTTACTGTGAATCCTCCTCCTACTATATATATATATATATATATATATATATATATATGTCTTGAAGATGTCTTGTATGTGTATACATTCTTAACAAATGTTTTACAGTGTGTTGTAAGAAGTGAGTTTTACGCCGCTTTTAACATTATTCCAGTTATATCACGGCGTGTCAGTTTAATGTGGGAGAAAAGCCCGAAGTGATGCAGGTCTCAGTTGTTTACCACTTCGGTGAAACCCACGAGCACGGGTATGGTGCTAGAAAACATAGAAACATAATCGGGGCTAACTGGGACAAACAATTCATGAGACATAGGGGTTTGGGACCAGCTAGGAATGATGGACCTGCAGACCCTCTTCACCTCATAAGACACAATATTAATTATTTGTCTATGGTGTATGAGGTATTTCATGGACACTCTTTCAGCATAACATTTACACTGAACAAAACCAGTTACAGATCATTTTGGGGGGATATTATTATATATATTATGAAAGTGTGTTCACGATCCCCAACTTCCTTTTGTTCAGTATAGATCATTTTGCAATGCTGACATCTTCGGCGCTGTCCACACAGTTAATACTGAGAGAAACTTTTCCGAGATGATATAACTAAACGCTCACTGAAACCACGCTCACTCACAAGAAAATCGTGAACATTATACTCACAGTGACTGACACAAGTTCACATAGTTATATTGACTCACACGCTTGTACTGACTCACATCCCCACTCTGACTCACGTTCTTACTGACTCACACTGACTTAAATCGACTCACATACTTACACCCATTTACATACCTGACTTACATTGATCCACATCCCCACATTGACTCACATATTCGCACTGACTCACTCACTCACACTGACCCACACTCATATTGACTCACATACTCACACTGACTCACACACTCACACTGACTAACATACACACACTGACTCACATATTCACACTGACTCACACTCACACTGACTCACACACTCAAACTGACTCACACTCACACTGACCCACATACTCACACTGACTCACACACTCACACTGACCCACATACTCACACTGACTCACACTCACATTGACTCCAGACTCACACTGACTAACATACATACACTGACTCACATATCCACACTGACTCACACTCACACTGACTCACATACTCACACTGACCCACACTCATATTGACTCACATACACACACTGACTCACACTCACACTGACCCACACTCACACTGACCCACATACACACACTGACTCACACATTCACACTGACTCACATACTCACACTGACTCACATACTCACACTGACTCACACATTCACACTGACTCACATACACACACTGACTCACACTCACACTGACCCACACTCACACAGACTCACATACTCACACTGACACACATTCACACTGACTCACATACTCACACTGACTCACACACTCACACTGACCCACATACTCACACTGACTCACACTCACATTGACTCACATACTCACACTGACTCACACTGACTCACATACTCACAATGACTCACATACTCACACTGACTCACACACTCACACTGACTCACACTCACACTGACTCACACACTCACACTGACCCACACTCACACTGACTCACATACTCACACTGACTCACACACTCACACTGACTCACACTCACACTGACTCACACACTCACACTGACTCACACTGACTCACATACTCACACTGACTCACATACTCACACTGACGCACATACTCACACTGACTCACACTCACATTGACTCACATACTCACACTGACTCACATACACTGACCCACACACTCACACTGACCCACATACTCACACTGACTCACACTCACATTGACTCACATACTCACACTGACTCACATACACTGACCCACATACTCACACTGACTCACACACTCACACTGACGCACACTCACACTGACTCACACTCACATTGACTCACATACTCACACTGACTAACATACACACACTGACTCACATATTCACACTGACTCACACTCACACTGACTCACATACTCACACTGACTAACATACTCACACTGACTAACATACACACACTGACTCACATATTCACACTGACTCACACTCACACTGACTCACACACTCACACTGACTCACATACTCACACTGACGCACACACTCACACTGACTCACACTCACACTGACTCACATATTCACACTGACGCACATATTCACACTGACGCACACACTCACACTGACTCACACTCACACTGACGCACATATTCACACTGACGCACACACTCACACTGACTCACATACTCACACTGACGCACATATTCACACTGACGCACACACTCACACTGACACACACACTCACACTGACTCACATACTCACACTGACGCACACACTCACACTGACTCACATACTCACACTGACTGCTGCCAAGTCCATGTCCTCCTCAAAGTGACTCTGTATCCCAACACCATACACGGGCACTCCAGCGGCAAGGAACGTCCTGGCCTGGTCGACGTACGACTACAACATGAAGAGCAAATTCAGCTGTAGCTGATCTACGTTTCAAGTGAGTGAGACCCGTGAAGATCCCGTAGAATAGGTCTTCAAGCAACCCATGCTTGCCATAAAAGGCGACCATGCTTGTCGTAAGAGGCGACTAACGGCATCGGGTGGTCAGGCTCGCTGACTTGGTTAATGCATGTAATCGTATCCCAATTGCGTGGATCGATGCTCACGATGTCAATCACTGGATTGTCTGGTCCAGACTCCATTATTTACAGACCGCCGTCACACGCTAGAATACTACTGAGTGCGGCGTTAAACAACAAACAGCCCCGACCGTATATATAATGTCTAATCTTTCCGTGACCACATTTAAGAGTCAAAAAAGTGTCGGTAGCACATAATAAGACATTGGGATTTTTCGCACCAGAGTGTAGTGGTGGTTTTTGCTGACGATGCCGAAGTCGTTGAGGAAAAGTTTTGTGTTGGGGTCGGCGGCGTGAGCTTTTTGGAACATCCACATGGTGATGTTAGGATCCTGCAGATGTTGCTCGTAGAAGTCGTTGTGTTGGTTCTCGTTGTTGATGTCCCAGTGCAAGACTCTGAATAACAGATGTGAAGTTGACATACGTCGGGCTACTGCTCAACCCATACAGTTAGGTCAATAATGTATATGGTCAATGTTGTATACAGCTAGCTCAATGATGACTTTAGATGGGTCTCTTGTTATATGGCAGTGTATTTTATTGTTTGACAATGATTGTTACTGTTCCTGTTGAGATTTGGTTGACGCTCGTTGCATTGTGTTTGGGCAGTGGGCAGTCGTCAGGAAGTTACTATATTTAGATGCCAGTGTGGTGTGTAAACTTCCGGTTATCACGGACGGTGATAAAATGTTGTGGAACGTTCTTTAATGTTCTCGTGCCGCTGGACTGGTGAGGCAACGGTGGAACTTTCCAGGATCTGTTTAGACAATGTAATTGGACAATAGTATGTTTCCTCATGCTCTCACACGCATTGTCAACACGTCAAGACTGTCAATGTAGTGGGACAAAAGCGTGTTTATCTCTCACACATTTCGTCGCTCACGCATTTTCATCGCTTTGATACCAGCTTTTATGTGAGGATCGCTCATCATCCCTGTCTTCCTGCCTAGCCCATCTCGGAAGCTTGACCACTGTCGCCGCTGCGTGAATATATATTAACACTGACTTTTGCTATCACCACTGTATTTTTATGTTTGATACTGACCACTGCCACATATTATTTATTGCCACTGAATATTGTACTACCACTATATCGTTTACTGCCATTGTAGTTACTGTGCAGTTATTGGTTTGTAACTTGTTAACTGGATTAACATATCGTTTCAATTTAGGGATCAACACGTAACACTATGTTGTACATAGCTGGGCCAATTAAGGTAGCACTTAATTTGAAACACGTATCGCTCCAGGAACATGTATGATAAACTTGGTCGAAAGATACACGGTAGACGTGTGACGGTCGCCATGAGATCAAATGATGGCTAGCAGGTTTGCCCTGCTGCCCTTGCCACCGGAACAAAACACAATCTTTGAAATCACAAGGGTGTAAGTGTTGACATTGTCAAGGTCCTACTTGCAACAAGGACTTGAAGAACAGTCACGTCAGTGACGGTGTACAGTGTGAAGCAGTAGGGGACACTACTTGTAACGATGTGGATGCTGCATCTAGAGTATGTGTGTATCAGGTAGCCTCTGTTCTGTGTCCTCGTATATAAAGCATGTGTGAATGTTGTTCACAGAATGACCTAACTTACCTCCCCTTGAATCCACCAATTACTTCCTTGGTCCTCCTCTCCATTGTAGCCCGGATGTCCGCAGCAGGCTTGTGTTTCAGCCAATTGGGGATGTGTTGGGGGTTGTCCCAGAACAGATTGTGTCCTTCAATCTTCTTTCTGGCAACATCGAAAATCAACACCTGAATGTAGTGTTCTCTTCTAACCACACGTCTGTGTCCGTGGAATATCCAACAGTTAACACGGGAACGTGTAGGGCCCTTTCATCTTTTTCCTTGCAAAGTTATCGCGAAAATGTACTTGTTGGTTTAAAGTGAAAGACATTTTGTCCATTGAAGACATCATTGATATGCGTCTGTTCTTTGTTAAATCAATTGGGAGTTTCTGTACCCTGGCGAAATAAAAACACATATTGATTCTACAATTATTGATACTACAGTATTGTAATTACAAGTATCTGTACGACAGTCACTCACACTACAGCTGTTGTTATAACAAGTATTGATACTATAGTTGTTGATACACTATGTATTCATACTACAGCTGTTGTTAAAGCAATTCATAACACCACGGTGGGGCGGTCGGGTAGCCTAGTGGTTAAAGCGTTCGCTCGTCACGCCGAAGACCCAGGTTCGATTCCCGACATGGGTACAATGTGTGAAACTCATTTCTGGTGTCCCCCGCCGTGATATTGCTGGAATATTGCTAAAAGCGGCGTAAAACCATACTCACTCACTCACTCATAACACCACGGCTACAGCTGTCGATACTACAGATATTGTTATAACAAGTACCGGTACGACAATCACTGATACTACAGCTATTGTTATAACAAGTATTGATACTATAGTTGCTGATACAATATGTTTTCATACTACAGTTGTTGTTGTTGTCGATACTACAGTTATGTTACTACCCATGTGCTAGGAGTATATCCACTGTCTTGTTGACCTTGCTGTAATCCGGGTGGCCCTGGAATAAGAGTTGCAGTTTTGGAAAGAATGTGATTATAGACAAAACAATGAAACTATGTGTAACAAAGTTAACGACGCCAGCTGACAGTAAGTCTATACCCGGTGATATTGGGGTCCCGCCACGCCCGTCTCAAACAAGGTGATGGTATTGGAGAGGTGACCCAACTGATCACAATATGCATATAAACAATAACTATCGTCTCTAGATCACAAGGTAGGGTATTCACCAGCATCATGGACCACGACCTCCACTGCATCTGTGTGTAGTAGTGTAGCTGTGAGTGCACCAAGTACACTGACGGCTTCCTTGAACACGTGGGGGAAGAAAGTCTCTAGGGCCAACAGCAGGTCGACATCATCCTTCACTAAAGGTGAGACATGAGAACCGTGGTCGCGTTTAAAACTCACCTCGCACAAACCTGCTCAGAGCCACATAGGGATTTTAGCACTACAGTTGTCGTAATCCTATGTTTCAGGCTGGGAGTTATTGTGCCTCGTGGCCCAGGTGGGTCAATTAAAAAAAGGGGGCGGATTTATCAGGTAAATATTCGTCGGGGAGGGGCGTCAATATACCGGGGACGAATATCTTTCACGACACCGGAAAACGTCCACCCGTTTCCGGAATATCTGGTGTCATCTTTCTTTGAAAGACACCCGGTGTCGTCAGTTTAATTATAAAAAGAAACCTCAGAGTATTGGACTCTTTCCTTGAGGTTGAGGTTTGTTTTGTTTGACGTCAAGTGTGGGAAGTGCGGTTATTGATGACGGGGACCTGCAGATCTCACCTCCCTGCTCTCTGACTGGTGCCACTGGAAGCCGTCAGGTACCACCCACTCGAAGTTGTCGTAGAGGTAGTCACGGTAGGCCGTCAGAGTCGGGTCCAGGAACAGTTTTGAGTCAACAGCGGATCCGGTTATAAACTCACTGTATGTCTGCACAAGCTGTTGGATAAACACAGTATCATCATGACGTCGCACCCTTAAAACTGGCAACCAACTTTCCATTTCGGAGATAAACATACTGTATTTTGAAATGTGATGTCGTCCCACTGTAGAGTAGATACCTCTTTATTTTAATTTGGCACCGAGCGCTTTAGCCATTTTTTTATAAATCGATAGGTAGGCTATCGATGTATTCATGCACGCACATTTTTTTATTGAAACGGCTTACTGTATCTAAAAGGGGTTTCCGTAGCAAAAAGTGAACCTCTTTTAACCAATCAGAATACAGCATTCTTTAATGTCATGGTCGAATTTGTATCATCAATTATCAACCAATACAGTTCGTCGTCCTGTCGTCCTTCCTGACCAGTTCCAGTCCACCCTTTCCATTCAAACCGTTCTCATTTCTTCTGTCCTTTATCACTGTTTGCATATCTCTCTTGTCCTTCCAAATATTTGTCCTTTCTGTTGTCCACGGAAACACCTCCACTGTACTACTTTCTGTCCTGTCTGGTCCTTCCTGGTCCTTTCCTCGTCATTATGTATTCTTTCTTTTTCCTTCGGCAACCTTATCAAACCCCAACTTTCCTGTACTTTCATACCCATCTCCGTCGTCTCCTCTCCTCCTAAGCCTATACCTATGTTTTCGTCTTTGGTCCGCCTCCTTGGTCTAGCGGATAGGCCATCGGGATGCGGAAGGTCCGTGGTTCGATCCCAGTCCGCGTCATAGCACATGACGTCAACAGATAACCCTAGACTAGAGCTTGGCATTGAAGGGATAAATCGGAGGGTCGGCCCGGAGTCCGTATACTGTGTCTGATTTGGGTATCCATGTAACATGCGGCATGTTATATCAGTGGTCTAGCACTATAGGTTCTACTACACCAAATCAGAACTGGTTGTGACAGTGCGGTTTTCGTAGTTATCATTGATATCCAAACTCACCAAAACATGTCATTTAAGAGATAAATATTGATATTTGGTGGTTATATTGGATTTATGCAAATGACTGTGTATTCCACATGCATCCTTGGGTCTGTTTACCCCAATGTAGAAGTTAAAATCACTCAAATATGTCATCAGAGACCAACAGTGTCTTGATATTCTATGTCTCGCCATCAAACTCTTGGCGGCCATCTTGGAATTTTGGGCCACCAGGGGCATCTGGTGATGGAATTTCTAATCTTAAAGTGTTAACTATACTTCAGTGAGTAAGTGTGCCAAGTTATATGCATATAGGTCCTAGCACACCGTTTTAGAGTTAAAAGATTCAACAGTGTAAACACATATTTAGGAAACTTGTCGGCCATCTTGAAATTGGCGGTCACCTTGAATTTTTGCAGATTTGTCAATAGTCGAAAACGTTCAATTGTTGTGAGTATCTTTTTAGAAACATAATATGGCTATTTCGCAATACAGCATATGCATATATCTAAACATTGACCCTCTTCTGAAATATGGAAGACATATTGATAATTGGTGGCCATATTGGATTATGCAAATTAGACATATTTCCCAAACTGGGATTGCTTGGGACTTTTAGTATGTTGTTTTCGGGACCTTGAAAAAATGCATTGTGGTAAAATAAATTCTGTTGCAATTTGTTCCAAGTTTATTGAAAAAATGGCCTAGATTGCCTGGACTATCAGGAAACCTTAAGCTATATCACAGCGGCATGTAAATAATCCAGTCTGGACGAGTCAAACCAGTGACTGAAGTCTGACAATGGTCAGTGAATGACCATCCAGTCAGCCAGCCACAGACCACCATCACCTTAGTTGCACATGAGCTACATGGGAGATGAACGGAATCCCCGACTGAGGGACTGAGGAACTGTAAGATGAGGCTACCTCCACTTCAAGCTGATCAGCAGATTGACCGTTTTTGTCCAACCTATTAAACAAAGAATGTATTATCTGCATGGAAACATCGAAACAATCCGATACAGACTATACCAGACTATACCAGACTATGCCAGACTATACCAGGCTATACCAGACTATACCAGACTATACCAGGCTATACCAGACTATACCAGACTATACCAAACGGTGCGATAAATACTACACGGATGAGTTATTTACTTTTCAGGGGACAGGGTTAACGACTCAGTGATTGTTTGCGTTCTAGTTGTAAGAGCGCAGGATGAGATGCATCACATGCATCAGAGAGAAGTGGAAACAGGTACATGTATTAGGATATATATTAGCAGCCAGTGGTTTAACGCTCACTTACTCACTCACTCAAACAAACTCACTCACTCACTCACCTGACCGTGACGTTGGCTTTCCTGATCTTCTCAATCCTGTCGTCTGCTTCCGCCCTGAAGTTAGTGAGTTGCGGAACTTCCATCAAGATGGCCGTGTCCATCAGATAGTCCACCTGAGGTGGTTCCACGTCAATGAATATCTCCGCGCTCTTGGTGTCTACCAACAATAACATGATGCGAGAATTGTCTGCTAGGACCTTGAGCACCAAACAGTCGTCATCACTAGTTAATTCAGTCAACCATACAATTCGGAAACTCACTCACTCATGCCTACTCACTCTACAACTCACTCATTCTGTCCCAGTCAACCACGCTCGCTCACCCCTCTCTCACTCATTCTGTCCCAGTCAACCACGCTCGCTCACCCCTCTCTCACTCATTCTGTCCCAGTCAACCATGCTCGCTCACCCCTCTCTCACTCATTCTGTCCCAGTCAACCACGCTCGCTCACCCCTCTCTCACTCATTCTGTCCCAGTCAACCACGCTTACTCACCCCTCTCTCACTCATTCTGTCCCAGTCAACCACGCTCACTCACCCCTCTCTCACTCATTCTTCTCACTCAGTCATGTACTCAGACATTTGGTCACAAGACAAGTGTTGCGCTGCCTACCACCCACAGTTTACCCCGTGGTACTGGTAACTTAATGGACCGGGTTGTCAGGCTCAGTTACTTATGTGTTTTTTTGCGACGGCGTGAACGGTTGCTCATGATATCAATCAGTGGTTTGTCTGCTCCTGACTCGACTAATTACAGGCATCTTCCGTATGGCTGGAATATTGTTGAGTGTGGAAATAAACAAGAAACAAAACAAAAGCAAACATACATGTAGCAATTTCCTCGTCACCAGTCACTCACTCACTCACTCACTCACTCACTCACTCACCTGTGGGTACCAGGTAGTCCCCTCCAATGGCGTGCCACCCCGTGCCCAGCTGAACATACGGTGACCTACTCAAGATGTCATTTGTATGGTGTCCTAGAAACAAAATGGACGGAAAATAGAGGAAGGAACGGCTGCTGCCATGATCCGATTTGTCCTATGGTGAGGGCATGGTCCCTTTATAGAAGATAGCTACGCGAGAAATAGCAAAGAACAATGAAGAACAAAGAGTGTTTTATTTCACGATAAAACATTGTTCTATCATGACGTTACTTCTGGTGCTTCGAATATGCCCTCGCAACTTGATGACGTCATATAAAGACGACGTTATTTTTTAGAGGGAAGAGTCCAGTAAGTTGTGATCCATATAAGTAGATGGTCTATGCAGGAAAACGCAGTTGCCGAAAGATTGCATCCAAAAGTAGGAAAGATACGATAATCGGTATCAGGAGAAAAGGGGTTGTAAGAATATGCGGGAAATACCAAAATCCACCTGTCGTAAAATGGACAAAAACGTTCATTCCATCTAGATCTAATACATAAACTGACGTCCAAAAGAAACTTTACCAACTGAAAATATAAATTTCAGACAAAGTATAAAAAATTGTTCGATGATGTCTATCTAAAACACATAACCTAAATACAACAATAGTGTATGCAGAAAATGTTAATCGTCTGTTACATGTTTGCGAGATAACACGCGAAGAAGTGAAAAACACGTGCATCACGGACAGCTGCAAATGCACGTGCGGGTAAGGGTATAAAACGATTACAACGGCAAGTCAGACATCCACAGTGATAAAAAAACACAAAAGAAATGCCACGACTCACAGTCGAACAACGTGAACGAGCCTTAGGTATAGTACAGATGCGAGCCACCCACGCCCACATTGCACGAACCCTCGGTTGCTCCCGTGTTGCCGTTACCAACTTGATGCAACGTTACAGACAGACAGGGCGGACCGCTGACAGGCCAAGAACAGGCAGACCCAGGGTGACCACGCCACATGATGACCGGTACTTGCGTACCTTGCACCTCCGAAATCGCTTCCTGACAGTGACGTCATCGGCGACAAATGCCTTAGGTCTCAGGGTTAGTCGACAGACAGTGGCCAGGAGACTCAGGGCTCATGGAATCAGGGCTTTTAGACCATACAGAGGACAGCTATTGACAGCGCAACATCGTCGTCTGCGATTGAGATGGGCCCGGACTGTACAACGTTGGCAACGACGTGACTGGCAGAGGGTTTCTTCACTGACGAAAGTCGATTCTGTATGTTTAGGACCGATGGAAGACAACGTGTTTACCGCCGAAGGGGTGAACGAACGGCGGCGTGTTGCGTGCAGGAGGTCGTACCATATGGTGGAGGGAGTGTCATGGTTTCGTGAGGGATCTGTGGGCAGGAGAGGACACCGCTGGTCATCATTGACGGAAACTTGAGAGCTCAGCGTTACATGGATAACATTCTTCGTCCAGTTGTCCTACCATTTCTCCAACAGCAGCCACGTGGTGTCATTTATCAGCATGATAACGCTGGAGCCCATACAGCCAGAATTGTCACTTACTTCCTCGCAGCCAACAACGTCAACGTCTTGCCGTGGCCTGCACGCTCACCCGACATGTCCCCCGTAGAACACCTCTGGGACTTGATGGATCGGCGTGCTCGACAACGACCACACTCTCCAGCCAACCGGCAAGGAGTGACCTTGGCCCTCCAAGAAGAATGGCGTCAAATCCAACGTGACCTCATCAGACGACTGACTTTTTCTGTGCGTCGAAGAGTTTTTGCGTGTATTGAGGCATTTGGTGGTCACACATGCTACTAATGACTTGTTATTGAACGTGAGCGATTCTTTATGTACTCTGCCTATTGACCATGATTATGAAAGCTCGAGTTTTGTACCACACCAAACTTTGGGGGGCTCTGACGTCATTCTCGGTCGAGGTATGATTGTCATTTTCAGTGTTGATTATGTTGATATATTGATCTTCTCAATACACCTTACATCTAGCATGTATATTTTGTTGTTTTTGAGCAAGAGTGATTTCAAACTCTGGTAAAGTTTCTTTTGGACGTCAGTTTAATATCTTTATCCTACTTTGACATGTATTATTATCAGATTCGTATTTTTTACATATGTCCTCATCATACATTCAAAACACAAAACTGAAGAATAAATTGTGAAACGTAGTTGTCTAGGACCTTTCCGTTTCAAATTATCAGGGAAAATAATAATTAGGCAAGGAATAGATTTGCATTGTAATCATGTCCCGTAATCTTACCTTGTGCGTCGGTGCGTGAGACCTTTACATCCATCCCGTGGTACAGATACCCTGGCTGGGTGGTCAGCAGCTTAACGTGGGCCTGGAAGAAGTAGCGTGTTCCCGGGGTCACGGGCACTTGCTGGGACGGCCCACTGGACTTAGTCCTGTCAAACACAGACCTCGGTGTTGTAAACTATAGGAGTCTGTCAAACACAGATCTCGGTGTTGTAAACTATAGGAGTCTGTCAAACACAGACCTCGGTGTTGTAAACTATAGGAGTCTGTCAAACACAGACCTCGGTGTTGTAAACTATAGGAGTCTGTCAAACACAGACCTCGGTGTTGTAAACTATAGGAGTCTATCAAACACAGAGCTCGGTGTTGTAAACTGTAGGAGTCTGTCAAACACAGACCGCTGTGTTGTAAACTATAGGAGTCTGTCAAACACAGACCTTGGTGTTGTAAACTATAGGAGTCTGTCAAACACAGACCTCGGTGTTGTAAACTGTAGGAGTCTGTCAAACACAGACCTCGGTGTTGTAAACTGTAGGAGTCTGTCAAACACAGACCCCGGTGTTGTAAACTATAGGAGTCTGTCAAACACAGACCTCGGTGTTGTAAACTGTAGGAGTCTGTCAAACACAGACCTCGGTGTTGTAAACTGTAGGAGTCTGTCAAACACAGACCCCGGTGTTGTAAACTATAGGAGTCTGTCAAACACAGACCTCGGTGTTGTAAACTATAGGAGTCTATCAAACATAGAACTCGGTGTTGTATACAAGTGTGCTATCATGACGCTAGGTGCATGTGTCATATCATGACCCTGGATACAAGCGAGATAAGATGACGCTAGATTTCTGTTTTATATCATAACGCGTGATGTGACGGCACCTACCTGTGTGATATCATGACGCTGCATACCTGTGTGATATCATGTCAATGCATACCTCTGTTATCTGTGTGATACTATGACGATGACATACCCACGTGACAACATGACGCTGCATACCTGTGTGATATCATGACGTTGACATACCTATGTGACAACGTTAACATGACGCTGTGTTGACCTATGCAATATCATAAAGCTGCATATCTATGTTATAACATGACGCTTCATACCTGTGTGATATCATGACGCCGTGTTAACATGTGTGATACCATGACACTACATACCTGTGTGATATCATGACGCTGTGTTGACCTGTGTGATAACATGACACTACATAATTGTGTGATATCATGACGCTGTGTTGACCTGTGTGATAACATGACGTTACATACCTGTGTGATATCATGACGCTGTGTTGACCTGTGTGATTACATGACGCTACATACCTGTGTGATATCATGACGCTGTGTTGACCTGTGTGATAACATGACACCACATACCTGTGTGATATCATGACGCTGTGTTGACCTGTGTGATAACATGCCGCTACATAATTGTGTGATATCATGACGCTGTGTTGACCTGTGTGATAACATGACACTACATACCTGTGTGATATCATGACGCTGTGTTGACCTGTGTGATAACATGACACTACATACCTGTGTGATATCATGACGCTGTGTTGACCTGTGTGATAACATGACGCTTCATACCTGTGTGATATCATGACGCTGTGTTAACCTATGTGATAACATGACACTACATAATTGTGTGATATCATGACGCTGTGTTGACCTGTGTGATAACATGACACTACATACCTGTGTGATATCATGACGCTGTGGTGACCTGTGTGATAACATGCCGCTACATAATTGTGTGATATCATGACGCTGTGTTGACGTGTGATAACATGATACTACATACCTGTGAGATATTATGACGCTGTGTTGACATGTGTGATAAAATGCCGCTACATACCTGTGTGATATCATGACGCTGTGTTGACCTGTGTGACTGTCCGACGATGACGTTAGTTGACAGTGGTGACATTTCCAATTGTGGGAAAAGGATGAGCTCTCAAAATCCGCATTGTGCAACAAATTAGTTTCACACAATCCCCCAGACAGAAACAGTACGAGGAACACAGCTACACAGCGCATCATGTCTGAACTGTCTTCCAAGCTATCACACGTGTGTGGGTCTGGTAATACGTGACCTGGTCAGATGCCGTGCCTGTGTCGCACCTGCCTGGTGCACATAGATACGGGAATATAGGTTGGAATACTTAACCCAGAAACTGAAAATCTTTCCGAACAAAAAATGGTCTTTTTCGTCGAAACCCTATATGCCCCATGTACTGTTGACAGCAACTATACAACTTATCAAACATGCATATATTTCATAGATATAACATTTAGTAAGAGATATCGCATGATTTCATTGTAAACTGCACACGAACCGTACGAAAGAGGGCAAATTTTGATCAAAGCATTTTTAGTTGTTATTAGAAATTAAGTAAATGATTTGGTGATGAGCAACACTTACATAAGGATTCAGGATTCAGACAAATTGTTTTGTGTTATATTTATGCCACGTGAACTTGTGAAATGATTAAATCCAGTCGTAAAAACGGTTCTTCCTCTGACCGATATAATGTGTCAGACTGAGGTCAGTGGAGAGAGTTCAACCGTTGAAGTTTTTTGTCAATGTGCGACCTGCCATTCAAAAGCATCAACTCAAATATTATTCATCCAGATGAAAAAAAAGCAGTCAAATAAAAACTCGAGCATGAAAACGACAGATTCCTGCTGTGTGGTCAAGAGGTGTTTCACACACACCAGCACACTGTTTGAACAGGAATAAGTAAGTAGCTGGTATGACTATAGTAACGGCGGAGAGCCCTTGTTAATCTGGATACTTGCATGAGCATTACAGAGACAGAGTCGATAACAGCTAAACCGGCAACATATGAGTTTGAGAAGGAACTTCATCAAACTAATTCAGAATTGGATTTTCCTGAGGTGTTGTCATTTGTGAAAGACTTTATCCAATCCAGTTGTTTCGCACACGAAATATATGGAACAACTATCAGGAGGACGGCGTCTGCGGCGTCGCATCACATTGTGATCCTGCACAACCAAATCCCAGAGTAAATAAAGCGACAAACCCCTTTCCATATCCAATAGAAATCTCTGCATGAAGCAGAGTCGATTGTACGATTCCGACGAATATATGAATCACTATCAAAAAGTGATGATACCATGTGTTTGTGAAAAAGTCGGCGTATCCTGCCAAACCGGTGGCACCCGTCAAAAACACATGCCCAGACAAGTCAATTGTTCGCCTGAAGAACACGGGAACATATGGTATAGGTCAAAATAGAGGTTTGCATCGGACATCATTTTTGTCACCCTTCAAATTTGGAAATGTCCTCCACATGTCGACTATAAGACATTTTGTGAGCTTACTGAGGCCTTGAAGGGTGTAACCTTGACCAAGCAACTTCTGAACAAGAGTCAGATGACGCTCTTTCAAATCACAATGATTGTAGGTCAGTCAGCACTGGAAGACACAAGGTCACACACTGCATCTGCGCCACCTCCCCCACACAAAGGTCCCCCACACGGATATATCTACACAATAACCGACGACATACATAAATCACGGACAAACTGTCCCGAGGGAAATACTTTGGGCACAAGGGATCATACTTAATTTCGAATTGTGTTTCTTTTTTATATTCCGTAGTGTCTGTTTTGAACAAATGAAGAAACATGTTGCAGACATCAGCTCATTTAGCCTATTGATGGAACGACGTCAAATATATCGTTTGTGGCGACTATACAATCCTCTCTGGTTAGAAAACCACCTTTCGTCCTTCGGAAAATGTGGCATTATAACCAGGGTGGCATTATAACCAGGGTGACATTATAACCAGGATGGTATTATAACCAGGATGGTATTATAACCAGGGTGGCATTATAACCAGGATGGTATTATAACCAGATTGGCATTATAACCAGGGTGACATTATAACCAGGATGGTATTATAACCAGGATGGTATTATAACCAGGGTGACATTATAACCAGGGTGGCATTATAACCAGAGTGGCATTATAACCAGGGTGGAATTATAACCAGAGTGGCATTATAACCAGGGTGGCATTATAACCAGAGTGGCATTATAACCAGGGTGGAATTATAACCAGGGTGGCATTATAACCAGGGTGACATTATAACCAGGATGGTATTATAACCAGGATGGTATTATAACCAGGGTGGCATTATAACCAGGATAACATTATAACCAGGATGGCATTATAACCAGAGTGGCATTATAACCAGGGTGGCATTATAACCAGGATAACATTATAACCAGGACGGCATTATAACCAGAGTGGCATTATAACCAGGGTGGCATTATAACCAGGATGGTATTATAACCAGGATGGTATTATAACCAGGATGGTATTATAACCAGGGTGACATTATAACCAGGATGGTATTATAACCAGGATGGTATTATAACCAGGATAACATTATAACCAGGATGGCATTATAACCAGAGTGGCATTATAACCAGGGTGGGATTATAACCAGGATAACATTATAACCAGGATGGCATTATAACCAGAGTGGCATTATAACCAGGATGGCATTATAACCAGGATAACATTATAACCAGGACGGCATTATAACCAGAGTGGCATTATAACCAGGGTGGCATTATAACCAGGATGGTATTATAACCAGGATGACATTATAACCAGGATGGCATTATAACCAGAGTGGCATTATAACCAGGGTGGCATTATAACCAGGATGGTATTATAACCAGGATGGTATTATAACCAGGGTGACATTATAACCAGGATGGTATTATAACCAGGATGGTATTATAACCAGGATGGTATTATAACCAGGGTGGCATTATAACCAGGATGACATTATAAACAGGATGGTATTATAACCAGGATGGCATTATAACCAGGATGGTATTATAACCAGGATGGTATTATAACCAGGGTGGTATTATAACCTGGATGGTATTATAACCAGGGTGGCATTATAACCAGGGTGACATTATAACCAGGATGGTATTATAACCAGGATGGCATTATAACCTGGGTGGCATTATAACCAGGGTGGCATTATAACCAGGGTGGCATATTAACCAGGGCGGCAGTATAACCAGGGTGGCATTATAACCAGGGTGGCATATTAACCAGGGTGGCATTATAACCAGGATGGTATTATAACCAGGATGGCATTACAACCAGGGTGGCATATTAACCAGGATGGCATTAAAACCAGGATGGCAGTATAACCAGGGTGGCATTATAACCAGGGTGGCATACTAACCAGGGTGGCATTATAGCCAGGGTGACATTATAACCAGGGTGGCATTATAACCAGGGTGGCATTACAACCAGGGTGGCATATTAACCAGCGCGGACAAAACCAGTTCTTACTGACATGAAATAAGGCCTTGCATCCACAAACCCTGCTCACATCATGACCCTACACCCAGAATCCCTGTCTAAATAAGACCTTGCACCCACATACACTATCTAAATAAGGCCTTGCACCCACAATCTCTGTCTAAATAAGACCTTGCACCCACAATCTCTGTCTAAATAAGGTCTGCACCCACAATCCCTGTCTAAATAAGACCTTGCACCCACAAACACTATCTAAATAAGACCTTGCACCCACAATCTCTGTCTAAAAAAAACCTTGCACCCACAATCCCTGTTTAAATAAGACCTTGCACCCACAAACACTATCTAAATAAGACCTTGCACCAACAATCTCTGTCTAAATAAGACCTTGCACCCACAAACACTATCTAAATAAGACCTTGCACCCACAATCTCTGTCTAAATAAAACCTTGCACCCACAACCCCTATCTAAATAAGGCTTTCGCCCACAATCCCTGTCTAAATAAGACCTTGCACCCACAATCTCTGTCTAAAAAAGACCTTGCATCCACGAACACTATCTTAATAAAACCTTGCACCCACAATCCCTGTCTAAATAAGACCTTGCACCCACAAACACTATCTAAATAAGACCTTGCACACACAATCTCTGTCTAAAAAAGACCTTGCACCCACAAACACTATCTTAATAAAACCTTGCACCCACAATCCCTGTCTAAATAAGACCTTGCACCCACAAACACTATCTAAATAAGACCTTGCACACACAATCTCTGTCTAAAAAAGACCTTGCACCCACAAACACTATCTTAATAAAACCTTGCACCCACAATCCCTGTCTAAATAAGACCTTGCACCCACAAACACTATCTAAATAAGACCTTCCACACACAATCTCTGTCTAAAAAAGACCTTGCACCTACAATCCCTGTCTAAAGAAGGCCTTGCACCAACAAACCATGTCTAAATAAGGCCTTGCACCCACAATCCCTATCTAAATAAGGCTTTCGACCACAATCCCTGTCTAAATAAGACCTTGCACCCACAATCTCTGTCTAAAAAAGACCTTGCACCCACAAACACTATCTTAATAAAACCTTGCACCCACAATCCCTGTCTAAATAAGACCTTGCACCCACAAACACTATCTAAATAAGACCTTGCACACACAATCTCTGTCTAAAAAATACCTTGCACCCACAAACACTATCTTAATAAAACCTTGCACCCACAATCCCTGTCTAAATAAGACCTTGCACCCACAAACACTATCTAAATAAGACCTTCCACACACAATCCCTGTCTAAATAAGACCTTGCACCCACAAACACTATCTAAATAAGACCTTGCACCCACAATCTCTGTCTAAATAAGACCTTGCACCCACAAACACTATCTTAATAAAACCTTGCACCCACAATCCCTGTGAAAGCACGGGCCTAAATGTTGTCCACCCGTGCTGGCTGAAAAACGCATCCTGTTCATTACAACAACGGTTTGCTTCAGTCACAAGCTCTTCAAGCGGGGCTTCAGAAGCCTGATTCACACAGTCAAAGTCCCACCACTGTCAGTACCGCAGGATAACTGCTTCAGGGATGTGTGCATGGTACTTTGATCACAGCAGAATGAACACTCCATACACGTAAATTCGGGACGTTGGGGTAGCCTAGTGGTTATAACTTCCGGTCGTCATGCTGAAGGCCCGGTTTGATTCCCTTTTCTGGTGGCGTTGCTGGACTAGAATTGCGAAAGGTGGCGTATAGCCCATCCACGTATTACAATAACCTGGAATCACGCCTATAATATCTGCTGTATTGTATTGTCGTGACTTGTGCTTGGGACTACGTAATAATGTTGCAGTTTGCTGGAGATGTATGTCAGATCTGAATGGGATTCTCCCCATCATTGTAATGCCAAAACACGAACGTATTGTAAAATAAGGGAACACAACTTATATGCAATCTGTCCTGTCTTTGTGAATGCCTGGAGTACGTATTAAATCTAGGGAGCGAGACAAATAATTCGGCGTTCTCCAGAAGAACATTTTTTGCAGTTTTTCCACTTGAATGTCAACTATGAAGGGTGAGGAACCCCGAAATAATGTAGGCGTTTGCCACTTGTGTAATTCTTAGAGCACGGATATGGTGCCTATTAATTAGCTCATATTCAGGGAGATTCGAACTCACGACCATAGGATCCAGTCAGACATAAGAGTCGCAACCTGCACAGAGAACTTACCATTAAGTGTATGAGAACTAATAAAGGATCGAACCACAGTTAACACTTACTGTAAGTTCCAGAGTTAATCCTACATGGTATGAATGTGACCCGAGTCCAATGTGTGGCTATAGGGTTCGCTCGTCATGGCGAAGACCCGGGTTCGATTCCCCACATGGGTACAATGTATGAAGCCCCTTTCTTGTGTCCCCTGCCGTGATGGTATATTGCCACCTGCGGCATATAACAACATTCGCCCCTACAACTGGCGGGTGAGTGAGTAAGGTTTATCACCACTTCAAAATGTATACCGGGGCTGGCTGGGGTAGCTTAGTGGTTAAAGCATTCGCTCGTCACTCACTCACTCAATATTAAACATAAAACCCATCAATGTTATTTCCGTGAGTGGATGAGTTTGGCTGTGCAGCTGTATATTTAAACACAATTACAAGTTTGTAATGTTTATGCCCGTTGTTCAGGCGCCGATCTATCGATGGACATACCGGTCCTATACACGTTACATGTATGTTAGCAGGCGACCACGGTCAGTGCTGTAAACACGTCGTCAACAGTTTTCCTGCCCAACACTGTGAAATCATGGGTACTGTTGGTTGAAGTAGAACGCTTACAAGGAACTAGTTTGGGGTTATGTCCCTTTTCCGGAAGCCATCGACACGCATCAACACGTGCTTCACGGGATGTCACGTGGGAAGCAAGCTGCAGGACGTGAACAATGAGGGCAGCACAGTGGAGAGGGGCAGCACAGTGGAGAGGGACAGCACAGTGGAGAGGGCAGCACAGTGGAGAGGGGCAGCACAGTGGAGAGGGGCAGCACGGTGGAGAGGGCAGCACAGTGGAGAGGGGCAGCACAGTGGATAGGGGCAGCACAGTGGAGAGGGACAGCACAGTGGAGAGGGCAGCACAGTGGAGAGGGGCAGCACAGTGGAGAGGGCAGCACAGTGGAGAGGGGCAGCACAGTGGAGAGGGCAGCACAGTGGAGAGGGGCAGCACAGTGGAGAGGGGCAGCACAGTGGAGAGGGACAGCACAGTGGAGAGGGCAGCACAGTGGAGAGGGGCAGCACAGTGGAGAGGGGCAGCACGGTGGAGAGGGCAGCACGGTGGAGAGGGCAGCACGGTGGAGAGGGGCAGCACAGTGGAGAGGGACAGCACAGTGGAGAGGGGCAGCACGGTGGAGAGGGCAGCACAGTGGAGAGGGCAGCACAGTGGAGAGGGGCAGCACAGTGGAGAGGGCAGCACAGTGGAGAGGGGCAGCACGGTGGAGAGGGGCAGCACAGTGGAGAGGGGCAGCACGGTGGAGAGGGGCAGCACAGTGGAGAGGGCAGCACAGTGGAGAGGGGCAGCACAGTGGAGAGGGGCAGCACAGTGGAGAGGGCAGCACAGTGGAGAGGGGCAGCACAGTGGAGAGGGCAGCACAGTGGAGAGGGGCAGCACAGTGGAGAGGGCAGCACAGTGGAGAGGGGCAGCACGGTGGAGAGGGCAGCACAGTGGAGAGGGGCAGCACAGTGGAGAGGGGCAGTGGAGAGGGGCAGCACAGTGGAGAGGGGCAGCACGGTGGAGAGGGGCAGCACAGTGGAGAGGGGCAGCACAGTGGAGAGGGGCAGCACAGTGGAGAGGGCAGCACGGTGGAGAGGGACAGCACAGTGGAGAGGGGCAGCACAGTGGGGAGTGGCAGCACGGTGGAGAGGGGCAGCACGGTCGAGAGGGCAGCACAGTGGGGAGTGGCAGCACAGTGGGGAGTGGCAGCACAGTGGAGAGGGCAGCACAGTGGAGAGGGTCAGCACAGTGGGGAGTGGCAGCACGGTGGAGAGGGCAGCACAGTGGGGAGTGGCAGCACGGTGGAGAGGGGCAGCACAGTGGAGAGGGCAGCACAGTGGAGAGGGGCAGCACGGTGGAGAGGGGCAGCACGGTGGAGAGGGGCAGCACAGTTGAGAGGGGCAGCACAGTTGAGAGGGGCAGCACAGTGGAGAGTGGCAGCACAGTGGAGAGGGCAGCACAGTGGAGAGGGGCAGCACACTGGAGAGGGGCAGCACGGTGGAGAGGGGCAGCACGGTGGAGAGGGGCAGCACGGTGGAGAGGGGCAGCACAGTGGAGAGGGGCAGCACAGTGGAGAGGGCAGCACAGTGGGGAGTGGCAGCACGGTGGAGAGGGGCAGCACAGTTGAGAGGGGCAGCACAGTTGAGAGGGGCAGCACAGTGGAGAGTGGCAGCACAGTGGAGAGGGCAGCACAGTGGAGAGGGCAGCACAGTGGAGAGGGGCAGCACAGTGGAGAGGGGCAGCACGGTGGAGAGGGGCAGCACGGTGGAGAGGGGCAGCACGGTGGAGAGGGGCAGCACAGTGGAGAGGGGCAGCACAGTGGAGAGGGGCAGCACAGTGGAGAGGGGCAGCACAGTGGAGAGGGCAGCACGGTGGAGAGGGGCAGCACGGTGGAGAGGGGCAGCACGGTGGAGAGGGAGGGGCAGCACAGTGGAGAGGGGCAGCACAGTGGAGAGGGGCAGCACAGTGGAGAGGGCAGCACGGTGGAGAGGGGCAGCACGGTGGAGAGGGGCAGCACGGTGGAGAGGGGCAGCACGGTGGAGAGGGGCAGCACGGTGGAGAGGGGCAGCACGGTGGAGAGGGGCAGCACGGTGGAGAGGGGCAGCACAGTGGAGAGGGGCAGCACGGTGGAGAGGGGCAGAACGGTGGAGAGGGGCAGCACGGTGGAGAGGGGCAGCACGGTGGAGAGGGGCAGCACGGTGGAGAGGGGCAGCACAGTGGAGAGGGGCAGCACAGTGGAGAGGGGCAGCACAGTGGAGAGTGGCAGCACGGTGGAGAGGGGCAGCACGGTGGAGAGGGGCAGCACGGTGGAGAGGGGCAGCACCGTGGAGAGGGGCAGCACGGTGGAGAGGGGCAGCACAGTGGAGAGGGGCAGCACAGTGGAGAGGGGCAGCACAGTGGAGAGGGGCAGCACAGTGGAGAGGGCAGCACAGTGGAGAGGGGCAGCACAGTGGAGAGGGGCAGCACAGTGGAGAGGGGCAGCACAGTGGAGAGGGACAGCACGGTGGAGAGGACAGCACGGGGGAGAGGGGCAGGTCTGCAGCAGGTTTGTTCACAAGGAATAATAACATACATCTGGACCAACACTTTCATCAACCAGTCCAAGGGCGGATCCAGCATTTCTAAAAAGGAGGGGTCCAAAAAATCAAAATCCTCTCTCGGATGATTTTACTGGTTTTCAAAAGGGGGAGGGGTACGGACCCTTGGACATCCTCTATGCTGTTTCCTGAGCAGCAATACAGGTTATGTGATGTCATTTATATTTTACGGGGGCTTCACTCACTTGCATTCCGTCTAACATGAACAGCAGACAAAGTGTATGGCGCTGTCTCTAATGACAATATATTTTATCTGATGAACATAACCTTTGTTCCATCTGAGATTAAGGCAGATCGTGCAGAGTTCTTTCCCCTTTGCCATGTTGACAAGGTGTATGGTGCATATATCACTGGAAGGCAGCGCAAACGCAAACAAAATGTATATACACCAAGCCTTTGTGATGTGCATACATAAGCATAAATCCAAAGGGGGGAGTTATGCCCCTTTTCCGGAAGTGTTTGTGGTTACAAGGTGGCCTCAGACCACAATTACTTTCCTTCTTTGCTATGCACAGTGACATGACAGCCCACCATAATTTGTAGCGGTCGTAGGCCGTTCTCCTATTGCATGCTAACCAACCCGCCCCTATGTCACTCATTAGCAAAGTTTTTGGCATGGGTTGACCAGCTCCCTTTCTCAGTAACCACTGTCAACAGTGCTCACCGGAAGGTTCGAGCCGAAACACACAGAGCGGCCTTCAACTTCGGGGTCAAGTCAATACCTTCACAGGTTGTGGCTAACAAAAACATTTGAACATACTACAATGTCTACTCTTTCATTTAAGCTACCACAAGTCACTCCAAAGACATTAGCACAGGCTGAACAGCCCATTTGAACAGGGCATTATATTCTCCTATTTTCCTCCCAGTTCATGGTAAATCTTAGGGGGGGGGGGGGGGGGGGGGGGGACTGTGGTTTGAGGCCAGGTCATAATGTGAACAGGGCTTGACGAGGAAAGCAAGCTGAAGAACGGGAGTCTTTATATATTCAGCAAGATGGGATTGTTGGGAGGACACGTGGATGAAGGGATGGACTGATTGATAAGTGAGGTTGAAATGCCGCATAACTGGTTAATAGATCGTGAAGATTATTACACCGAAGGCCTAAAACATTACAGAGCAAAGGATGAGGACTTGAACGCTTTGAAGATACGCATGCGACTTATGTCAGATGAAGTTTAATGTCAAGAGAAGAGAAAGGCTTTACCTTGTTGTATTGCATGGCGTAACTCTGTACCTCAATGGCATCCGCATGTTTTATCCCTTCTTGTAGGCAGAAGAAAGATGACAGCACAAGACCTCCTTGTGTACAACTCTCAACCATGATACTCAGTCGTGGCGGAATAATTGAAATCCAAATTACCACAAATGAGAATATTTTAACCACTATGTGATTTTGTCCCGTACACTTCACCGTACACTTTGTTATCTATTTGTTTTACACGATCACCTGCAAACGAAATATGACGCTCTGGTGATTGAAAAACCTTTGTTCCAACATGGTGTGTAACGAGTGAGTGAGTAACTCTTGCTTGACGCCGCATCAGCAGTCTTGCAGCTATTTGCTTCGATGTGGTGTTTAACATACTTTTGCCATCATACTGATCAGTGTGCAATAAGAATAACACAACATCAGATAATGAGTATGTTCTGAGCATGTCCTTCAAAATTAAATTGTATATTTATTTTCAGTGTAATGAGTTCCAATAACATCTGATTGTACAGTCCAGAATAACGGATAAGCGAAAGCTTCGTAGTCATTATGGGATGATGTGTCGAGATTAGATATGTTCTCAGCTACATTAACAAACCCAGGTATTTTTCAACTTCATCAGAGCCCGAAGCATAATTGTTTTCACACACACACACACACACACACACACACACACACACACACTTCCCTCAACCACCCCTTGACATACCAACTATCAAATGGTCGGTCCTCCATGTCTCCATGCGACAAAGTTAAAACAAATACTGTAAATGTGTTTATTCAGGGAATCACATCACTGAGGGATGACAGTACCAGTGAGATGACGAGCAGGACACCTGTGCAGGTGTTTACCCAATTATCACTTGGGACACCTGGGGACGTGTTCCTGAAACACAAACAAGATCCTCTCTAAATGATTCTTAAAACAGAATGCAACAATAAGAAACGTTACTAAGAAACGTTACTGTTATGAAGTTCTTATTTATCAAATTGCTGTGTTTGAAAAGCGCAAACACAAATCGATGACTATATAGAGTGACGAGATATCTCACCTGATCCGCTAAGAGACACCGTCAGATCCACACCCGCCTGCCCCAGGGTGAAGTCCTCCTCGCGGATAACCTTCCCATTATGCTTCACTCTCAGCTTGTACTCTCCCTTGAAGGCCCGCACGTGCAAATCGCGGTCACGTGATATCGGGAGTGTCTGATTGGTCCTCCAGTCTCCCCATACGAGTTGGCGAACTATCCTGCCTGCAGCGTTCGGCTGTGAACGTGAAAAGTTGCAATCTACGAATATGAAGATGAACTACGAAACAATCTTTATTTATTTGTTATTTATTTGTTTTCAAGGTGTTTAACGGAACTGATATCCCTTGTTTTCACTTATTTGCAAAGGGCTTTTATTTATAGTCACGAAGTAAATAAATTAATTCAGTTACTGAGGGATGTTCATGCTGTTATCAGAGATAATAATTATTCAATTATGTCAGTACATTTTTTCTCAAGTAGGTCAGGTCACAGTTGACCTTACTCTCCCAGTCCTTCCAATGTGAGGTGAGGTGAAATGGGGTTTAACGTCGCGTCCAAGATTATTGCACTTATATAGCGACGTGCATGTACGTGTATGTGTTTGTGTGGCTGCTTGTACTAGTCCGGACTGATGCCGATTTATAGTGCTAGCCCACTGAGAGCATGCCGCAGTTTAACATGAATACCCCACTCAGACACAGTATGCATAGAGATAAGGGGACTCATTCTGCTAACAAATTCATCCCCAAACCAATCATCGCCTCCTTAAAAAGTCGACCTACACTGCCAAGTGACCATCTAACGTTTCACGCCATCACAGACCCTAACCTACACTTAGGGCTGACCTACTAAGCTTTGACCTTGACCTACAGTGATATTTGTTCCCTCCGCCAGCACCGCCTCAGGCTTCCAAGTCCTCCCACTCCAGAAGTGCCACTGCACGACTCCCTCAACGGCGGGATGACTGTAGGAGAGCATTACATACTGGACTTACAGTTTACAATATACAGTCTGTGTCTGGGTTCTGTATCAGAGTGGGTTAGCGATTCCACAGACGTGTTTCAGAGATCTGCAGGAATGACAGCGACGTGTCGGACTGGACTGCTCGCAGACTATGTGCAGGTACTGTGGTTTCATATCGAAACTCGCAAATTCAAATGAAAGCCTTAAGTTTTAGACTGTATTACGGATCAAACAAGCTGGTAAAGTGAGACATACATATTGGTAACCTTCATTGGAAGGTCGGACGGTCAGGTTAAACGTCCCCACCTGTAGTAAAGGCGGTTGAGGTTCTACATGGGAGGTCTATAACGTCCTCACCTGTTATAGAGGTCCTACATGGGAGGTCTGATAAGTCAGGTTAAACGTCCACACCTGTAGTAGAGGTCCTACATGGGAGGTCTGATAAGTCAGGTTAAACGTCCCCACCTGTAGTAGAGGTCCTACATGGGAAGGTCGGACATGTCAGGTTAAACGTCCTCACCTGTTATAGAGGTCCTACATGGGAAGGTCGGACATGTCAGGTTAAACGTCCACACCTGTAGTAGAGGTCCTACATGGGAGGTCTGATTAGTCAGGTTAAACGTCCCCACCTGTAGTAGAGGTCCTACATGGGAAGGTCGGACATGTCAGGTTAAACGTCCTCACCTGTTATAGAGGTCCTACATGGGAAGGTGTGACATGTCAGGATAAAAGTCCACACCTGTAGTAGAGGTCCTACATGGGAGGTCTGATAAGTCAGGTTAAACGTCCCCACCTGTAGTAGAGGTCCTACATGGGAAGGTCGGACATGTCAGGTTAAACGTCCTCACCTGTTATAGAGGTCCTACATGGGAAGGTCGGACATGTCAGGTTAAACGTCCTCACCTGTAGTAGAGGTCCTACATGGGAAGGTCGGACATGTCAGGTTAAACGTCCACACCTGTAGTAGAGGTCCTACATGGGAGGTCTGATAAGTCAGGTTAAACGTCCCCACCTGTAGTAGAGGTCCTACATGGGAAGGTCGGACATGTCAGGTTAAACGTCCACACCTGTAGTAGAGGTCCTACATGGGAAGGTCGGACATGTCAGGTTAAACGTCCACACCTGTAGTAGAGGTCCTACATGGGAGGTTTGATAAGTCAGGTTAAACGTCCCCACCTGTAGTAGAGGTCCTACATGGGAAGGTCGGACATGTCAGGTTAAACGTCCCCACCTGTAGTAGAGGTCCTACATGTCAGGTCAAACGTCCCCACCTGTAATAGAAGTCCTACATGGGAAGGTCGGACATGTCAGGTTAAACGTCCACACCTGTAGTAGAGGTCCTACATGGGAAGGTCGGACATGTCAGGTTAAACGTCCACACCTGTAGTAGAGATCCTACATGGGAAGGTCGGACATGTCAGGTTAAACGTCCCCACCTGTAGTAGAGGTCCTACATGGGAAGGTCGGACATGTCAGGTTAAACGTCCCCACTTGTAGTAGAGGTCCTACATGGGAAGGTCTGACATGTCAGGTTAAACGTCCCCACCCACAGTAGAAGTCCCACATTGGAAGGTCTGACATGTCAGGTTAAACGTCCCCACCTGTAGTAGAGGTCCTACATGGGAAGGTCGACATGTCAGGTTAAACGTCCACACCTGTAGTAGAGGTCCTACATGGGAAGGTCGGACATGTCAGGTTAAACGTCCACACCTGTAGTAGAGGTCCTACATGGGAAGGTCGGACATGTCAGGTTAAACGTCCCCACCTGTAGTAGAGGTCCTACATGGGAAGGTCGGACATGTCAGGTTAAACGTCCCCACTTGTAGTAGAGGTCCTACATGGGAAGGTCTGACATGTCAGGTTAAACGTCCCCACCTGTAGTAGAGGTCCTACATGGGAAGGTCGGACATGTCAGGTTAAACGTCCCCACCCACAGTAGAAGTCCCACATTGGAAGGTCGGACATGTCAGGTTAAACGTCCACACCTGTAGTACAGGCGGTAGAGGTCCTCGTAGATACGAGCCTTCTCCTGCTCGTCCGCTGTGTCCACATCCAGCTCTGTGATCATGATGGGAAGACCTGCCTTGGCCACCTGGTCCAGACGGAACTGCAGGCACACAGACAGAGGCAGATACATATATGTATACACAGACACAGACATAGGTAAGAACAGAAATACATACAAACATACAGTGATTCCTCAAAAGGACCAAGTAATGTGACTCATCTTTTCTTATAACATCTGTAGTTTCCCATACCCCATTGCTAGTAATAATACATGGTTAAAAAGGCTTGTCAGCGGTCAAGAACTTCACCACCTAGTACAATTTCTCGTGCCTATTTTTGGTGTCCCCAACCACAATTCTGTTGTAATGATACTGTTTAGCACACGTCACACCCAAACTCGATTAGTACTGAAGGATAGTATTGGTTGGTGCCTATACGCGGACATGTCAGATGAAGATTAGATTAAGCAGCATCTACCAAACTGACTGACCTTGACAGCAGCAAGGTCAACTGGTGGCGTCATATGACTCTGTATTCCAATACCACCAACAGGAACTCCAGACTTCCTGAAAGTCGTTGCCTGGTCCAGGTACGCCTACAAAATATGGATGGTATGACATTGAATATACTCTGAATGTAAATAACCCAAAACAAGATTTTATTAAATATATTCTTTTTAATATTCTTTTTTAAAGAACCCAAAATAATTGTTTTGGAAATTTCTGTTTTACTTGTAAGATGTAATTGTAAAAATCGTTCCTTGGTCCAGGCACGCCTAAAAACACAGATAAGTATTGAATATACATAGCATCTACATTGACAAGTCTAATATATAAATTGTCAATGAAAGAGAGTAATCAGCCCAGAATGGACCACTGAACAACGAGTGAGTGAGTGAGTGAGTGAGTGAGTGAGTGAGTATGGTTTTACACCGCTGTTAGTAATATTCCAGCGATATCACGTCGGGGGACACCAGAAATTGGTTTCACACATTGTACCCATGTCGGGAATCGACCCCGGGTCTTCGCCGCGCCGAGCGAATGCTTTAACATCTAAGCAAAGCATGCTACTATAAAGTTAGTTTCTCACTCTCCAAACAGAATCGCATGTTAGACTGTGGCTTGTCTGAAATAAAGATGCTCTCCGCATCAGTCATTTGTCATTCCCTATACATCAGGTTGTAACAGAATAGTGTTGTGTGTCTATTCTTTTGTGTAAGTGTTTACGTGTCTGCTGTATCAAACAGGGAAACAAGCCCACCACTGCCTTTAATCAATACATACGAATGTGTCGTAATGGCTGTTGACGATGTTGTAGTCGTTGAGGAAGAGTTTGACCGCTGGATCAGCTTTGTGCGTCTCCCTGAACATCCACATAGTGATGTTGGGATCTTTGAGTTTCTGCTCGTAGAAGTCTCCGTGTAGGTTCTCGTTGTTGACGTCCCAGTGTTGGAGCCTGGGGACACAGACAGTCACGTGTACACTTATATAAGATAACTGCAGACAGCTCTACGTGATTACACCCAAAAGACCAATGAAGAACAAAGCGTGTGTTTTTTTATAGATAAAACATTGTTCTATCATGACGGCATTTCCGGAGATTCGAATATGCGATCGCAGCTTGATAAATCATGAATTGGACGACGTTATTTTTGGGAGAGAAGTGTCTTGTAAATTGTTCCCCATAGACGTAACGGGGCTACGCAGAAAATGCAGTGGCCGAACGATCGCATCCAAAAGTGGAAGAGATGGCAATAGGTATTTGGAGAAAGGGTACAGATAATCGGTGTGAGGATTGTGAGAATATGCCAAAACCAAAATACCAAACGTAACCCACTTGTCCGTACAAGGGACTTGTCCGACATTTCCGAGGTCAGAGTCTATTCAGGAAGTCATCATTATTAACATTTGGGTAAAAAAAATTTAAAGCTTGTAATTTGATCAACATCCTTAAAGAGGCTGTACGTCATGTACTCTGCTTCGCCCCTCGTGGTTTATTCTTCTTGCAGCGTTTTGTTGTAACATAAACAACCCCAACTCGTCGTTTATTTCCTGAAATAAGAGGAGTTTGTAAAAAAATGTACGTGTATGCTAGTGCGTGCAAGATCGTGTGTTTACCGGTGTTGATGCTAGCAGACAGATACCACGTCGCCGTTAAACATGGATACTCCACTCAGACACAGTGTACTGACTCAGACTCCTTGGTCATCCCTTTAATGCCGAACGCCAGGCAGGGTAAGATCAAGTACCATCTTGTGACGTCTTGTGATATGACCTTCCTCTCTCCGGACAAACGCTGTATCCAGAGGCGGGCGAAAATGCAAACCACAGACAGTCAGACAGTTGAGACAGAAATAGAGCAAAGACAGACAGACAGTTGAGACAGAAGTAGAAGTGGTTGCAATGGGAGGACGGGGTATGGATTACGAGAGAGGTGTCACACACAGAGAACAGGTTAGTAACACAGACATAGGACAGGGTATGGAGTAAGAGAGAGGTGTTACACACAGAGAACAGGTTAGTAACACAGACATAGGACAGGGTATGGAGTAAGAGAGAGGTGTTACACACAGAGAACAGGTTAGTAACACAGACATGGGACGGGGTATGGAGTACGAGAGAGGTGTCACACACAGAGAACAGGTTAGTAACACAGACATAGGACAGGGTATGGAGTAAGAGAGAGGTGTTACACACAGAGAACAGGTTAGTAACACAGACATAGGACAGGGTATGGAGTACGAGAGAGGTGTCACATACAGAGAACAGGTTAGTAACACAGACATAGGACGGGGTATGGAGTACGAGAGAGGTGTCACACACAGAGAACAGGTTAGTAACACAGACATAGGACAGGGTATGGAGTAAGAGAGAGGTGTTACACACAGAGAACAGGTTAGTAACACAGACATAGGACGGGGTATGGAGTACGAGAGAGGTGTCACACACAGAGAACAGGTTAGTAACACAGACATAGGACAGGGTATGGAGTAAGAGAGAGGTGTTACACACAGAGAACAGGTTAGTAACACAGACATAGGACAGGGTATGGAGTACGAGAGAGGTGTCACATACAGAGAACAGGTTAGTAACACAGACATAGGACGGGGTATGGAGTACGAGAGAGGTGTCACACACAGAGAACAGGTTAGTAACACAGACATAGGACAGGGTATGGAGTAAGAGAGAGGTGTTACACACAGAGAACAGGTTAGTAACACAGACATAGGACAGGGTATGGAGTACGAGAGAGGTGTCACATACAGAGAACAGGTTAGTAACACAGACATAGGACGGGGTATGGAGTACGAGAGAGGTGTCACACACAGAGAACAGGTTAGTAACACAGACATAGGACGGGGTACGGAGTAAGAGAGAGGTGTTACACACAGAGAACAGGTTAGTAACACAGACATAGGACAGGGTATGGAGTACGAGAGAGGTGTCACATACAGAGAACAGGTTAGTAACACAGACATAGGACGGGGTATGGAGTACGAGAGAGGTGTCACACACAGAGAACAGGTTAGTAACACAGACATAGGACAGGGTATGGAGTAAGAGAGAGGTGTTACACACAGAGAACAGGTTAGTAACACAGACATAGGACAGGGTATGGAGTACGAGAGAGGTGTCACATACAGAGAACAGGTTAGTAACACAGACATAGGACGGGGTATGGAGTACGAGAGAGGTGTCACACACAGAGAACAGGTTAGTAACACAGACATAGGACAGGGTATGGAGTAAGAGAGAGGTGTTACACACAGAGAACAGGTTAGTAACACAGACATAGGACGGGGTATGGAGTACGAGAGAGGTGTCACACACAGAGAACAGGTTAGTAACACAGACATAGGACAGGGTATGGAGTAAGAGAGAGGTGTTACACACAGAGAACAGGTTAGTAACACAGACATAGGACAGGGTATGGAGTACGAGAGAGGTGTCACATACAGAGAACAGGTTAGTAACACAGACATAGGACGGGGTATGGAGTACGAGAGAGGTGTCACACACAGAGAACAGGTTAGTAACACAGACATAGGACAGGGTATGGAGTAAGAGAGAGGTGTCACACACAGGGAACAGGTTAGTAACACAGACATAGGACAGGGTACGGAGTAAGAGAGAGGTGTCACACACAGAGAACAGGTTAGTAACACAGACATAGGACGGGGTATGGAGTAAGAGAGAGGTGTCACACACAGGGAACAGGTTAGTAACACAGACATAGGACGGGGTACGGAGTAAGAGAGAGGTGTCACACACAGGGAACAGGTTAGTAACACAGACATAGGACAGGGTATGGAGTAAGAGAGAGGTGTCACACACAGAGAACAGGTTAGTAACACAGACATAGGACGGGGTATGGAGTAAGGGAGAGGTGTCACACACAGAGAACAGGTTAGTAACACAGACATAGGACGGGGTACGGAGTAAGAGAGAGGTGTCACACACAGAGAACAGGTTAGTAACACTGACATAGGAAAGGGTATGGAGTAAGAGAGAGGTGTCACACACAGAGAACAGCTTAGTAACACAGACATAGGAAAGGGTATGCAGTAAGAGAGAGGTGTCACACACAGAGAACAGGTCAGAAACACAGACATAGGAAAGGGTATGCAGTAAGAGTGAGGTGTCACACACAGAGAACAGGTCAGTAACACAGACATAGGAAAGGGTATGCAGTAAGAGAGAGGTGTCACACACAGAGAACAGGTCAGTAACACAGACATAGGAAAGGGTATGCAGTAAGAGAGAGGTGTCACACACAGAGAACAGGTTAGTAACACAGACATAGGAAAGGGTATGCAGTAAGAGAGAGGTGTCACACACAGAGAACAGGTCAGTAAAACAGACATAGGACAGGGTATGGAGTACGAGAGAGGTGTCACACACAGAGAACAGGTTAGTAACACTGACATAGGACAGGGTATGGAGTACAAGAGTGAGGTGTCACACACAGGGAACAGGTCAGTAAAACAGACATAGGACAGGGTATGGAGTACGAGAGAGGTGTCACACACAGAGAACAGGTTAGTAACACAGACATAGGACAGGGTATGGAGTACAAGAGTGAGGTGTCACACACAGAGAACAGGTTAGTAACACAGACATAGGACAGGGTATGGAGTACAAGAGTGAGGTGTCACACACAGAGAACAGGTCAGTAAAACAGACATAGGACAGGGTATGGCGTAAGAGAGAGGTGTCACACACAGAGAACAGGTTAGTAACACTGACATAGGACAGGGTATGGAGTACAAGAGTGAGGTGTCACACACAGGGAACAGGTTAGTAACACTGACATAGGAAAGGGTATGGAGTAAGAGAGAGGTGTCACACACAGAGAACAGGTCAGTAAAACAGACATAGGAGAGGGTATGGAGTAAGAGAGAGGTGTCACACACAGAGAACAGGTTAGTAACACAGACATATGACAGGGTGAGAGAGGTGTCACACACAGAGAACAGGTTAGTAACACAGACATAGGACAGGGTATGGAGTACAAGAGTGAGGTGTCACACACAGGGAACAGGTTAGTAACACTGACATAGGAAAGGGTATGGAGTAAGAGAGAGGTGTCACACACAGAGAACAGGTCAGTAAAACAGACATAGGACAGGGTATGGAGTAAGAGAGAGGTGTTACACACAGAGAACAGGTTAGTAACACAGACATATGACAGGGTGAGAGAGGTGTCACACACAGGGAACAGGTTAGTAACACTGACATAGGACAGGGTATGGAGTACAAGAGTGAGGTGTCACACACAGGGAACAGGTTAGTAACACAGACATAGGACAGGGTATGGAGTACAAGAGTGAGGTGTCACACACAGAGAACAGGTTAGTAACACAGACATAGGAAAGGGTATGGAGTAAGAGAGAGGTGTCACACACAGAGAACAGGTCAGTAAAACAGACATAGGAGAGGGTATGGAGTAAGAGAGAGGTGTCACACACAGAGAACAGGTTAGTAACACAGACATATGACAGGGTGAGAGAGGTGTCACACACAGATAACAGGTCAGTAAAACAGACACAGGACAGGGTATGGAGTACAAGAGTGAGGTGTCACACACAGAGAACAGGTTAGTAACACAGACATAGGACGGGGTATGGAGTAAGAGAGAGGTGTCACACACAGGGAACAGGTTAGTAACACAGACATAGGACAGGGTATGGAGTACAAGAGTGAGGTGTCACACACAGAGAACAGGTTAGTAACACAGACATAGGACAGGGTATGGAGTAAGAGAGAGGTGTCACACACAGAGAACAGGTTAGTAACACAAACATAGGACAGGGTATGGAGTAAGAGAGAGGTGTCACACACAGAGAACAGGTTAGTAACACAGTCATAGGACAGGGTATGGAGTAAGAGAGAGGTGTCACACACAGAGAACAGGTTAGTAACACAGACATAGGACAGGGTATGGAGTAAGTGAGAGGTGTCACACACAGAGAACAGGTTAGTAACACAGACATAGGACAGGGTATGGAGTAAGAGAGAGGCGTCACACACAGAGAACAGGTTAGTAACACAGACATAGGACAGGGTACGGAGTAAGAGAGAGGTGTCACACAAAGAGAACAGGTTAGTAACACAGACATAGGACAGGGTATGGAGTAAGGGAGAGGTGTCTCACACAGAGAACAGGTTAGTAACACAGACATAGGACAGGGTATGGAGTAAGAGAGAGGTGTCACACACAGAGAACAGGTTAGTAACACAAACATAGGACAGGGTATGGAGTAAGAGAGAGGTGTCACACACAGAGAACAGGTTAGTAACACAGACATAGGACAGGGTATGGAGTAAGAGAGAGGTGTCACACACAGAGAACAGGTTAGTAACACGGACATAGGACAGGGTACGGAGTAAGAGAGAGGTGTCACACACAGAGAACAGGTTAGTAACACAGACATAGGACAGGGTATGGAGTAAGAGAGAGGCGTCACACACACAGAACAGGTTAGTAACACAGACATAGGACAGGGTACGGAGTAAGAGAGAGGTGTCACACACAGAGGCATAGGAAACGCAACGTACTTCCCCTTGAGGTCCCCCACAACCTCCTGGATTCGTTTCGCCATCAGAGACTTCAGTTCAGTCGCAGACTTGTTGTACTGCCATGTAGGAACGGACTTCTTTACATCCCAAAATATGTTATGACCTTTCACCTTCTTTCTGGAACACAATCCTGATATGCTGGCACCAACGTTTATCGGAAATGATTTGGCGAATTGCCTTAATGTTTTCGTAAAATGACGCACTTTCAAAGTGAGCGAAATAAATTCCTTGAAAACATCCCCTCCTTACCCATCTGTAACCATACGCAAAGGTCCACACATAATCAAGGTCAGACGTGACGTACTCATGCATGTATGAAACAAGAATAAATAAAATTTAAATCTTTAAATCATTGGAGAGGTGATATTGACAACAGGTGTTTTACAGATAAATGCACATGCCATAGGAACAATTGCTGCTTCTTTCAAAGATATAAAATGGACAAAACCTTTTTCATAATGATAAATCTTTGCTGAAAGCAGAGTGTTTATGAACTTCTGTCACTGCCATCATAACAACTAACAGACCATAAAGATCGTTATACCGACCCCATAGTGCCCTGCAACTACTGCAGCAGCCAGGACGTACCCATGCTTCAGAAGGGCGTCCACGGCAGCGAAGGTAGTGAGGATGTCCCTGTGAAAAGAAATATTTCCCTGACATGTGTCTGTATGACAACTACATCAGTCATACCCCCACCATCGGGCCTTCAATGTGGTAGCACAAACCGTAAACAGGATGACATATGTCTGTATGACAACTACATCAGTCATACCCCCACCATCGGGCCTTCAATGTCGTAGCACAAACCGTAAACAGCATGACATATGTCTGTATGACAACTACATCAGTCATACCCCCACCATCGGGCCTTCAATGTCGTAGCACAAACCGTAAACAGGATGACATATGTCTGTATGACAACTACATCAGTCATACCACCACCATCGGGCCTTCAATGTGGTAGCACAAACCGTAAACAGGATGACATATGTCTGTAGGACAACTACATCAGTCATACCACCACCATCGGACCTTCAATGTGGTAGCACAAACCGTAAACAGCATGACATATGTCTGTATGACAACTACATCAGTCATACCACCACCATCGAGCCTTCAATGTCGTAGCGCAAACCGTAAACAGCATGACATATGTCTGTAGGACAACTACATCAGTCATACCACCACCATCGGGCCTTCAATGTCGTAGCGCAAACCGTAAACAGCATGACATTTGATCAGAAAAAACCACATCTACAGACAATTTCGTCAGCCATTTTGTATGGGCTTTTACAACTGGTCAATCATATAGCAAGATTCTTTCATGAGTACGATAAAAGTGAATACATCTTTGTAGAGACCACATTAACATGATGTGAAAAACAATTTATGTTTTTTTTTCAAATATATTTATGAAACAAAGCCACATGACACAAAAAAAATTGGAACAGACATATGATTTTCATATTCTGATAATCTCAAATTCATTCAACAGGAAGTTGAATGCAGTAGTTTCCATGTTTCTTGGTGTTATCTAGGAAGGCTTCTGTATTGGGGCTCTACCTCAACGTGTTCAGTGCCTTTCCACTTGAGAGCATTAGAGGGCAGCCCCCACTCAAAGTTCTGGTAGAAGAAGTCCTGGTACTTCTTGTAACTGGGGTCCACTATCATCCTGGCATCTATAGCTGAAGCGATGATGAACTCACTGTATGTCTGCTCCAGCTGAGTATCAAACATAACTTCAGTGTAATCGTTTTTAATACTCCAGTATTGACAGTCTTATATGAATTCTGTTATGTTGTCAACTGTATTGTCTAGCTAATGAGATAGGGTCATTATGAGTTGTCTGTCCTGAGTGAACTATTTTTAAGGGACAGAGAATCCGTCATTTCGAGATGTGTTTAGGTTATTCGTTACATTTTGCCGACCGCACTTGCTATAGCTTGTGACGCAGGACTCCAGACATATGACCGACGGGACTGTCGTGATTACATTTCAAGTCTCCTCAATCATACAATTTACAATCTGGCAAACTGGAGTACGAGTAGTGGATCTCTTTTTGATCCACGAGAACAGCAACATTTATCATATAGAAACATGACGAGGAACAAGAACTAGAGTTTTCTTTCTTCTCAATTCTCTTGCATTTCTCTATGCATCAAAATGTGCAAAGGTATGAACAAAATATGTCCACAATAAAGATAATGTATATAATGTATACAAACGTATATATATTTAAAATAACATCTTGGGTGCACGGGGGGCCCAGTCGTCTAAGGCGCCGCGATACGCTTTGCAGAGTTGCGTCCCCTGGACACGCCAGAAACCTATGATTGTGGGTTCGAATCCTGGTTCACCCCGATTATGTTTCTAGGTTTGTCAGCACCATACCCGTGCTTGTGGGTTTCACCGAAGTGGTAAACGTCTGAGACCTGCATCACTTCGGGCTTTCCTCCCACATTAAGCTGACACGCCGTGATATAACTGGAATAATGTTAAAAGCGGCGTTAAACCCAACTCACACACACTTAAAATAACATCTTGGTTCAAAGACTTGCTCATAGTGTGTTTCTCTTCTGAGTCGTCAGTTCTCAGTGAGCCATCGTTCATATCAATGTTTTGAATAAAAAATGAATTTAAAAACTGACATTTTCAAGCTGCAAATATGTCCCCTTACTTATCATACTTTACTTAACTTACATCAACAGTCAATCCAGTTGGGTCGATGTGTGCTCCAGCTAATCTGTAACAGGTGTATTGAAGTAGTGAAGCATTCGAGTGTGGTCGGAATTATGGTAGGTGCTAACACGAATAGTCTTGAAAATGTCATCTTAAAACAATTTTTTAGAAACACTTGAAACTTAATATTCAATAAATATTTTCATACTAAACATGTATCCAGTTCTAAATGTACAAATACTTGCTCAATGGGCAATGCACACCTTGTCACTGATCTTTGTAACTGGCAATCGACTAGTGTCAGTGTTTACCATACATGCAGACATCTGTCACAACAGTCACGATGGAAACCTACTTGATGGTGACGTTTGCTTTCCTCAGCTTCTCTATCCTGTCGTCTGCTGCAGACCGGAAGTTGTGTAGAGGAAGTACTTCCTCAAATGTGGCAGAGTCAAGTAGGTAGTTGACTTGTGGTTGATCGATTTCAATATACACCTTAAAGGTTTTGGTGTCTGAAATTGATGTAAATCCTTATTTCAGTTTTAAGGATATCTTCTGTCAATGTTACAATAAATAAGCATCATATATGACAAGTCTTGCAGTTAACTGTGCCTATGTGTGCCTGTTCTGCCACTGATGAGTCACCGGCTGTCGTCCATATATGGGATATTGTTACCACACTTACCATTAGGTATGAGATAGTCCCCTCCTATGAGGTGCCACCCTGTGCCAAGCTGTATGTGGTGAGACTTGTTACCACACTTACCATTAGGTATGAGATAGTCCCCTCCTATGGGGTGCCACCCTGTGCCAAGCTGTATGTAGGGAGACTTGTTACCACACTTACCATTAGGTATGAGATAGTCTCCTCCTATGAGGTGCCACCCTGTGCCAAGCTGTATGTGGTGAGACTTGTTACCACACTTACCATGGGGTATGAGATAGTCCCCTCCTATGAGGTGCCACCCTGTGCCAAGCTGTATGTTGGGAGACTTGTTACCACACTTACCATTAGGTATGAGATAGTCTCCTCCTATGAGGTGCCACCCTGTGCCAAGCTGTATGTGGTGAGACTTGTTACCACACTTACCATTAGGTATGAGATAGTCCCCTCCTATGGGGTGCCACCCTGTGCCAAGCTGTATGTAGGGAGACTTGTTACCACACTTACCATTAGGTATGAGATAATCTCCTCCTATGAGGTGCCACCCTGTGCCAAGCTGTATGTGGTGAGACTTGTTACCACACTTACCATGGGGTATGAGATAGTCCCCTCCTATGAGGTGCCACCCTGTGCCAAGCTGTATGTAGGGAGACTTGTTACCACACTTACCATTAGGTATGAGATAGTCCCCTCATATGAGGTGCCTGCTCGTGCCAAGCTGTATGTAGGGAGACTTGTTACCACACTTACCATTAGGTATGAGATAGTCCCCTCCTATGAGGTGCCACCCTGTGCCAAGCTGTATGTAGGGAGACTTGTTACCACACTTACCATTAGGTATGAGATAGTCTCCTCCTATGAGGTGCCACCCTGTGCCAAGCTGTATGTAGGGAGACTTGTTACCACACTTACCATTAGGTGTGAGATAGTCCCCTCCTATGAGGTGCCACCCTGTGCCAAGCTGTATGTAGGGAGAATTGTTACCACACTTACCATTAGGTATGAGATAGTCCCCTCCTGTGAGGTGCCACCCTGTGCCAAGCTGTATGTAGGGAGACTTGTTACCACACTTACCATTAGGTATGAGATAGTCTCCTCCTATGAGGTGCCACCCTGTGCCAAGCTGTATGTAGGGAGACTTGTTACCACACTTACCATTAGGTATGAGATAGTCTCCTCCTATGAGGTGCCACCCTGTGCCAAGCTGTATGTAGGGAGACTTGTTACCACACTTACCATTAGGTATGAGATAGTCTCCTCCTATGAGGTGCCACCCTGTGCCAAGCTGAATGTAGGGAGACTTGTTACCACACTTACCATTAGGTATGAGAGAGTCCCCTCCTATGAGGTGCCACTCCGTGCCAAGCTGTATGTAGGGAGACTTGTTACCACACTTACCATTAGGTATAAGATAGTCTCCTCCTATGAGGTGCCACCCTGTGCCAAGCTGTATGTAGGGAGACTTGCCCATGTTGCCGTAATGATGTTTACCTGAACATAGAAGTTAGATTTGTAAGTCACACTTTATATATTGTTGGGTTTTAAAATACATTGGAAGCATCAAGGTTTTTCACTGGGAGTCAAGGGATCTTTCCTTCGTGCTTAAGCAACAGAATCGTGCAATATAAAAGTGACCTGGGGTAATAATTGCCCTTTTATACTTCAAAACTTTTGCCATTACCGGCATAATGAACGACTGGGTTATTTAATTAAACAAATACCGTTTGTGTGGACAATGTCGATCATGATGTTGACGCCATGGTAGAGGTGGCCAGGAAGCTGGTTCAGCAGCTGGATGTAGGCAGTGAAGGAGTACCTGTGTCCGGGCTGCACGGGGACCACCTGGGCGGGACCAGAGTACTTGAACTTCCTGGAGGAGGACAACGTGAGTGAGTGAGTGAGTGAGTGAGTGAGTGAGTGAGTGAGTGAGTGAGTGAGTGAGTGAGTGAGTGAGTGAGTGAGTGAGTGAGTGAGTGAGTGAGTGAGTGAGTGAGTGAGTGAGTGAGTGAGTGAGTGAGTGAGTGAGTGAGTGAGTGAGTGAGTGAGTGAGTGAGTGAGTGAGTGAGTGAGTGAGTGAGTGAGTGAGTGAGTGAGTGAGTGAGTGAGTGAGTGAGTGAGTGAGTGAGTGAGTGAGTGAGTGAGTGAGTGAGTGAGTGAGTGAGTGAGTGAGTGAGTGAGTGAGTGAGTGAGTGAGTGAGTGAGTGAGTGAGTGAGTGAGTGAGTGAGTGAGTGAGTGAGTGAGTGAGTGAGTGAGTGAGTGAGTGAGTGAGTGAGTGAGTGAGTGAGTGAGTGAGTGAGTGAGTGAGTGAGTGAGTGAGTGAGTGAGTGAGTGAGTGAGTGAGTGAGTGAGTGAGTGAGTGAGTGAGTGAGTGAGTGAGTGAGTGAGTGAGTGAGTGAGTGAGTGAGTGAGTGAGTGAGTGGGATTTATCTATATTTGGAAAATATGTTTCATCCGTATTGTAATGTTCATTGATTATGAATTGTTTTACATCCTGTCTTCGTAACCGTATCACTCCAACTTGGGATAAACAAGACTACATGGCAGATGACAGAGTGATAATCATGTTTATAGCTGTTCGGGGCAACAAACAGCTTGAGGTGTGAGGTGTCCGATGTGAACATAGTTTTAGACATATCTGCTGATCAACATGTTACTGGAGGAACGGTGTCACGTGATTATATTCCTTGACATCCCGCGTCCAGTATCACGTGACTCTGTATAACAACATGGCGCAGAGTAGGACGTCATTCAAGAACGTTTGCACCAACCACAGCCTTTTCTCAGTTAAATCATTACGTCACTGAGGAATCTGATTGATCGGCATGACTGTACCCTGTTTGCATGACGTTTGATGTGTTATCACTTACTTGCTTTTTATTGAAAGTGTTTAGTGACGGGTGCAGATGTATTTGTTTATCTCACAATCGCACAGGAAATACAAATGTGTGAACTTGTCAGCTCCCACATATTTGTCTATTAATGTGTCAGTAGCTGAACATTCGTTTGCTTCAATACATACAATTTGACCTTGAATCTCAGCAGCCGCTGAACACAGTGTCCAGTAGGTGATTCCGTCTTCATGCTAAGTATGCATTTATGAATCACTATTTAAATAATTAGTGGTAATATCAGGTATTTGTGAAAAGGTGAATGTGTCCTACCCCATCGGTGTCACAAACACATACAAAGGCAAGTCAGCTGTTCACCTTGACTCAGTAACATAGGTACAGGTACACTGACTTGATCAGGATCCCTCCAGAGTGGAGCAAGTACTTCTAGCCCGGGGGACTACCTGTTGAGAACCTTGACACTTTGACCTCCGGTGTGGCTGTCTGGTGTCAAGGTCATGTCGCACGAGGAACACGCCCACGCTTTGGTGAGATTCCCAGCCTCGAAATCGCCATCTTGCAATAAATTCAGAGCACACCAAGCCCTAGTGATGCTTAGGATAAACACAAGCACAGACAACATGTCTGTCGCAGGTACGTTAGGCCTAATCCCAGCACCCGTGTTGCATGATAGACACAGCGATCCTTATCGTGGTATAAAAATAAATATACTTCTAGTTGACCTGAGATAATATCTTACTTCTGGTGAACTTTAACACCATTGAAGACAGCCATGTTCTTTTAAAGTTCTATAACTGTTAAACCAACAATGCGCATGTACATGTAGCAGGGCGTGGAGTCGTCTCACAGATGACATCCTTACCTTGTCAGCTGGCTGACGGGGTTAACCTCTTTGGTCATGTGGACAAGGCGTCCGACCTCGAATCAGAAGGTCCGTGGTTCGAATCCCAGCACGGGACTCGGAAATATTATGGCCGCTACATACATATTTAAACAACAGACAAACATACCTCGTAAACATATCTCGTAATTGCAACGTGTGTTGTATGTGTTTATTACAGCCATTAATGGAGAGATCATTACAGTGTGTGAAGACGAACTCTCAGAAAGCACGTGCAGGTGTTCATCCGATCAGCACGTGGGACACCTGTGGATATGCACCTGAAACACACACTGATACACTTCCGGCTACTGTTGTCAGTGCCCTGTAGTACCTGCTGCCTTACAATGATAATTGCACCGATTTCTCAATGTCCGATCTATCATTGTGGGAATTAGACTGACATCTATTTACAACCACTAGATGTACTAATCTTCTGTTAAAATTGTCCTTCTTCCATCACTTTGAGGGTGGGAGGTAAAATTACAGGTTTGCTTTTTACAAAGACATAAAATTTCATTTCCCAAATCTAGAACAAGGAAAGGTCTTAGTGCTGTTCACACACTCACCTGATCCGCTGAGAGACACAGTCAGATCCACACCCGCCTGCCCCAGGTTGAAGTCCTCCTCGCGGATAACCTTCCCATGATGCTTCACTCTCAATTTGTACTCTCCCTTGAATGCCCGTATGTTAACGTCGTGGTCACGTGATATCGGGAGTGTCTGATTGGTCCTCCAGTCTTCCCATACGAGCTGGCGAACTATCCTGCCTGCAGCGTTTGGCTTCAACCACAGACAATTTTGAATGTCATGCCTCTATTTATACTATTCTAGGATGACACAACCTATGTGGTGGTTAAACCTATGATCACGGCTGTCCGTATATATGTATATAGTTCTATATATGATGTGAAGAGTGATGAGTAGAAGGAACAGAAGGTCCAGTTGTCCATAGTACAACCAGTGTCCGGGTGGAAGACAGTCACTGCTGGGTCAACCAACCAACTCCTACCCATACTGGACCAGTGTCCGGGTACAAGACAGTCACTGCTGGGTCTACCAACCAACTCTTACCCATACTTGACCAGTGAGCACACATTTAACAAGCAGAGGACACTGGCATCAAAGTTTGCTCAAGATGTTTTCTACCTCCAAACCGACCGGGAAGATCCTGGTTAGAATAGGTATTCAGCAACCCATGCTTGCCGTAAAAGTCGACTATACTTGTCGTAAGAGGCGACTAACGGGATCGGGTGGTCAGGTTCGCTGACTTGGTTGATGCATTTCATCGAATCCCAATTGCGTGGATCGATTATCATGATGTTTATCACTGGATTGTCAGGTCCAGACTCGATTATTTACAGACCGCCCTCATATAGCTGGAATATTGATGAGTATGGCGTTAAACAACAAACAAACAAACAAACAAAACCTCAAAACCTCTGCCTACTTAGCTGTGACCTAGACCTACCGTGACATCCGGGCCCTCTGTCAGCACTGCGTGGGGTTTCCCAATCCCCCCGCTCCAGAAATGCCACTGTACTATTCCCTCAACAGCGCGGTGGCTGTAGAGGAGAGTCAATGATGTCATGAAGCCATTGGATTGGAATTGTATCGTGAACTAAAACAAGATGTTGATGACATACATGACAGAATAAGACATACATGTCAGGTTAAACGTCCCCACCTGTAGTAGAGGTCCTACATGGGAAGGTCTGACATGTCAGGTCAAACGTCCCTACCTGTAGTACAGGCGGTAGAGGTCCTACATGGGAGGTCTGACATGTCAGGTCAAACGTCCCCACCTGTAGTACAGGCGGTAGAGGTCCTACATGGGAAAGTCTGACATGTCAGGTCAAACGTCCCAACCTGTAGTACAGGCGGTAGAGGTCCTTCATGGGAAGGTCTGACATGTCAGGTCAAACGTCCCTACCTGTAGTAGAGGTCCTACATGGGAAGGTCTGACATGTCAGGTCAAACGTCCCCACCTGTAGTACAGGCGGTAGAGGTCCTACATGGGAAGGTCTGACATGTCAGGTCAAACGTCTCCACCTGTAGTAGAGGTCCTACATGGGAAGGTCTGACATGTCAGGTCAAACGTCCCTACCTGTAGTACAGGCGGTAGAGGTCCTACATGGGAAGGTCTGACATGTCAGGTCAAACGTCTCCACCTGTAGTAGAGGTCCTACATGGGAAGGTCTGACATGTCAGGTCAAACGTCCCTACCTGTAGTACAGGCGGTAGAGGTCCTACATGGGAGGTCTGACATGTCAGGTCAAACGTCCCCACCTGTAGTACAGGCGGTAGAGGTCCTACATGGGAAGGTCGGACATGTCAGGTCAAACGTCCCAACCTGTAGTACAGGCGGTAGAGGTCCTTTATGGGAAGGTCTGACATGTCAGGTCAAACGTCCCTATCTGTAGTAGAGGTCCTACATGGGAAGGTCTGACATGTCAGGTCAAACGTCCCCACCTGTAGTACAGGCGGTAGAGGTCCTACATGGGAAGGTCTGACATGTCAGGTCAAACGTCTCCACCTGTAGTAGAGGTCCTACATGGGAAGGTCTGACATGTCAGGTCAAACGTCCCTACCTGTAGTACAGGCGGTAGAGGTCCTACATGGGAAGGTCTGACATGTCAGGTCAAACGTCTCCACCTGTAGTAGAGGTCCTACATGGGAAGGTCTGACATGTCAGGTCAAACGTCCCTACCTGTAGTACAGGCGGTAGAGGTCCTACATGGGAGGTCTGACATGTCAGGTCAAACGTCCCCACCTGTAGTACAGGCGGTAGAGGTCCTACATGGGAAGGTCGGACATGTCAGGTCAAACGTCCCAACCTGTAGTACAGGCGGTAGAGGTCCTTCATGGGAAGGTCTGACATGTCAGGTCAAACGTCCCTACCTGTAGTAGAGGTCCTACATGGGAAGGTCTGACATGTCAGGTCAAACGTCCCCACCTGTAGTACAGGCGGTAGAGGTCCTACATGGGAAGGTCTGACATGTCATGTTAAACGTCCCCACCTGTAGTAGAGGCGGTAGAGGTCCTCGTAGATACGAGCCTTCTCCTGCTCGTCCGCTGTGTCCACATCTAGCTCTGTGATCATGATGGGAAGACCTGCCTTGGCCACCTGGTCCAGACGGAACTGCAGACACACAGACAGAGGCAGATACATAGATACATACAAACATACAGTGATTCCTCATACAGACCCAGTAATGTGACTCATCTGTTGTTATAACATCTGTAATTTCCCATACCCCACACGCCACACCCAAACTCGATTAGTACTGAAGGATGGTATTGGTTGGTGCCTATACGCGGACATGTCAAATGAAGATTAGATCAAGCAGCATCTACCAAACTGACTGACCTTGACAGCAGCAAGGTCAACTGGTGGCGTCATATGACTCTGTATTCCAATACCACCAACAGGAACTCCAGACTTCCTGAAAGTCGTTGCCTGGTCCAGGTACGCCTACAAAATATGGATGGTGTGACATTGAATATCCTCTGAATGTAAATAACCCAAAATAAGATTTTTTGAAATATTGATATTGTTTTACTTGTAAGATGTTATTTTTAAAATCTTTGCTTAGTCCAGGTATGCCTAAAAACACAGATAAGTATTGAATATATTTAACATCTACATTGACAAGTCTAATATATAAATTGTCAATGAAAGAGAATAATCAGTCTAGATTTTCTGCCGAAACACATTCTGCTTGGGGTAAAGGATAAACAGAGGTGGAAATTATATGAATAGATCACTGAACATCTAAGCAAGCAGATACATCATTACCCGTCAGTCAACACTCTCAATAAAAAGCAATGTCACTAAGACAAACTATCTTACAACAGAAGAATTCATCTAGTAAATGGATCTATTGTAAGTTCTACAAACCTGTGTTGTCTACTGAAAGCTTTTAATTGATGCCCTCCTAAGACAGCTTAGAACTTCATATACTTTGATGAAGTGCATAAAGACTAGAGAGGCACAGTAGCACACTCAGAAATCAAAGAGTGTGAACGCAGTTTAATTTAGATTCAATGAAGGATGAATGCTGCTTTGTGTTGGTATGTAGAACTTACGAAGGTGCTCATCTGACTCTTCACAATGTTGTAGTCGTTGAGGAAGAGTTTGACAGCTGGATCAGCTTTGTGCGTCTCTCTGAACATCCACATGGTGATGTTGGGATCTTTGAGTTTCTGCTCGTAGAAGTCCCCGTGTAGGTTCTCGTTGTTGACGTCCCAGTGTTGGAGTCTAGAGACAAACGCAATCACAACAGGCAACACTCAGATCGAAAAAGCTTATAAGGCAACCAGCGTGAGCATCATTGTTCCAGAGAATGAAAATGTTGTCAAAATATTAAATTTTGTCAGAAGCTTCTCTTTATATATTCTATTATATTCTAGTGGGCTGCTTTCGTGGAGGGAGTCACGTTTCCAAGGCGACAGTTGCCCTGGTTACAGTAGGGCCGGGGAAGTCAGTCTGCGTGATTAACCAACATTTCCAAACAAACGCATTCAAGCAGTTTTGCCAAAACATAAAAACAGCATGTTTAAACCACCAAGCAAAATAGAATGACAGGCAGGACAAACAATTATACAAGACTACCTACTTCCCCTTGAGCCCGCCCACCAATTCGTGGATCCGTTTGGCCATGAGACGTTTGAGTTCAGCTCCTGACTTGTTGTACTGCCATGTAGGGATGTTCTTCACGACGTCCCAAAATATATTGTGGCCTTTGACTTTCTTTCTGTAACATTAACACGTCATACAGAAGGCTGGAGGGTGTGCCATGGAAGCGGTCATTCAACAGGAAATACAATGAGGCAACACTTTGAAAAATCAATGTATACAAACCATGTCAACATGTTCCTGAAATGTACCTTTTGTACCTCCTATGTGAGATGGCATTATTCACACTATGACGATCACACTATGAAGGAATGGAATAATACAACTCCATACAAGCAAACAGTAGATGTCACGTATTGAGCAGCTTCTTAGAAGTGACGATTGATTGACTCATCAAGGCTGTGGTTGGAACATCTTGCATCTTAGGTTTTGCTGAAGGAAATGTCAAATGTATTTGGTGCCTTTTTAATGGAAGATGAATTTCGCTGACCAATATTTCACAACAGTCATTGGTGCTGACGATTATTTCACAACAGTGATTGGTGCTGACCATTTCGCACAACGATTGGTGCTCACCATCACTTCATAACAATAAGTTGTTATATGACAGTGTTACAGTGTTACACAATGACTGTAACTGAAGTACATTGTTTCTGTTGAGATTCAGAAGAAGTTCATTGCATTGTATTGGACAATTATTAGTTGTCAGGGCAAAACTTTCCGTGTCGTAATAGCCATTGTGTGTGTCAGTGTGCGATGAATCTTTTGAGTGTTTTCTTTGCCTGACCCCGACTTGACAATGTGCAGGCAATGGAGACATGACTATTATACTGCTGAATAAGACAACACGCAACATTCCCTCACTCTCACCTGTCTCCCTTTCCTCTGTCTCCATACCCCCTCCACCCACCCATCCCCTCCACCCACCCACCCCCACCCACCCCCTCCTCTTGTGACAACACACAACATTCCCTCACTCTCACCTGTCTCCCTTTCTTCTGTCTCCATACCCCCTCCACCCCACCCTCCCCCTCCCCCTCCTCTTGTGTCATGTTTGTGTGTGACATACCCGTGTTTAAGGAGGGCGTCGACGGCAGTGAAGGGCTTCGAGTACCGGAGATGTCCCTGTGGAAAAAGCATTGGCTATGTATAAAAAGAGTCAAGATTCTAAAACTTCAAAGAGTATATCTCATGACCTTTAGGACAGATATATGATTTGTAACATCTGTTAAATTCATATTTTGCAAACCATAAATTACCAGCATCTGAGAAATGACAAAACATGATCAACTAGAAACAACTAAATAGACTACTTTGTAAATTGTAGATGTTTCGAGCAGCAGATTTTCAGGTGAATTTCAAAAGGTGTTAAAGCCATGAAGGTTTGTTGGGGTATCCCAATGATTAAAGCATTTGCTCATCCGATTAGACAGGTTCGATTCCAAAAATAAATAAAGGTTGGAAGTGGCATCCTAGGAAGCAAAACAACTAACTCACTTGCTTAAAACATGAATATAAATATTTTCATTCTCTGTGATAAACTAATGACAAAAGATCTCAGAAAGGTGCATCGTTGCATGTTCCACACAGAGAAAAGAGCCTTTGGTCAGCAGGTCGTATCGAAAAAGACATCAGAACATAAAGCTATTGAAACTATTAAGTAGGGTTATGTTTGCTATTGCTGGTTTCTAGAAAGGTTTCTGTATTCCTGTTGCACCTCCTTTCGTTCAGTGCCTTTCCACTTGAGGGCATTCGCTGGAACTCCCCACTCAAAGTTCTGGTAGAAGAAGTCCTGGTACTTCTTGTAATTGGGGTCCACTATCATATCGGCGTGAAGAGCTGAGGCGATGATGAACTCGCTGTATGTCTGTTCCAGCTGAAAATAAAACACGACTTCAGTTTTCTGTTGTCTTTGAAAGTCCCTAAGTATTTCCAGTCATGGTATCAAGGTATGCCATGTATTATGCTGCAGCAACATAGGTAGTGATGATACATGGTGGAGAACTGTCTCTGACATCCACACAACAGAAGGCCTGACTTACAGATGAGCTGACTTCAACTCTCTGTATCATCACGTCCACGAAGGTGTTGTGCCCCCAACTCGTGCCAGTGTCCTATTGTCTTCAGTTCAAATCGCATTGGTTGGTCCATACCCATGTTCGGGGCACCACCAAAGGTAAACATTTATCATTTCACATTACATCACACGTATTTCACATGTTTGTTTGTTGGGGTGGCCCCTTATAGTAAGGCCCCTCCTCACTCAGTAATATTCTATCTATATAACGGCCGTCTGTAAATATTTGAGTCTGGACCAGACAATCAAGTGATTGACATCACACGCATCGATCCATGCATTTGGGATGCGATGACATGCATCAACAAAGTCAGCCAGCCTGATCACCCATCCTGTTTGTCACCTATTAGGACAATTACAATCGCCTTTTTGACGATAGGGGTTAAAAGGGGTCATCGTTTATGCCAGAAGAACTATACTTGAGAGGGAGTGTTCGAAATCTGCCCGTAGGCCCGAGGCCAACAGATTTGTTCTCGGGCTGATAGGCTTCCAGTTTATTTTAAGCTGTAAATATGGTTAATGAATCATTACACTGACATTGCTTAGTGAGCCAGCATGCAGCTTCAAAGTACTCTGCTCGCTAACTCTTCAACAACGCATGCAGCAGTGAAGCTTCTGGTTAACTGGTTGTGTTTTGTAATTTATATTGCAAGAGTATGTCTCCCTTCTCAGCTAAAACGTTTGGGCCTGCAGTTTCCCACTAGGCCTGCAGTTTCCCACTGGGCCTGCAGTTTCCCACTGGGCCTGCAGTTTCCCACTGGGCCTACAGTTTCCCACTGGGCCTACAGTTTCCCACTGGGCCTACAGTTTTCCACTGGGCCTACAGTTTCCCACTGGGCCTACAGTTTCCCACTGGACCTGCAGTTTCCCACTGGGCCTACAGTTTCCCACTGGGCCTACAGTTTCCCACTGGGCCTGCAGTTTCCCACTGGGCCTACAGTTTCCCACTGGGCCTGCAGTTTCCCACTGGGCCTGCAGTTTCCCACTAGGCCTGCAGTTTCCCACTGGGCCTGCAGTTTCCCACTGGGCCTGCAGTTTCCCACTGGGCCTGCAGTTTCCCACTGGGCCTGCAGTTTCCCACTAGGCCTGCAGTTTCCCACTAGGCCTACAGTTTCCCACTGGGCCTACAGTTTCCCACTGGGCCTGCAGTTTCCCACTAGGCCTGCAGTTTCCCACTAGGCCTGCAGTTTCCCACTAGGCCTGCAGTTTCCCACTGGGCCTACAGTTTCCCACTGGGCCTGCAGTTTCCCACTAGGCCTGCAGTTTCCCACTAGGCCTGCAGTTTCCCACTGGGCCTGTGTGAAATGTGCTGTCCCTTAAGGCTCTCAGTTTACTCTGCTGAGTTTCAGGTGAGAGGACAACACAAAGTGATACGGTTCTTAGATGTAGATTTTTGGGAAACCCACGAGCACGGGCATGGTGCTGACAAGTTTTTAATGGAACCGACTAGCACTGGTTTCTGGGGCGCCTAAGGGACGCAACTCTGCACAACGATGTTCTGTGCCATAGATGAATGGGCCATCGTGTCCACTTCATTTGACACATTACTCACGACTCACTGTACTTACATCCACAGTTAATCCACTCGGGTCGATGTGTGAGCCAGAGAGTCTACAATCAAACAGACTTGGTGTCATTAAGCTGTGAAAAGTGTCCTGTGTGTTTACATGATAAAATGAAGCACACAGCTCTATCACTACTCACCTTAAGGCACTTTCTGGATTGGACCAGTGGACTTGCGAATGTGACTTTAAACGATGAACATATAGAACTTGTTAAGATGAAACTATCTAGCTATTGTTTTCAATACATAACACGTCACACTGTCAGTAGCCAAAATGTCAGGTGAAATCAAAGTATGCACAAAAAGGAATGTAATACATGCAGACATCTGTCACCATGGAAACCTACTTGATGGTGACGTTTGCTTTCCTCAGCTTCTCTATCCTGTCATCTGCTGCAGACCGGAAGTTGCGTAGAGGAAGTACTTCCTCAAATGTGGCAGAGTCAAGTAGGTAGTTGACTTGTGGTTGGTCGACTTCAATATACACCTTAAAGGTTTTGGTGTCTGAAATCGATATATATATATATATATATATATATATATATATATATATATATATATATATATATATATATATATATATATATATTTACTATTATTCCATCAGGTATCTCCTGCCTGTTATAGTGAGTGAGTATGTTATTTTCGCCTATTTCGGGGCACACAAAACTTGGGCTTCACTCTCAACACCGTTGTGGAGAATCGAACCGGCTCTCGTGACGAAAAAACGCTTTCAGTACGTGTTTACCCTAGTGTTAGCCTTACGACATCACGTCGGTATTTTATAATCCCTGTGCCAACCTATGCCACGGAGGATAGGGGGTGGGGGGTGGGGGTGGGGGGTTCCTTTCACGGAGATTCCACTTGATTAACTAGCTTCTCTTGATCAGTCACTTTTGGGTGGTCCCGGAGCTTGATATGATATCTTCCCATGCTTGTTGATTACGCTTGTTGAAAATAGTTGCTTAAGGAAGCATCCTTTTGATGTGTATTGGGGGTGGCAAGCTGTATCAATTAAACTATTTTATACCCAACACCATCAAATAATCTACTCATTTTCACTTTAAACACACACAATAATTGACCTTGGGTTTTTTTCCACAAGAAAAAACTATTCCTTGTTTTCCCCACTGCCATCAAACTATTCATGTTGAGCATATTTCTGAGCAAACAATTTTTTTAAACACACACCAAACACAACCCCATCAACACAACCCCATCAGCACAACCCCATCAACACAACCCCATCTACACAACCCCATCAACACAACCCCCCACCACCCCCACCACCCCCAACCACCTCCAGAAATGAAATAGTGAGACTTGTTACCACACTTACAATTAAGTATGAGATAGTCCCCTCCTATGAGATAGCACCCTGTGCCAAGCTGTATGTGGTGAGACTTGTTACCACACTTACCATTAGGTATGAGATAGTCCCCTCCTATGAGGTGCCACCCTGTGCCAAGCTGTATGTAGGGAGACTTGTTATCACACTTACCATTAGGTATGAGATAGTCCCCTCCTATGAGATACCACCCCGTGCCAAGCTGTATGTGGGGAGACTTATTATCACACTTACCATTAGGTATGAGATAGTCTCCTCCCATGAGGTGCCACCCTGTGCCAAGCTGTATGTAGGGAGACTTGTTATCACACTTACCATTAGGTATGAGATAGTCCCCTCCTATGAGATACCACCCCGTGCCAAGCTGTATGTGGGGAGACTTATTATCACACTTACCATTAGGTATGAGATAGTCTCCTCCTATGAGGTGCCACCCTGTGCCAAGCTGTATGTAGGGAGACTTGTTATCACACTTACCATTAGGTATGAGATAGTCCCCTCCTATGAGATACCACCCCGTGCCAAGTTGTATGTGGGGAGACTTATTATCACACTTACCATTAGGTATGAGATAGTCTCCTCCTATGAGGTGCCACCCTGTGCCAAGCTGTATGTGGGGAGACTTGTTATCACACTTACCATTAGGTATGAGATAGTCTCCTCCTATGAGGTGCCACCCTGTGCCAAGCTGAATGTAGGGAGACTTGTTACCACACTTACCATTAGGTATGAGATAGTCTCCTCCTATGAGGTGCCACCCTGTGCCAAGCTGAATGTAGGGAGACTTGTTACCACACTTACCATTAGGTATGAGATAGTCCCCTCCCATGAGGTGCCACCCTGTGCCAAGCTGAATGTAGGGAGACTTGTTACCACACTTACCATTAGGTATGAGATAGTCCCCTCCTATGAGGTGCCACCCTGTGCCAAGCTGAATGTAGGGAGACTTGTTATCACACTTACCATTAGGTATGAGATAGTCCCCTCCTATGAGGTGCCACCCTGTGCCAAGCTGAATGTAGGGAGACTTGTTACCACACTTACCATTAGGTATGAGATAGTCCCCTCCTATGAGGTGCCACCCTGTGCCAAGCTGAATGTAGGGAGACTTGTTACCACACTTACCATTAGGTATGAGATAGTCCCCTCCTATGAGGTGCCACCCTGTGCCAAGCTGAATGTAGGGAGACTTGCCCATCTTGTCGTGGTGATGGCTGCCTACACACAGAAGTAAGTTTGCCTTTTTAGTGTACTGGTTCGTAAAGGGCTGCCTTAACACTTCAATTATAAAAGTAAAAGTAGGAGGGATATAGCCACGTGTCCAGGGAGCGTCTCTGAAAGGAGAATTCCACATATTTGGAGAAACCAACATCATATTTCTTTTCAGGACATCAACAATTACTTTTGGAAAATCACTGGAATGTTTTCAGGAAAGCAAATATTTTTCTTAGAAATGAAAAGGAATTTATGCAAATGATTATCTTTGTAAACAACGGGCAATAGAATATGCGTGCCGCACATTAACCAGACATCACTTAACGACGTCAAATGTTTCGCTGTCCAGGGAGATTTGACCTGAGCAACACATCAACATACTCAATATTAATATTTGGGGAGATTTGTGAAATAGATAACGACATGTCATCTTTCTCTACATTAGTAGGCAATGTACACTGACAGAAATTAAACGTAAAGTTTACTAACTTAGTTATTGAAATTGACTGTCCACTCAGACATTAACATGTAACTAGACTAATCAGTTGGTATTTTCTTTACTAAAAAGGTTAAGCAGTAATCACATCTACTTTCATTGTCAGCTTGCATGTATGAGAGAAATACTATCCGGCACAACGCAACAACACATTGATGACGGCGTGTCAGCTTAATGTGGGAGGAAAGCCCGAAGTGATGCAGGTCACAGACGTTTAACCCTTCGGTGAAATCCACGAGCACGGGTATGGTGCTGACAAACCTAGAAACATACTCGGGATGAACCTGGATTTGAACCCACAATCATAAGTTTCTGTCGTGCCCAAGGGACGTAACTCTGTACAGCGAATCGCGAGGCCTTAGACGTGTGTTGTAAGAAGTGAGTTTAACGTCGCTTTTAACACTATTCCGGTTATATTGCGGCGTGTCAGCTAAATGTGGGAGGAAAGCCCGAAGTGATGCAGGTCTCAGACGTTTACCACTTCGGTGAAAACCACGAGCACGGGTATGGTGCTGACAAACCTTGAAACATAATCGGGGCGAACTGGGATTCGAACCCACAATCATAGGTTTCCGGTGTGCCCAAAGGACGCAACTCCGCACAGCGAACCGCGGCGCCTTAGACGACAGGGCAGGATAAAATATACCTTCTGGCCGCTGTTACTTATTAAGTAGGAATACGCAAGACTTCTGTCTCACTAACTATTCAGGACAAATACATGTCATTTGTGTTCTACAATATACATATACATTTTGGTACTTTCAACAATGTCCCGCGTTTGTTTCTCTGTTTTCTATTTAAACCCGTCCCAAGGGATGTGTGGGGCCAATCCTACCTGTTGTTGTGACCACGTCTACGTTGATGTTGACGCCATGGTAGAGGTGGCCAGGAAGCTGGTTCAGCAGCTGGATGTAGGCAGTGAAGGAGTACCTGTGTCCGGGCTGCACGGGGACCACCTGGGCGGGACCTGACCTTGACCTTCTGGAGAAGAGAGAGTGAGTGAGTGAAGGAATACCTGTGTCCGGGCTGCACGGGGACCACCTAGGCGGGACCTGACCTTGACCTTCTGGAGAAGAGAGAGTGAGTGAGTGAGTTTGGTTTTACGCCGCTTTTAGCAATATTCCAGCAATATCACGGCGGGGGACACCAGAAATGGGCTTCACACATTGTACCCATGTCGGGAATTGAACCCGGGTCTTCGGCTTGACGAGCGAACGCGTTAACCACTAGGCTACCCGACGTCCCTCTGGAGAAGAGAGAGGTCACTTGTTACATCACGGGTTGCAAGTCACGGGTTCGCTCTTTTAGAAATAATATAAAAAACATACACATGTATATTTGACACGATACTTGTTGAGACCAAGATAGGATAGGTTCGTGTAGGATATATACCGCCAGAGCGAGACCAAAATAAACAGAAACCTCCAAGACACACATACTGAGTAGGTTTGTCACAAACATACTGACACGCACTGACAAGTCCCTTATGCTACCATCACACCAAAGTATTCCCTCATATACTTTGTTTCGCAATAGGACCAACGTCATTTATTAGTTGGAAAACGCACTTCATCCACCATTGAATATACAGGGTGAACGCTAGTGAATCACCAGTCTCGATTATCTGCTGAAAGAGATTCCACTAGGTATAAAGTGATGAAATTGTGATGCAAATTACATGAAAAGATCAGTGAAAATCAGTGATAACACGAGGCGTAAAATGATAAGTATGTCCTGCCCCGTCGAATTCAGCATTAAGAAATGCTGAATAACTTCTCATTCGTAGGACCTAAATGATTAACAGAACTGCTTCGTGAACGACTTTCGTAACGCCATGTCTTATCTGTAGTCTGAATATCTCGACACAAGGTGAAAGGCTCTCTAGCCTGCTGGCGGGTACTCTCTCCCGAGATAACAAAAAGTCCAACATTCACTGTTCCGGTTATTCTGCCTGCATCAGTATTCCAGGTACCTCATACATGCAGTATCTCCCTAAAACTTTTCCGTTAAAATTATTGTTAGTATACATGGAGTGAAACAAACTGCACATTCACCATTCGTGCTCAAATATCCAAGCGACTTTCTCCTTCCCAGCCAAGCGTGGATGCCGTACATGATCACCGCTACCTTGGAATAGCAAGCCTTAAGGAGACTTGAGTTAGCAGCACGGCTACATGACGTAAAATACTGAAATATACTTGACGAACCATTGTTAGGTACAAACCTGGCGGCAGACTGACGTCTGTAGCTGGTGAGAATTTACAGTACGAGATTGCGGCAAAGGATGACATTGTGTCGTGTGTAGAATAACGTGTTGACCCGCCATGTTGGCTTATTTACCCTTATATTGCTCTATTAACCCTTATATTGTTCTATTTACCCTTATATTGTTCTATTTACCCTTATATTGTTCTATTTACCCCTATATTGTTCTATTTACCCCTATATTGGTCTATTTACCCTTATATTGTTCTATTTACCCTTATATTGTTCTATTTACCCTTATATTGTTCTATTTACCCCTATATTGTTCTATTTACCCTTATATTGCTCTATTTACCCTTATATTGATCTATTTACCCCTATATTGCTCTATTTACCCTTATATTGCTCTATTTACCCTTATATTGCTCTATTTACCCTTATAGTGTTCTGCTATAATCAAAATGTCTTCCAGAGATAGATGGCATGACCGCCCTACGACACTGTTGCATTGTTCCTCCTTCCAGAGCAGTAACCCATGGTTACAGACACACTAACCCTAAACTGGCGTTACATAGCTTCAACGGGTACCTGGACACCGACGAAATACAATTAAGAAATGACAGTCACTTAATGTGAGTTCAGTGGAGTATGAACCTTAATAGAATGAGGGCCAAACTGTATGAAGGTGGGAGCTTGCGTGTTTACACTGACAGCCTTACAACAACCAGCTGTATCGCGGAATAAAATAGTTCCCCAAAACGAGAGGTGTATGAGCGTATCTTTGCTCAACTTGCTTTACAGGAACTGCTGTTGTAGTTCGGTCACAAGAAATGTATTCAAATAATATCATCACTTGGTGTGAAAAGTCTGTTAAGAACTACCTCAGTACATCAGACACAATGATAGCGCGTCGTAATACATTTACATAAGACACATGACGTCAAAATGAACAACACGATAAACGTGACGGGGGAGATTTCCGAAGTTGTTAATTGAACCTGTGGCGGTTACATGTGTTAGTCATCATAGATCATTGGAAGGCGATTATGGAAATGTGTCAAGTAGATACTAAGGTAAATCCATAGATTGCTGTAGACTGTAACTGTAAGTCCAGACCACAGTGATTACATTAACACCATTTGAATATGAAACCGTTACAGTAATATGACGTCAGTGGGCACTTGTTAATACGACTACCTGTTGTGAACCTTGACACTGTGACTTCCGGTGTGGCTGTCTGGGGACAGGGTCATGTCACACGAGCACGACCACGCCCTGGTGGGACTCCCAGCCTCGAAGTCGCCATCTTGTAATACATTCGGAGCACACCAAGCCCCGACCAGGGTCAGGACGAACAGAAACACAGCCACCATGTCTGTCTCTAGAGAAACACTTAGTTTCTTATCTCGGCTGATACTATACGACCATGACCTTTAACCTTCATAGATGACCATTATACACAAATACACGTTATGTTCAAATGCTGCTTCTTAGATTAAAGTCTGATGTTCTGGCACGCTACGGCCGGCGGTGTTGTATAGGCCTATTCATGGTGTTTCACATGCACAACCTGCGGGTGCATCGATCCCGTGTTTTTCATGTGTTGTACGTTTCTGGGGTGTTACAGATGTAACAACTCAGTATAACATGGTGTACTGATTGTTGCTGCGTTTTGAAGATTCCAACAATAACATAACATGGCATCAAAAGGCATATTCATGTTGCATGTATCATTTATGTGCAAATATATTCCATACATATATAATCTTTCTTCTTTTTCAGGACCCGTGCAGATCCGGGTTAGAATCACTGAATTGTCAGGTCCAGGCTCGATTATTTACAGACCACCGTCACACAAAGAAATATTGCTGAGTGCGGCGTTAAACAACAAACAAACAAAACAAACAAACAAACATATCTTCTTTGGATGAGCATCCCAATCTCCTTCTCCGAGTTCACAATCAGATTGAAGACTTTTTCGAGAAAGAAGGATGTTACCTCTTAGGAAATGATATGGGCGTCATGCATGTAACCAGTTTTACTTACCAGCTGTATGTTGCTAAACTGATAATGTCCTTCAGGGTTGGCGTTGCCCAAAATACATTTTTCACATTCCTTATAAATTGAATCTGGCAGATACCTGGAGTAGAAATGGATCATAGATATTTTATATAAGGAAGAGAACTTATGGATATCAGCTTCTCTATTTTGTTGAAAACATAACGTTTCGGAGTATATGCTTGCTCCTTCATCAGGTGAATTAACCATAACTTCTCTTCCTTATGTGTATCACTTCTAAATGCCTTTCAAAGACTAGATATTCCATGGCCTGTACAATATTTTGTATTGAAGCTGACTATAACTTAACTCTGACATGTAATAGCTTTCACACCCAACGAGTGATCGCGTTATATAGCCAACAAGGCACAATTACAAATGTCTTCATCATGGCCAATATTGTACAGCATGTAGCAATGTACAGTAAATATAGCATGCAATGTTTGTACCAACTTAAGCCGTGAAGATCCGGGGTAGAATAGGTCTTCAGCAACCCATGCTTGCCGCAAAAGGCAACTATGCTTGTCGTGCCGACTAACGGGATCGGGTGGTCAGGCAAGCTGATTTGGTTGATGCATATCAAGGTATCCCATTTGCGTGGATCGATGCTCATGATGTCATTTCCTGGATTATTTATAGACCGCCATCATATAGCTGGAATATTGCGGCGTTAAACAACAAACAAACCAGTGTAACAAAATTCACTACACTGCAATAAGGAAGTGTGAAGTCTCTTTGTATTCTACACACGTTGTACTTGGGCCCATGGCTGACACACGTTGTACATGGCTGACACACGTTGTACATGGGACCATGGCTGACACATGTTGTACATGGCTGACACACGTTGTACATGGGACCATGGCTGACACACGTTGTACATGGGCCCATGGCTGACACACGTTGTACATAGGCCCATTGCTGACACACGTTGTACATGGGACCATGGCTGACACACGTTGTACATGGCTGACACACGATGTACATAGGCCCATTGCTGACACACGTTGTACATGGGACCATGGCTGACACACGTTGTACATGGCTGACACACGTTGTACATAGGCCCATTGCTGACACACGTTGTACATGGGCCCATGGCTGACACACGTTGTACATGGCTGACACACGTTGTGCATGGCTGACACACGTTGTACATGGGCCCATGGCTGACACACGTTGTACATAGGCCCATTGCTGACACACGTTGTACATGGGACCATGGCTGACACACGTTGTACATGGCTGACACACGATGTACATAGGCCCATTGCTGACACACGTTGTACATGGGACCATGGCTGACACACGTTGTACATGGCTGACACACGTTGTACATAGGCCCATGGCTGACACACGTTGTACATGGCTGACACACGTTGTACATAGTCCCATGGCTGACACACGTTGTACATGGGACCATGGCTGATACACGTTGTACATGGCTGACACACGATGTACATGGCTGACACACGTTGTACATAGGCCCATTGCTGACACGCGTTGTACATGGCTGACACACGTTGTACATGGCTGACACACGTTGTACATGGCTGACACACGTTGTACATGACTGACACACGATGTACATGGCTGACACACGTTGTACATGGCTGACACACGTTGTACATGGGTCCATGGCTGACACACGTTGTACATGGGACCATGGCTGACACACGTTGTACATGGGACCATGGCTGACACACGTTATACATGGGACCATGGCTGACACACGTTGTACATGGCTGACACACGTTGTACATAGTCCCATGGCTGACACACGTTGTACATAGGCCCATGGCTGACACACGATGTACATTGCTGACACACGATGTACATGGCTGACACACGTTGTACATGGGCCCATGGCTGACACATGTTGTACATGGGACCATGGCTGACACACGATGTACATGGCTGACACACGTTGTACATGGCTGACACACGTTGTACATGGCTGACACACGATGTACATTGCTGACACACGATGTACATGGCTGACACACGTTGTACATGGGCCCATGGCTGACACACGTTGTACATGGGACCATGGCTGACACACGATGTACATGGCTGACACACGTTGTACATGGCTGACACACGTTGTACATGGCTGACACACGATGTACATTGCTGACACACGTTGTACATGGCTGACACACGTTGTACATGGGCCCATGGCTGACACACGTTGAACATGGGACCATGGCTGACACACGATGTACATGGCTGACACACGTTGTTCATGGCTGACACACGTTGTACATGGCTGACACACGATGTACATGGCTGACACACGTTGTACATGGCTGACACACGTTGTACATGGGCCCATGACTGACACACGTTGTATATGTCTGACACACATACAGGAATTACGACGTCTTCAACACTACTCGTGACGGTGGGGCAGCCAAGTGGTTCAAGGTTCGATTCCCCACAAGGGTACAATGTGTGAAGCCCATTTCTGGTGTCCCCCGCCAAGATCTTGCTGGAATACTGTTGCGTAAAACCATACTCATTCACTTGTGGCGGACATGGTGGAAACTGGCCAACTGTGACTTTTTTTATTCCTGCTCTCTGAACGTCCTTCCGTCAAAAAGGACATCATCAATTTGAGTGAATGAGTGCGTTTGCGTTACCGCCGCTTGGAGGAGTATTTCAGTTATATCGCCAAAAGCCTGAAGTGATGCAGGGGAGAGACTTCAGCACTTTGGTGAACCCCACAGCCCGGGGGATGATGCTGATCAACCTAAATGTACAAACAGGGCGAATTGGGGACGTGAATCTACCTAGGGGACGCAACTCTGCGCAATGAATGGCATCGCCTATGACGTGACTTTGAACGCCTTTCACATATTTGTTTATGCGGCGACAATGTGACAACGCAACATAAAATGCTACAATTGGTCAAAATGTCGCGTGTTGGTCAATTGTGTCACATTGTGCCTGGTTTTGTAAGGGCGATAACGCGACAATGTCCCTTCTAGGTTTCCATAATGTCCGCACCATACATGAACCGTTATGTTTGTTTACTCGCTGCAGTATTCACATTTAAATCTGCTCATTAAGGAAACAGGAATTGAGATTGTTGTCAAGCCAACGCCCCGCACATTACGTGCATATCGCGATATAAACATCCTAGTCTACACTGCCTTATTTGGGCAACACAGGTTATATTCAGAAACATTTCACCGTACCAGGCACTAGGCCGAGTGAGATTCTAATTAGTGTTACATACTTGTACAATGTAACATGACCCGTCGTTATCTCATAACCCTGTGCCTCCCCCCCCCCCCCCCCCCCCCCCCCCGTCCCTCCACTGGGAACGATTGTTTACTGGGCGACACGGTCTTGAACTGAGGTGTAGATCTGACCCTCTCGCTGTGTACGAACGATGTCAGCTTGCTCTCTCCTGTAGCATCAACACTCGGATATTTCAAGATGGCGGCCACCGCCATTGATCTGTTAGCAGTTGTCTGGATGGGGACGTTTGCTGCCAGGTATGTCACACTCACTGGAGTTACTTGTTTGTGTGCTTGGTGGTATCTTGTGGGTTAGTTCCATGTGGTGATGCAGGTTTCACATCACTATAGACTGATGAACACAATGTATAGCTATAGACTGATGAACAGTAGTATACCAATAGACTGATGAACACAATGTATACCTATAGACTGATGAACACAATGTATCATTAAGACTGGTAAACACAATTTACCACTATAGACTGATGAACACTATGTAAAGCTAAAGACTAATGAACACAATGTATCACTATAGACCGATGAACACAATGTATAACTATAGACTGATGAACACAATGTATCATTAAGACTGGAAAAGACAGCGTTCGACTATAGACTGATGAACACTATGTATAACTATAGACTGATGAACACAATAAATCACTATGGACTGATGAACACAATGTATCACTATATTCTGATGAACACAATGTATCATTAAGACTGGAAAAGACAGCGTTCCACTATAGACTGATGAACACTATGTATAACTATAGACTGATGAACAGTAGTATACCAATAGACTGATGAACACAATGTATACCTATAGACTGATGAACACAATGTATCATTAAGACTGGTAAACACAAATTACCACTATAGACTGATGAACACTATGTATAACTATAGACTGATGAACACAATGTATCACTATAGACCGATGAACACAATGTATAACTATAGACTGATGAACACAATGTATCATTAAGACTGGAAAAGACAGCGTTCGACTATAGACTGATGAACACTATGTATAACTATAGACTGATGAACACAATAAATCACTATGGACTGATGAACACAATGTATAGCTATAGGCTGATGGACACAATGTATAACTATAGACTGATGAACACAATAAATCACTATGGACTGATGAACACAATGTATCACTATATTCTGATGAACACAATGTATCATTAAGACTGGAAAAGACAGCGTTCCACTATAGACTGATGAACACTATGTATAACTATAGACTGATGAACAGTAGTATACCAATAGACTGATGAACACAATGTATCATTCAGTCTGGAAAAGACAGCGTTCCACTATAGACTGATGAACACTATGTATAACTATGGACTGATGAACACAATTTACCACTATAGACTGATGAACACAATGTATTACAACACTATGGATTGACTGACATAGATCTGTGTACAAGTATGGACTGACTGACACACATCTGTGTACTAGTATGGACCGACACATATCTGTGTACAAGTATGGACTGACTGACACACATCTTTGTACTAGTATGGACTGACCGACACACATCTTTGTACTAGTATGGACTGACTGACACACATTTTTGTACTAGTATGGACTGACCGACACACATCTGTGTACAGGTATGGACCGACTGACATTCATCTGTGTACAAGTATGGACTGACCGACACATATCTGTGTACAAGTATGGACTGATTGACACATATCTGTGTACAAGTATGGACTGACTGACACACATCTTTGTACTAGTATGGACAGACTGACACACATCTTTGTACTAGTATGGACTGACTGACACACATTTTTGTACTAGTATGGACTGACCGACACACATCTGTGTACAGGTATGGACCGACTGACATTCATCTGTGTACAAGTATGGACTGACTGACACATATCTGTGTACAAGTATGGACTGATTGACACATATCTGTGTACAAGTATGGACTGACTGACACACATCTTTGTACTAGTATGGACAGACTGACACACATCTGTGTACAAGTATGGACTGACTGACACACATTTTTGTACTAGTATGGACCGACACATATCTGTGTACAAGTATGGACTGACTGACACACATCTTTGTACTAGTATGGACAGACTGACACACATCTGTGTACAAGTATGGAGTGACCGACACAGATCTGTGTACAAGTATGGACAGACTGACACATATCCGTGTACAAGTATGGACTGACTGACACACATCTGTGTACAAGTATGGAGTGACCGACACACATCTGTGTACAAGTATGGAGTGACCGACACAGATCTGTGTACAAGTATGGACAGACTGACACATATCTGTGTACAAGTATGGACAGACTGACACATATCTGTGTACAAGTATGGACTGACCGACACATATCTGTGTACAAGTATGGACTGACCGACACACATCTGTGTACAAGTATGGACAGACTGACACATATCTGTGTACAAGTATGGACTGACTGACACATATCTGTGTACAAGTATGGACAGACTGACACAGATCTGTGTACAAGTATGGACTGACCGACACATATCTGTGTACAAGTATGGACTGACTGACACACATCTGTGTACAAGTATGGAGTGACCGACACACATCTGTGTACAAGTATAGACTGACTGACACACATCTGTGTACAAGTATGGACTGACTGACACACATCTGTGTACAAGTATGGACTGACTGACACAGATCTGTGTACAAGTATGGACTGACCGACACATATCTGTGTACAAGTATAGACTGACTGACACACATCTGTGTACAAGTATGGACTGACTGACACACATCTGTGTACAAGTATGGACTGACTTACACACATCTAGGTACAAGTATGGACTGACTGACACACATCTGTGTACAAGTATGGAGTGACCGACACACATCTGTGTACAAGTATGGAGTGACCGACACATATCTGTGTACAAGTATGGAGTGACCGACACACATCTGTGTACAAGTATGGAGTGACCGACACACATCTGTGTACAAGTATGGAGTGACCGACACATATCTGTGTACAAGTATGGAGTGACCGACACACATCTGTGTATAAGTATGGACTGACCGTCACAGATCCGTGTACAAGTATGGACTGACTGACACATATCTGTGTACAAGTATGGACAGACTGACACACATCTGTGTACAAGTATGGACTGACCGACACACATCTGTGTACAAGTATAGACTGACTGACACACATCTGTGTACAAGTATGGACTGACTTACACATATCCGTGTACAAGTATGGACTGACTTACACACATCTATGTACAAGTATGGACTGACTGACACACATCTGTGTACAAGTATGGACTGACTTACACACATCTATGTTCAAGTATGGACTGACTGACACACATCTGTGTACAAGTATGGAGTGACCGACACACATCTGTGTACAAGTATGGAGTGACCGACACACATCTGTGTACAAGTATGGAGTGACAGACACACATCTGTGTACAAGTATGGACTGACTGACACACATCTGTGTACAAGTATGGACTGACTGACACACATCTGTGTACAAGTATGGACTGACTGACACACATCTGTGTACAAGTATGGACTGACTGACACACATCTGTGTACAAGTATGGAGTGACCGACACACATCTGTGTACAAGTATGGACTGACTGACACACATCTGTGTACAAGTATGGACTGACTGACACACATCTGTGTACAAGTATGGACTGACCGACACACATCTGTGTACAAGTATGGAGTGACCGACACACATCTGTGTACAAGTATGGACTGACTGACACATATCTATGTACAAGTATGGAGTGACCGACACACATCTGTGTACAAGTATGGAGTGACCGACACACATCTGTGTACAAGTATGGACTGACTGACACACATCTATGTACAAGTATGGAGTGACCGACACACATCTGTGTACAAGTATGGACTGACTGACACACATCTGTGTACAAGTATGGAGAGACCGACACACATCTGTGTACAAGTATGGAGTGACCGACACATATCTGTGTACAAGTATGGAGTGACCGACACACATCTGTGTATAAGTATGGACTGACCGTCACAGATCCGTGTACAAGTATGGACTGACTGACACACATCTGTGTACAAGTATGGACTGACTGACACACATCTGTGTACAAGTATGGACTGACCGACACACATCTGTGTACAAGTATGGAGTGACCGACACACATCTGTGTACAAGTATGGACTGACTGACACATATCTATGTACAAGTATGGAGTGACCGACACACATCTGTGTACAAGTATGGAGTGACCGACACACATCTGTGTACAAGTATGGACTGACTGACACACATCTATGTACAAGTATGGAGTGACCGACACACATCTGTGTACAAGTATGGACTGACTGACACACATCTGTGTACAAGTATGGAGAGACCGACACACATCTGTGTACAAGTATGGAGTGACCGACACATATCTGTGTACAAGTATGGAGTGACCGACACACATCTGTGTATAAGTATGGACTGACCGTCACAGATCCGTGTACAAGTATGGACTGACTGACACATATCCGTGTACAAGTATGGACTGACTTACACACATCTTTGTACTAGTATGGACAGACTGACACACATCTGTGTACAAGTATGGACAGACTGACACACATCTGTGTACAAGTATGGACTGACCGACACACATCTGTGTACAAGTATAGACTGACTGACACACATCTGTGTACAAGTATGGACTGACTGACACATATCCGTGTACAAGTATGGACTGACTGACACACATCTATGTACAAGTATGGACTGACTGACACATATCCGTGTACAAGTATGGACTGACTGACACACATCTATGTACAAGTATAGACTGACTGACACATATCCGTGTACAAGTATGGACTGACTTACACACATCTGTGTACAAGTATGGACTGACTGACACATATCCGTGTACAAGTATGGACTGACTGACACACATCTGTGTACAAGTATGGAGTGACCGACACACATCTGTGTACAAGTATGGAGTGACCGACACATATCTGTGTACAAGTATGGAGTGACCGACACATATCTGTGTACAAGTATGGACTGACTGACACACATTCAAGAAAACCTTGCTTTCGACGATACAATTTAAGAATGAAACTATTTGATAAACAGGTTATCACGTATGTGTTTCAGGGTCGAAAACATCTTGGCCCGCTAAATACACTGTTTATACGTGATATTGAAAATCCCAAAACACACCAGTGCCATAACCACTGTAGATGATCTATACGTGAAGATCCGGGGAAGAATAGGTCTTCAGCAACCCATGTTTGTCGTTAGAGGCGACTAACAGGACAGGGTGTTCAGACTGGCTGACTTGGTTGATGCATGTCATGGTATCCCAAATGCATGGGTCGATGCTTATGATGTCAATCACAGGCTTGTATGGTCCAGACTCGATTTTTTACAAACCGCCATCATGCAGCTGGAATATTGCTGAGGACGGCGTTTAACAACAAACAAATAAACAAACACAATATACGACATGAATGTGATTGTTTACCTGCAGCGTCCACGTCCCAGAACCTATGGTGCTGACCGTGGCCCCGAAGCACGTCCGGTTCCACCAGAGCACAACCATGATGTGTAGCGCTACAGGGGTGGGCGGAGGGGGACTCAACGTGACGCTTAAAGTCAGGGATGAGAGCTGTAAAAGCTCTTTCTTCAAACAAACACTGTTCTTTCAGACAGGTATGCCCTAAACTGACATTTGAATAAAACAGTGATTAGATTAGTGAGCACCCTAATTTGCTTCCATTGGCAGAATAGGCCCCCAGTACCTGGGCAGAATAGACCCCCAGTACCCGGCCAGGATAGGCCGCCAGTACCTTGGCAGGATACGCCCCCAGTACCTTGGCAGGATAGGCCCCCAGTACCTTGGCAGGATAGGCCCCCAGTACCTTGGCAGGATAGCCCCCCAGTACCTTGGCAGAATGTACCAGTAGAGTAGACCCCCAGTACCTTGGCAGGATAGGCCTCCAGTACCTGGGCAGGATAGACGCCAAGCACCTGGGCAGGATAGACCCCCAGTTCCCGGGGCAGGATAGGCCCCCAGTACCCGGGTCAGGATAGGCCCCCAGTACCTTGGCAGGATAGGCCCCCAGTACCTTGGCAGGATAGGCCCCCAGTACCTGGGCAGGATAGGCCCCCAGTACCTGGGCAGGACAGACCCCCAGTACCTTGGCAGAATGTACCAGTAGAGTAGACCCCCAGTACCTTGGCAGGATAGGCCCCCAGTACCTGGGCAGGATAGACCCCCAGCACCTGGGCAGGATAGACCCCCAGTTCCCGGGGCAGGATAGGCCCCCAGTACCTGGGCAGGATAGGCCCCCAGTACCTTGGCAGGATAGGCCCCCAGTACCTGGGCAGGATAGGCCCCCAGTACCTGGGCAGGATAGGCCCCCAGTACCTGGGCAGGATAGGCCCCCAGTACCTTGGCAGGATAGGCCCCCAGTACCTGGGCAGGATAGGCCCCCAGTACCTTGGCAGGATAGGCCCCAAGTACCTGGGCAGGATAGATACCCAGTACCTTGGCAGGATAGGCCCCCCGTACCCGGGGCAGGATAGATACCCAGTACCTGGGCAGGATAGGCCCCCAGTACCTGTGCAGGATAGACCCCCAGTACCTGGGCAGGATAGACCCCCAGTACCTGGGCAGGATAGACCCCCAGTACCTTGGCAGGATAGACCCCCAGTACCTGGGCAGGATAGACCCCCAGTACCTTGGCAGGATAGACCCCCAGTACCTTGGCAGAATGTACCAGTAGAGTAGACCCCCAGTACCTTGGCAGGATAGGCCCCAAGTACCTGGGCAGGATAGACCCCCACCACCTGGGCAGGATAGACCCCCAGTTCCCGGGGCAGGATAGGCCCCCAGTACCCGGGGCAGGATAGGCCCCAAGTACCTTGGCAGGATAGGCCCCTAGTACCTGGGCAGGATAGGCCCCCAGTACCTGGGCAGGATAGACCCCCAGTACCTGGGCAGGATAGACCCCCAGTACCTGGGCAGGATAGACCCCCAGTACCTGTGCAGGATAGGCCCCCAGTACCCGGCCAGGATAGACCCCCAGTACCTGGGCAGGATAGGCGCCCAGTACCCGGCCAGGATAGACCCCCAGCACCTGGGCAGGATAGGCCCCCAGTACCTGGGCAGGATAGACCCCCCAGTACCTGGGGCAGAATAGGCCCCCAGTACCTGGGCAGGATAGATACCCAGTACCTGGGCAGGATAGGCCCCCAGTACCTGGGCAGGATAGGCCCCCCAGTACCCGGGGCAGAATGTACCCCCAGTACCTTGGGCAGAATAGGCCCCCAGTACCTGGGCAGGATAGGCCCCCAGTACCTGGGCAGGATAGGCCCCCCGTACCCGGGGCAGAATGTACCCCCAGTACCTGGGGCAGAATAGGCCCCCAGTACCTGGGCAGGATAGGCCCCCAGTACCTGGGCAGGATAGGCCCCAAGTACCTGGGCAGGAAAGATACCCAGTACCTGGGCAGGATAGGCCCCCAGTACCCGAGGCAGGATAGATACCCAGTACCTGGGCAGGATAGGCCCCCAGTACCTGGGCAGGATAGACCCCCAGTACCTTGGCAGAATGTACCAGTAGGGTAGACCCCCAGTACCTTGGCAGGATAGGCCCCCAGTACCTGGGCAGGATAGACCCCCAGCACCTGGGCAGGATAGACCCCCAGTTCCCGGGGCACGATAGGCCCCCAGTACCCGGGGCAGGATAGGCCCCTAGTACCTTGGCAGGATAGGCCCCTAGTACCTGGGCAGGATAGGCCCCCAGTACCTGGGCAGGATAGACCCCCAGTACCTTCGCAGGATAGACCCCCAGTACCTGGGCCGGATAGATACCCAGTACCTGGGCAGAATAGGCCCCCAGTACCCGGGGCAGGATAGATACCCAGTACCTGGGCAGGATAGGCCCCCAGTACCTGGGCAGGATAGACCCCCAGTACCTTGGCAGAATGTACCAGTAGAGTAGACCCCCAGTACCTTGGCAGGATAGGCCCCCAGTACCTGGGCAGGATAGACCCCAAGCACCTGGGCAGGATAGACCCCCAGTTCCCGGGGCAGGATAGGCCCCCAGTACCCGGGGCAGGATAGGCCCCCAGTACCTTGGCAGGATAGGCCCCTAGTACCTGGGCAGGATAGGCCCCCAGTACCTGGGCAGGAGAGACCCCAAGTACCTGGGCAGGATAGACCCCCAGTACCTGGGCAGGATAGACCCCCAGTACCTGTGCAGGATAGACCCCCAGTACCCGGCCAGGATAGACCCCCAGCACCTGGGCAAGATAGACCCCCAGTACCCGGCCAGGATAGGCCCCCAGTACCTGGGGCAGAATAGGCCCCAAGTACCTGGGCAGGATAGATACCCAGTACCTGGGCAGGATAGGCCCCCAGTACCTTGGCAGGATAGGCCCCCCAGTACCCGGGGCAGAATGTACCCCCAGTACCTTGGGCAGAATAGGCCCCCAGTACCTGGGCAGGATAGGCCTCCAGTACCTGGGCAGGATAGGCCCCCCGTACCCGGGGCAGAATGTACCCCCAGTACCTGGGGCAGAATAGGCCCCCAGTACCTTGGCAGGATAGGCCCCAAGTACCTGGGCAGGAAAGATACCCAGTACCTGGGCAGGATAGGCCCCCAGTACCCGGGGCAGGATAGATACCCAGTACCTGGGCAGGATAGGCCCCCAGTACCTGTGCAGGATAGACCCCCAGTACCTGGGCAGGATAGACCCCCAGTACCTGTGCAGGATAGACCCCAAGTACCCGGCAAGGATAGACCCCCAGCACCTGGGCAGGATAGACCCCCAAGTACCTGGCCAGGATAGACCCCCAGCACCTGGGCAGGGTAGACCCCCAGTACCCGGCCAGGATAGACCCCCAGTACCCGGGGCAGGATAGGTCCCCAGTACTTGGGCAGGATAGACCCCCAGTACCCGGGGCAGGATAGACCCCCAGTACCTGGGCAGGATAGGCCCCCAGTACCCGGCCAGGATAGACCCCCAGCACCTGGGCAGAATAGGCCCCCAGTACCTGGGCAGGATAGATACCCAGTACCTGGGCAGGATAGGCCCCCAGTACCTGGGCAGGATAGGCCCCCCGTACCCGGGGCAGAATGTACCCCCAGTACCTTGGGCAGAATAGGCCCCCAGTACCTTGGCAGGATAGGGCCCCAGTACCTGGTCAGGATAGGCGTGATGAATCAATCAGGACACGGACCTATCTATCTTCCCTGGAACTGTGAAGCAAGGGGTCGTCAACATTTCTGTGGATGGATTGTCAAACCTATCCTTTCTTTACCTCAATGAAGTCTTAAATTCTAAAAAGGATCACAGTATATCCTAAAATAATATTGGCCTCATAACAGATTGTCAGCTATTTTTATCACTGTTTGCATGACGTCATTTTGTGCTAAACAAAGAGTAACTTTCTTCAGTATGTATTGCCTTGGGTACGCATCATGTATTAATATATCTGCGAACTGTCTTTTGTTTTCCCAAACCCAAACATCACTGATAAAATATCCTAATGATGAACATCAGATGGCATCCAGAGCGTGACCTTCAACATGACCACTCGTGACGTCACTCCGACATCCCAGTATCTGGTCCTGGAGACTGAAGGTCCATGGGTTAGAGAAGACATGATCCCGATTCAACGAGATACAGGATACATCATGGTCCACACAGACAAGCCCACCTACACTCCGTCACAGACAGGTGAGTCACACAGAGAGGCCCACCTACACTCCGTCACAGACAAGCCCACCTACACCCCGTCACAGACAGGTGAGTCACACAGAGAGGCCCACCTACACCCCGTCACAGACAGGTGAGTCACACAGAGAGGCCCACCTACACCCCGTCACAGATAGACCCACCTACACCCCGTCACAGACAGGTGAGTCACACAGAGAGGCCCACCTACACCCCGTCACAGATAGACCCACCTACACTCCGTTACAGACAGGTGAGACACGCACACCTACACCACGTCACAGACACACCCACCTACACCCTGTCACAGACACGCCCACCTACACCCTGTCACAGACACACCCACCTACACCCTGTCACAGACACGCCCACCTACACCCTGTCACAGACAGGTGAGTCACACAGAGAGGCCCACCTACACCCCGTCACAGACAGACCCACCTACACTCCGTCACAGACAGGTGAGACACGCCCACCTACACCCTGTCACAGACACGCCCACCTACACCCTGTCACAGACACACCCACCTACACACCCTCACAAACAGGTGTCACACAGACACTCCCACCTACATCCGACACAGACAGGTGAGTCACGCACACAGACAGACCCACCTACACCCCGACACAGACAGGTGAGTCACGCACACAGACAGACCCACCTGCACCCCGACACAAACAGGTGAGTCACGCACACAGGCAGACCCACCTGCACCCCGACACAGACAGGTGAGTCACGCACACAGACAGACCCACCTACACCCCGACACAGACAGGTGAGTCACGCACACAGACAGACCCACCTGCACCCCGACACAGACAGGTGAGTCACGCACACAGACAGACCCACCTACACCCTGTCACAGACACACCCACCTACACCCTGTCACAGACACGCCAACCTACACCCTGTCACAGACACGCCCACCTACACCCTGTCACAGACACACCCACCTACACCCCCTCACAAACAGGTGCCACACAGACACTCCCACCTACATCCGACACAGACAGGTGAGTCACGCACACAGACAGACCCACCTACACCCCGACACAGACAGGTGAGTCACGCACACAGACAGACCCACCTACACCCCGACACAGACAGGTGAGTCACGCACACAGACAGACCCACCTACACCCCGACACAGACAGGTGAGTCACGCACACAGACTGACCCACCTATACCCCGACACAGACAGGTGAGTTACGCACACAGACAGACCCATCTGCACCCCGACACAGTCAGGTGAGTCACGCACACAGACTGACCCACCTACACCCCGACACAGACAGGTTACACTGAGAGGCCCGGTATATCCCAAGTCGTTGTTGTAGTGTTGTACAGTGTTGTAGCCGTCATTTGTCACTGTCCTGTGTTTGTTTCAGTCAAGTACCGCGTGGTGGCGCTGGGTGAGGATCTTGCGTGGGCTCCATGGACAGTTCAAGTGGATGTCGTGGTGTGTAACCTTTAGTGTCAGCTTTCTCTCCCTGTTCCCGCCACTGCATCAGTGAGTGTGGCTTGGCGCCGATTTGAACAATATATATCGATGATATGTGGGACAATGGATAATGTGCTCGAAGTTCACCCCTTGGTGAAACCCAGAGACACTGTCAAGGATCATAATCGCAGTCAGTTGATCCTGGTACAGCTCTGAATAACGTGTTTGTGCCTTAGAACACTGGACCACGACCACACACGCACAAACGCACGCACACGCACACACACACACACACACACACACACACACACACACACACACACACACACACACACACACAAACACACACACACAAACACACACACAAACACACACAAACACACACAAACACACACACAAACACACAAACACACACACACACACACACAAACACACACAAACACACACACAAACACAAACACAAACACACAGCTCCCTAACTATAGCATATGTTCGTGTTTTCCACATGATGAAGGGCGGGGGCAACCTTCCTTTGTGCATTGCCAACATGCAACTATTTGACTCCTTGTCTCAACCTGTGTATCAATGAGCAGCCAAGTATCGGTGTAGTATCTGTCTCCCCCCGCAGAGCCCAAATGGCATCATCGTTGACCAGATCCCCAACCTCGACGCCACGGCAGCCTTCAGCACACGAGAGTTCCACCTGCATGAGCACGGCATGCTGGGAAGGTGGCAGGTTCGAGCTTCCTTCCATCGGGAGGTCCAGGTAGAGAGGGACAGACAGAGGCACATACACGGAGAGACACACAGAGAGAGACACAGAGAGAGAGGGGAGGGAGAGAGAGAGACAGACAGAGAGGGAAAGAGAGAGCGAGGGAGGGAGAGAGAGGTAGAGAGAGGGAGAGAGTATGAGAGGGGAGAGAGCGAGAGAAAGAGAGAGAGAGAGACCAATTTGTGTATTATGTCTGTCAGAGAGAGAGAATGAGAGATAGAGGGAGAGAGAGAGAGGGACCAATTTGTGTGAGAGTTATATCTGTCAAATAGAGAGACAGAGAGAGAGGTGGGGAGGGGAGAGAGAAACCAATCTGTGTGAGTGTTTTATCTGTCAGAGAGAGACAGAGAGAGGGAGGGGAGGGGAGAGAGAGATCAATCTGTGTGAATGTTATATCTGTCGGGTTGCTATCAGTTGGCATGGGTATGTTATCCTTCTGTATTTATTTTTATATAATCCGTGATGTTAGGATATCAGTTATGGTGGCGTAATATCCTTCCATACGTACATGAATGTATATGATGTTCCAGTCTCATTCAAATAGGATCTTAGTTCTCGCTACCGCTAAACAAAGATCTGAGGACATCCCATTCCGGGTCACGTCAGAACGACCTTCCATGCGACCAATCAGAGCGTCGCTTACCAGATCATGAAAGTGACAATCGGAATGAGTTTCCTAATCTTGCAACCTCGAAGACGTTAACACGGGGTATTCCGAACGACAGTTACGGGCTTTATGACATACAATCTAGGGAATCCATTAGCCATTCCTCAAAGTTCTTTTGTTCAGTTTCAAATTTTTAATCGAGATATTTATCAAAATTTGTTTCAAAGCGCAGTCGCCAGTTTAAAACTAGTGCCGTAAGGCACGAGAAAGCTGCCTTTTAATTGGCTAATGTCGACTTCTTGTCACTCATTCCATTAGTCGGTCAAAGTTCGCGAAAGGTTGGTCTGACGTGACCCGTAATGGGATGTCCTCAGATCTTTGTTTAACGGTAGCTAGAACCAAGATCTTATTTTAATGAGATTGATGATGTTCATATGTGTATTGGTCTGTTTTCATGATCACGTGACCCTAGTTTGTGTTTGCAGTGTGTGATCTTATTGGTTCAGAAAAGGACTCGTTCAGAAATAGGAACGTCTCGCTGTGCGCCATGCTAGAACCGTGTTATAAACAATGAGCGGTGGTCAGATAACAAAAACGTTTCCTTGACGACTCAGCATTGTTTCTGTAGATATACCTCCACATCGCCTTGAATTGTCTTTCAGTTGACCACAGCAGCAGCAGCAACATTTGTCGTGGATGAATACGGTACGATTTTTGCATCATTTTTAAAAATAGTGTTTCCATTTTCCTATTTAAAAAAACTCAGGTTTATTTCCTGTTTTGGGTCAAACGTATTTTTGTTTAAAGCGCGATGGCAGATGGGCTATGACTTACGACCGACTGCCGGCCGGAATATTACTGAATGAAGCTGCAATGTTTACCTTGGATTACAGGCTGATTTCAGCAATATATGTTCCCACTGACGGTGTATTGCTGGATATATGATCTCTGTGCCTACTGGTGCTTGTATTTAGAAGTTGAAAGGTTGAGAAATGCTTAACAATTAACCTGTGATGTACACCACAGTTCTGCCAACATTCTCGGTGAAGACACAGGTCCGACCGGCCGCCATTACCCAGGACACGAAGCAAATCAGAATCATTATGATAGCCACGTGAGTAAATCTCATTCTCAGCACCTGGGCAGGTATTTTGTGTCACGCCGCATCAGAATGTTTTCAGTTATCTAGAAACGTAGCCTGTATCATGTCATGGACTTACAATGGTAGCCTGCCACTAGACATCTCTCGGAACAACACTGGGCGTGACATGACGAGACTTGACGTGATACTGCGTGGTTTAGAGTAACTTGAATTGTTACTGCGCAGCGCCACACTGCGGAGGTTGTCATTACTTGATATTAGCATACATAGATATGTTTAAATAAATCTACTAATGACTGCAGACAGACACACGAAAACCGGATCACATGATTAAACGAGGCGCATGGTCAAAGGAAGCGCAACAATGTACAGGTTGTTTTTAATAGCACACACAATTTCTTGAGTTCATATCCAGCCTTCAGACTCGTGAACACATGCATGAGGACTGATCACACGATCAGTCCTGTATGAAGTGAAGGTCTAACAAGAAACGTCTACCCCCAGGTACGTCTTCGGAGAGAGGATACGGGGTGAAGGTCAACTGAGGCTTGGGGTCAAACAAGGGGACGTTGTGCAGAGGCAGACGGACAAGCTCTACAACGTGAAGGTGGGTGAGTGATATGAGAGGTGGTATCTGATTGGTCAATACGAGGGCTATGGGGGGAGGGGACCTCGTTTTCGTGTTTTAATGTACCCAACTTATTTAAATAATATTTTAATCATGAAAATAACTCCCTCAATCGTTCCCTTGTGCTCAACCAAGTCCCCACAGTGGTCTCCTATGTTTATGTGGCATGTCCAGTTCAAAGGTTTTGCTGGGTGGTGTGTTAATACTTTAGTTGTGTCAATCAATGTGGGATGCACCTCACTATGTGAGCTGTAATACCAGACCTACTCTGACTCCAGTTCAAGTCGGGGAGAGCCGCCATCAGCATCAAGACACATGACCTGACAAATCTGCCCCAGTGGTGTTCTGACAGAGTCTCTCACCTATATATTGAGGCAAACGTCACTGAGTCGGGCTACGGGGAGACCCAGACTGTGTACCACGTGACCACACCCATCTCCAAGGACGCCTGGCGGTTGACGTTCCCTAGCGACCAGCACTACTTCCTGCCCTCAAGACCATTCCTGTTCAGGGTGAGTGAGTGAGTTGTGTTTGCTCGTTGCAGTGTTCCAGCCATATGGCGGGAACGACTAATGTGGAAATTTGCATGTGTTTGTGACGGGTGCCGCCGGTGGGACAGGATACGCCCACCTTCTTGCGAACCACTGGTATCATTTCTTTCTTATAGTGATTCATAAACACAAGCTCGTGACGTAGTAGGAATCGTACAATCGTCTCTGCTCTAAGCAGAGATTTCTTATAATATTATAGTGGATTTTGCCACTTTTATGTTGGAACATGTGGGGTTCAAACCTGGGACTTGATCGCCAAGATCCTGTTCCACAAACCGATCGTAAAGCCCATAGCTTAACACGACAAAGTCTCGTTTAATATAGAACATTCACATGCTTTTATATGGGTAGCACCCAAACGGTAGTTTATCATAACACTAAGTCTTATACTTCGACATGGGGCTACGGCCGTCGTACGTCACGGAATCTGTAACCTATCAGTAAACACGATCAACACTGCTTCAGGGCATCCTGTCGGACGCGTCTGGGGTGCCTGCCCCTGGGGTCAAGGTGAAGGTCATCATGGCGGATATCAGACACCAAGGTAAAGAAGATATGAAGTCACCACAGACATTTGTGAAAAGAAACAGTATTAGCAAAAGTGAATCATGAAAATAAAGTCAGTAACATGATTAGTTCATGAACGATTTCTTAAAAGCTGTAGCAATAGAGTTGACAGTTACACGAAGGTACCATTCCTGTTATCCGACAGTTTCTGCTGAGTCAGCTCAACTGATGTCGAAACGACTGACTACAAACGCGGAAGGGGTGTTCGGCTTCACACAGAGAATGCCGGAGCTCGACCGTGTGTCCTTTCAAGTAGGTATGACCGTGGTCTTTGGGACATTTGGGACAGCTTTGGAACGATGTGGGTCAGAAGTACGACAGGCTCGCTCCTGTGCTATTGTAACACATGGTCTATGTCCCAAGATGGGGTGACGCGAAAATCACGTGTGTGTAACTTAAACAGCAGCCGCCCACATCGCGGACAGATCAGATAAAATGACTTCATCAACTTTGACAAATAAGAGTAAAATGATATCATTCGAATTTCAATTTGCTCCATAACAGCGTTTAATTAATGCTTCTGCATTGGTGGAAACAATGGACACTTATGAACACGTATGCACGTAAGTCGATGCAGGATATGATAGTAAAACAATATGTGGTACATGTGTTCTTCTTTGATCAAAATATTCAAACAAATACTGAACTAGACTTCTATCTATGATTTGTTAAGCACGTTGTCACACAGGTGCAGACAATAGACAGACGGTACAACACCCAGACTACTGTCGACCACACCGTCCAGGCCCTGACCCCCGAGAAACCCAGGATCACCCTGCAGGCAGACGTTCCACAGGTAACACATCCCACAGGTAACATTTCCCACAGGTAACAACACATCCCTCAGGTAACATCTCCCACATGTAATGCCTTCCACAGGTAACACCTTCCACAGGTAACACCTCCCACAGGTAACGCCTTCCACAGGTAACGCCTCCAACAGGTAACACCTTCCAGAGGTAACACCTCCCACAGGTAACACCTCCCACAGGTAACGCCTTCCACAGGTAACGCCTCCAACAGGTAACAGCTCCCACAGGTAACACCTCCCACAGGTAACGCCTCCCACAGATAACACCTTCCACAGGTAACGCCTCCCACAGGTAACGCCTCCCACAGGTAACACCTCCCACAGGTAACACCTTCCACAGGTAACGCCTCCCACAGGTAACACCTCCCACAGGTAACGCCTCCCACAGGTAACGCCTCCCACAGGTAACACCTCCCACAGGTAACGCCTCCCACAGGTAACGCCTCCCACAGGTAACACCTCCCACAGGTAACACCTCCCACAGGTAACGCCTCCCACGGGTAACGTCTACCAACCTGAAGACGTTGCTCCTTCATGTCCAAGGTAGCCTCTGGACTCAAGCATGTCTGAGCAGAGCACAGAGTATTTGCCCCGTATTTTCTGACCCAGGCCAGCGAATGTCAAGGTCAGCTGCAATACACTTTAATAATTTTAAGGACTAAACAAAAATGTCTCCTGTTTCTAGAGTTAATTCTTCAAACATAATCAATTATAGTGAGTGGCGTTTGCATATATTTTTATGTTTAACCAATGAACAAGAACATTCCATCGTATTTTCATGTCAACGACTCTTTTGCATGGTTAAGTTTACACTCCAATCACCCATGCCCTTGAAAGATGAAGCAGGCCAAAACAATCAAAGTCACTTGGTCGGGTTGTCTGCCCTTCTTGGGACTAAACAGTCTCTACATATGTTAAACTCTCGTGTGTTTCAGGGAGACGGAGACAATGTCGCTGTCCATGTTGGCTACACATCGTCAGTTAACGACAGTATGATGACAGTTCTTGTAAGTGTATGGGGCGGAGGGCGGCCTTCCTCGCCTGCAGCACTGTGGGATTAACTGTATCTATATCAGAATGTACACTTTGTCAGCCAAACCATGCTTGATTACATGTAACTCAGATGTATGGATTGGTGCATTGCATTAAACTGACACAATTATGAAGGTGTAAGGGAGCGATCATTTGATATTCTGGGGGTGGGGTGGGGTGGGGTGGGGCTGGGATTGTACATGGACAAAAGACATTTTTTCAGCTACAGCCGCAAAACATTTTTAAAATTAAAACTATGAGCCTAAATATTCTTTTCTAAAACAACAATGTCCTTTTTGTGGCAGACAATTGTTTTTCATCCATCTGAAGCATAATTGTTTTTTCAATAATTTTCTTGAACGATATATTTTTTTCGAAAATATCCAGCTGCAGAAAGCCCCCTTTGGTCTACATTAAAGCCCCTGTGTTGTTTATAAACACGAAGAGCCAGGTATTCTGTGGAAGAATTGTCTCCCTCCCAGTAACCTATGCTGGTCATAAGAGGCAACTTTCTTAAAAGAGATCTGGTTGTCAGGCGTGAGACGTTGCTCGCAATATCAACCACTGGTCTGTCCGTCCCAGAATCGAGTATTTATAGGCCGCCTTCATACAACGACAAGAATGCGGTGTAAAACAACATTCATTCCCACAGTAACGACTGAGTTAAAGAGTTGTCCCCCTTCACATCATCTTGTAGGTGGAGGCCCGGGGGCAGACCATCTACAACCACACCTTTGTAATGAACGGTACTGACCTCCACACATTCGAGATACCGGCGGCCTACAGGGCAGAGTTGTCTCCCCTTGCAAATGTCCTCGCTTTCTTCACCACACGGGACGGAACAGGAGAACCGGAAGTGATCTCCAACACGATGACCCTCGATGTCCCGGATGTGTGTCTGGAGGAAGTAGGTTCTCCTTACTTTGTCAACCACGACCAAACAAGCTAATCATTAACAACAACACTACATATATACCCTTACACATCTTGATGTTACATCTAATCATTAGCAACAATATTACATATATACTCTTACTCATATTGATGTTGCATCTAATTATTAACAACAATAATGATGTTGCATATAATCATTAACAACAATATTACATATGTACTCTTACATATCTTGATGTTACATCTAATCATTAACAACAATATTACATATGTACTCTTACACATCTTGATGTTACATCTAATCATTAACAACAACACTACATATATACTCTTACACATCTTGATGTTACATCTAATCATTAACAACAATATTACATATATACTCTTACACATCTTGATGTTACATCTAATCATTAACAACAATATTACATATATAACCTTACACATCTTGATGTTACATCTAATCATTAACAACAATATTACATATATACTCTTACTCATATTGATGTTACATCTAATCATTAACAACAATATTACATATGTACTCTTACACATCTTGATGTTACATCTAATCATTAACAACAACACTACATATATACTCTTACACATCTTGATGTTACATCTAATCATTAACAACAATATTACATATATACTCTTACACATCTTGATGTTACATCTAATCATTAACAACAATATTACATATATAACCTTACACATCTTGATGTTACATCTAATCATTAACAACAATATTACATATATACTCTTACACATCTTGATGTTACATCTAATCATTAACAACAATATTACATATATACTCTTACACATCTTGATGTTACATCTAATCATTAACAACAATATTACATATATACCCTTACACATCTTGATGTTACATCTAATCATTAACAACAATATTACATATATACCCTTACACATCTTGATGTTACATCTAATCATTAACAACAATATTACATATATACCCTTACACATCTTGATGTTACATCTAATCATTAACAACAATATTACATATATAATCTTACACATCTTGATGTTACATCTAATCATTAACAACAAAATTACATATATACTCTTACACATCTTGATGTTACATCTAATCATTAACAACAATATTACATATATACTCTTACACATCTTGATGTTACATCTAATCATTAACAACAACACTACATATATACTCTTACACATCTTGATGTTACATCTAATCATTAACAACAATATTACATATATACCCTTACACATCTTGATGTTACATCTAATCATTAACAACAATATTACATATATAATCTTACACATCTTGATGTTACATCTAATCATTAACAACAATATTACATATATACCCTTACACATCTTGATGTTACATCTAATCATTAACAACAATATTACATATATAATCTTACACATCTTGATGTTACATTTAATCATTAACAACAAAATTACATATATACTCTTACACATCTTGATGTTACATCTAATCATTAACAACAATATTACATATATACTCTTACTCATATTGATGTTGCATCTAATTATTAACAACAATATTACATATATACTCTTACACATCTTGATGTTACATCTAATCATTAACAACATTATTACATATATACTCTTACTCATATTGATGTTGCATCTAATTATTAACAACAATATTACATATATACTCTTACACATCTTGATGTTACATCTAATCATTAACAACATTATTACATATATACTCTTACTCATATTGATGTTGCATCTAATCATTAACAACAATATTACATATATACTCCTACACATCTTGATGTTACATCTTATCATTAACAACAATATTACATATATACTCTTACACATCTTGATGTTACATCTAATCATTAACAACAATATTACATATATACTCTTACACATCTTGATGTTACATCTAATCATTATCAACAATATTACATATATACTCTTACTCATATTGATGTTGCATCTAATTATTAACAACAATATTACATATATACTCTTACACATCTTGATGTTACATCTAATCATTAACAACAATATTACATATATACTCTTACTCATATTGATGTTACATCTAATTATTAACAACAATATTACATATATACTCTTACACATCTTGATGTTACATCTAATCATTAACAACATTATTACATATATACTCTTACTCATATTGATGTTGCATCTAATTATTAACAACAATATTACATATATACTCTTACACATCTTGATGTTACATCTAATCATTAACAACAATATTACATATATACTCTTACTCATATTGATGTTGCATCTAATTATTAACAACAATATTACATATATACTCTTACACATCTTGATGTTACATCTAATCATTAACAACATTATTACATATATACTCTTACTCATATTGATGTTGCATCTAATTATTAACAACAATAATAATGTTACATCTAATCATTAACAACAATAATGATATTGCATGTAATCATAAACAGTAATTATGATGTTGCACATGATCATTGACACCAATAATAATGTTACATCTGATTATTAACAACAAAATAGATGTTACATCTAATTATTAATAATTAAATTTTCGTTGTGTTCATTGGAATTCCTTCATTTTGATTAGCTGAGTTGGTCACGAGTTATTGCATTCATTTCCCAATGAATGTTAAAAATTAAGCCACGCCCACCGAGGCGCACTACTTTTAATACTGCGGAATGTCGGGGAGTCCCAATATTACAGTCGAGGGAATTCCCTTCCTGCTCACGTGTATCGTCATGCACAGGACATTTAGCGACTTTCATGCATATTCATTTGTCCAAACTACCCTTTGAAACCGAAGGCCGAGAATGAATGAAACAGCAAATGTGCAGGCTCGCTCGCCTGTTTTTTTCCCGCTCGCCTCGGTTCAACTTTCATGTCTTCAGGTTTCATTTCTAACTAGCATTTCTCCAACTGTGTTTTACCGTTATCAGGGAAGTAATGTTTAAATCTCGCGGGAACTGACCATGTTATTTGAAACAGCCGCCTTCTCCCGGACATATTTCTTCCGGTTCGTTACAGTCTGACTGTTGCAGTTCTTTTGACAGGTCCAATGAACATTGTTTTGATCCTACTCTCCGTTGATTGGCTACTGACTGTGTAGGCGTGTCAAGTTATGTGCATAAATTAAACGATCACCTGATTCATGTCACACCACTGTATGTATTCCTACACCTGGAATGTTTATCAATGTCGTCATTTTTGTCTGTTTTGATATATACAACTGTTTTTGGTTAAACCATTGTAGATAAAACATGTTTTACGTTGTCGAATTTAATTATAAGCATTGACTGTGTATTTTTTTCGGTTCATCGAGGTATGAATCGAAAAGCCAATGTGCAAACTATTGTATTCATACAGTTTGCACATCGGTTTTTCGATTCATACATCAATGAACCGAAAAAAATACACAGTCAATCCTCAAACAACAATAATAATGTTACATCTAATCATTAATTGCAATAATGATGTTACATCTAATCATTAACAACAATACTGATGTTACATCTAATCATTATCTGCAATACTGATGTTACATCTAATCATATCTGCAATAATGATGTTACATCTAATCATTAACAACAATACTGATGTTACATCTAATCATTATCTGCAATAATGATGTTACATCTAATCATTAACATCAATAATGATGTTACATCTAATCATTAACAGCAATAATGATGTTACATCTAATCATTAACAACAATACTGATGTTACATCTAATCATTATCTGCAATAATGATGTTACATCTAATCATTAACAACAATACTGATGTTACATCTAATCATTATCTGCAATAATGATGTTACATCTAATCATTAACAACAATAATGATGTTACATCTAATCATTAACAACAATAATGATGTTACATCTAATCATTAACAACAATAATGATGTTACATCTAATCATTAACTGCCAGTATGATTTTACATCTAATCATTAACAACAATAATGATGTCACATCTAATCATTAACAACAATAATGATGTTACATCTAATCATTAACAGCAATAATGATGTTACATCTAATCATTAACAACAATAATGATGTTACATCTTATCATTAACAACAATACTGATGTTACATCTAATCATTAACAGCAATAATGATGTTACATCTAATCATTAACAACAATAATGATGTTACATCTAATCATTAACAACAATAATGATGTTACATCTAATCATTAACAACAATAATGATGTTACATCTAATCATTAACAACAATAATGATGTTACATCTAATCATTAACAACAATAATGATGTCACATCTAATCATTAACAACAATAATGATGTTACATCTAATCATTAACAACAATAATGATGTTACATCTAATCATTAACAACAATAATGATGTTACATCTAATCATTAACAACAATAATGATGTTACATCTAATCATTAACTGCCAGTATGATTTTACATCTAATCATTAACAACAATAATGATGTCACATCTAATCATTAACAACAATAATGATGTTACATCTAATCATTAACTGCCAGTATGATTTTACATCTAATCATTAACAACAATAATGATGTCACATCTAATCATTAACAACAATAATGATGTCACATCTAATCATTAACAACAATAATGATGTTACATCTAATCATTATCTGCAATAATGATGTTACATCTAATCATTAACTGCCAGTATGATTTTACATCTAATCATTAACTGCAATAATGATGTTACATCTAATCATTAACTGCCAGTATGATTTTACATCTAATCATTAACAACAATAATGATGTCACATCTAATCATTAACAACAATAATGATTTTACATCTAATCATTATCTGCAATAATGATGTTACATCTAATCATTAACTGCCAGTATGATTTTACATCTAATCATTAACAACAATAATGATGTTGCATCTTATCATTAACAACAGTCTGTGTTAAAGATGCGTTTCAAGTTTTCTTTTAAAATAGAAAGGTCATGTTACCAGGATTTACAGAACGTCGTCCAACAATCTCTTTGACATACTAATTTCTACAAGAAATGGCAAACCACCAAAAGCCATTGCTCTGTACGTTCAGTACGTACAGTATGCTGTATGAGAAGTACAGAAGTACACCCCAACCTTTCCTCTCTGCCTAGGTGTCTCTCAGGAAGTACAACCAGGACGGGGTTCACAGGCCTGGCTTCAACACGAGGTTCCGCATTGACGGCACAAACAACACCAGGGTCGGGCTGGTGGCCGTCGACCTGTCCGTGTACCTCCTGGCGGGGAGATCTACACTGTCAAGGCAGGAGGTGTGACAGTGTGTACCTCTTGTGCCATGTTGTATAATCTTATATCACATCACCGGTGTATCACGTTGTATCGAGGGTATTTCATGTTGTGTCGTGGGTGTATCATGTTGTATCATGGATGTACCATGTCGTACCATGGGTGTATCACGTTGTACCATGGGTGTATCTTTCATTCAGATGTTTCAGACGCTGGCGGGCCACAGCCTCGCTTCGCCTCACAGGGCCCACAGTGATCCACGCACAAAGGTACAGCAACACGGCATGACATTGTATCGAAGCTAATAGACTCAAAGAAACTCAAAGAGACTCATAGATATTTTACACACCAACTTCAACCGAGTACGAAATCAGACGTGGGAAGCGCCCATAAAATAGCTAGTAGAACGTCAGTGTTGTGAATCCATGTTATTTCATTGCAGACATGGACTGCGAATGGTTTTGTTCTTCGAATCCTGGACAAACCCATCCATCGCGGTGAGTTGGTGTATGGCGAGACAAACCCTTCTTTGTTTTGTTTGCTGTTTAACGCCGCACTCAGCAATAGTCCAGCTAAATGACGGCGGTCTGTAAATAATCGAGTCTGGACCAGACGATCCAGTGATTGATATCATGAGCATCGATCCACGCAATTGGGATGCGATGACATGCATCAACCAAGTCTGACCACCCGATCCCGTTAGTCGCCTCTTGCGACACGTATGGATTGCTGAAGACCAGTTCTATCCCGGATCATGACGGGTCCATGTCGTAAACATTAATTAAGATTATCTATAGTGGTTATGGCACTGGTGTGTTATGGGATTTTCATTATCACGTATTAAGAATAAACAGTGTATTTAGCGGGCCAGGATGTTATCCACCCTGAAACACATACGTGATAACCTGTTCATCAAATAGTGTCATTCTTAAATTCCATCGTCGAAAGCAACGTTTTCTGGAATATGTAGAATGTAAAGCATAGACGTCTTTTACGGCAAGTATGGGTATCCTTCTATGGTGATATCTGTGTCTGACGAGACAGACCTTTCTTTGACGCCTGAAATATCTGGAAAATAATTACCAGGAAAAATACCATTGCCTCAGGTTTTACACACAGAAAGTACTTGTGGCCCGGCCATGTTGGACTTGTTTGTTTCTATATAGCCTTTGTTCTAATCCTCTCTTCAGAGAGAACGAATCTACGTTTTATAGCAGTGACTAAACAAATAGCCTCTTACAAACACCTCAGGGCCCCAGGGTAAGAAATGGTCCCAGCATCTAATTGTCTACATGCACTGTGTACCCCATGGGTAATCCGGGGCAGCACAGGCAGCTAGGTAGTACCCATGAAAGACCGCTGGAACAGACGAGGGTGGTGATGATGGACCTGTCTGGTGACGTGTGACTGTATGCTGGCGGTGTGGATGCTGGTAAATAATGGTTTATGAGGTCCAGACTCGACCACGAACAGCCCGTTGTGAACAGACCGGCTACATGTTAAAAGCCCAAGCACTCCTTGTTACGGCGTCGTGTACGGCTTCTCTTCATCTTTTTCTTGGCAGACGTCGGCACTCTTACCATACGGGGCCTCCACGCAAACAGCTCCTCAATTACCGCCTCGAGGAAAAACCTGCAACCGCAGAAGACCTTTGAGACTGTCCAATTTGTAGCTCGACAGAACTTCTCTGAAACCTGGTTATTTGAGGACATACTTCTTTCCAGGTAGGAAACGTTAGTGGCCTGTGTTCATGGTATAGAAATGTGCGCAATATAAAGTGTCTGTTCTTCTTCTTCTTCTACTTATTATTATTATTATTATTATTATTATTATTATTACAACAACTCAACGCTTTACACCCCCACCCCCTTCTCTACCTGTTCACACAGCATGCTTCCATCCAGATCCGCACAATCACAATCGTCAGTCTCAAATTCAGTATATGCTGATATTTAAGAACATGATGTCCCTGTCATACCCTGTGTCTGCCATGCCGTGTCATATAACCAATATCCAATGTCAGACGTATCCTCCGAGGTGACCGGGCCATCATGTACTTAAACTGGACACTTCCGGACAGCCTAACCACCTGGCGGATGCATGCGGTGGGCGTGTCTAGTCGCCGGGGCGTGTGTGTCTCCAAAGCTCTGGACTTCACCGTCAGCAAGGAGTTCTTTGTGGACATACATATGCCATACAAGGTTGTTCGACTCGAGACTGTCAAGGTTAAGTTCTCCGTCTTCAACTTCAAGGCAAAAAGCATCAAGGTGAGACTGGGTTAGAGAGGTAACTATTCAACATCTATACACCTGAAAGAAAGTTAAGCATCAACCCTTATTTTAGCACTTCACAGGATGTGAGCATTGTGTGAACGTCACCCATTATTGATGTGTTCACAGCCAGCAAGTAAATGTATATGAATCGTTGTTGTACCATTCATCAGATTTTAATGTCTTTCGCCATGTTATACCTCTTACGCCCTTGGTCAGGCAGTTTCAAATCGGCACCGACTTTATACTGAATAGTACTTCATACTGAATAGTACTTTATACTTAATACTACTTTATACTGAATATTCTTTGTACTGAATATATTTTTAACTGAAAAAAGGACTCAGTACTGAACAGTACTTTGAAAGGAATAGTACTTTGTACGGAATTGTTCTTTATACTGAATAGTACTTTATACTGAATAGTACTTTATACTGAATAGATCTTTGTACGGACTAGTTTTTTTTAACATAATAGGACTTCCAGGGTAACTCTGACATTAATATTTACCGACAACTTCGGTATCGGGATGCTCGCTTAAACTCATCTTCTCGTTCCCTGAACCTCGCGGTGTCTGTGCCGCGTCTTGTGGAGCAATGGACACTAAAAACAGGATGTTCTGGACCAGCCATTGTCTTTTGGAATATTTGTGAATCATTTAATGAATTGAAAGTACACGTTCTGTTCACAAAAGATCCCTACCCTACAAGTGTATGGACACTCAAAGCCGGCTTGAAGGAAGCCCGTTTGACAAGCACTATCACAGAACCATGCTTTGTGTCTGCCTGCCTGCAGGTGACGGTGACGGTGACAGCCCCGGAGGAGTTGTGTATCGTGCGGGAGGCGGGCCGGGGCGTCGCGGCCGACCAGAAACGAGGCGGGCGGACGTTGCGGTACACGGAGCGGATCAAACCTAACTCCGGGGCGTGGCACGACTACACCTTCGTGGCCCTGAAGCCGGGACACCATCACATCCGCGCAGTCGCCAGGTCCGGCCGCGTCACAGACGCCGTACAGAAGGACATGTATGTCGTGGTGAGGACGCTGCTGATGTGGACATATTCTGTAACTCTTCACACACTGACATTCTACTTATAGTAATCCGTATACTGTCACGGGTATTTCAGATTGCTGTGTTGATAAGATAAAGAGTTGCGTCCCTTAGTCGGGCTACGATCCGCTGGTCCTGGGTTCAAATCCCAGAATTAACAGGTATAGATCCTCGATGTGTGAACTATACCTGAACATCCGGGGTAGAATTAGTCTTCAGCAACCCCTGCTTGTCGTAAGAGGCGTCATCAGGATCGGGTGGTCAGGCTCACTGACTTGGTTGATGCATGTCATCGTATCAAAATTGCGTGTATCGATGTCATTGGTCAATCACTGGACTATCTAGGCCAGACTCGATTATTTATAGATGACAGTCAGGAAGAATGGTGAGAGCGGCGTTAAACATAAAGTGGTGATCGTCTACGACCCACGTTACTTCCGTCATTCCCCTCACATTAAGCTGGCGCAGGTTGGCTAGCCTGTTGGTAAACGCATCTGTTTCTCAGGCCGAAATCCCGGGTTCGATTCCCCACATGGCTGCAAACTGTGATGCCAATTTCTGATGTCACTCACTCACTCACTCACTCACTCACTCACTCACTTACTCACCCATCCACCCACGCGCCTACCCACTCACTCACTCGCCAGACCACTCACTCATTCACTCACTCGTCCACCCACCCATGCGCCTACCCACTCACTCATTCACTCACTCACCCACCCAACAACCCACCCACTCGCCTGCCCACTCACTCATTCACTCACTCACCCACCCAACCACCCCCACCCATGCGCCTACCCACTCACTCATTCACTCACTCACTCACCCACCCACCCCCACCCACGCGCCTACCCACTCACTCATTCACTCACTCACCTACTCACCCGGCCACCCACGCGCCTACCCACTCACTCACTCGCCAGACCACTCACTCATTCACTCACTCACCCACCCACCCCCACCCACGCGCCTACCCACTCACTCACTCGCCAGCCCATTCACTCATTCACTCACTCGCCAACCCACCCATGCGCCTACCCACTCACTCATTCACTCACTCACCCACCCAACAACCCGCCCATGCGCCTACCCACTCACTCATTCACTCACTCACTCACTTACCAGCCCGCTCACTCACTCACTTACCCACCCACCCAACCGCGCGCCTACCCACTCACTCACCAGCCCACTCACTCACTCACTCACTCACTCACTCCACTGTTTGCTCCAATATTTCAGGCGGAAGGCCGCCGTGTGTCACAGACTGTGACATTCCAGTTAGACCCGTCTGCTCTACTCCTGCACAACGACACGGGGACAGCCGATGACAATATGGCGGGCACGCGACCAGGGGAAAGAATTAACAGTATGCACACCAAATTACGTCAAGTCTCATCACGGACCCTTCTGTCATGTTAAGAAGCTGAAACACATTTCGCCTTCGTATGGTTCTCACCAACCGCAAACCCCACCAAGAGGATGACTACCCCACACCTGAACATTCTCTCACTTTTGCCAAGATATCGAAACGAACAGATGTGTAAAGTATTTTGCTTTCTTTTTCAGCAATCAGAGATGGGAGATTCTCTGGCCTCTGTTGCTGTTTTTGTGTTAAGATAAGCTGTAATAGGGAAACAAAAGAGATGAGAGCGGAACATCGGTGATTCGATCAGGGCCGCGCCACCCCAATACACGTCAGTAGATGGTACTTGTTGTTACCTTGCCTGGCGTCGTTCAATTACACGTTCGTCATCTCACAAAGTCCCAACACCTCAAATTGAATACCCTCTATTCCAGCCTCATGGAGCAAACTGGAAGACGAGCAGACGACAGTTGTTGACCTGGCGCTGCCTCACGACACCATTCCCGGCACCAGCCACACCGACATGTTCGCCTACGGTGAGTTGAGATACGACGATGCTGTCAGTCTGAGAGTTCGGCGCAAGGTTTATGTCACATGACAAAACAGCTAGCTCTTGTAACACATGTTATATTCAGGATAACACTTTCTGAGTAAAGTACAGGTTCTCGTACCACTTTCTAAATGGCATTGTGTGTTCTTAGCTTCGGCCATGGGAGACGTGCCAATTTACACTTGTCAGAGGGGTGCACAAAGTACGTGATCTAGACTACCACTTTCATTTTTGTGGAAGCCTCGGTGGCTGAGTGGGTTAGATCACTGACGTTGTGTGTTGGCGACTAGGTGCCTCACACTAGTACTGGCAGTGTGGGTTCAAATCCCGGACGGTACTCAACCCCCAAAAAGTACGAGAATCTGTACTTTACTAAGAAAGTGTTGTACCAAATATAACATGTTACATTTGACCACTCTCTAAATGGCATTATGTGTTCATAGTTAGCTCTTGGGATTGACTATTGGAGCCATACAATCTGATGGCTACCTCAACCGCTCAGCTCGCCAGAGGCCCAGGTTCCAGGTTCCAATCCCCGTCTTTTGGGAGTGGACAAACGGTCCAAAGCGCTAGGCTAGCAAGCGCCAGGTGCTGAGATCGTATCCCGCTAGTCACCCGGTTGTTATTCAGCCTTGAGGCAACAATGTTTACAGGTTATTACAGTGTTGTCATTACCCCTATTACATTCACCCCGTGTACTCACTCGTCAGATGGTAGATGACCGAATGGTGGATACACGAATACGTACAAACATCAGAAACACAAATGTCAAAACTTGTGGTGTCAGTCACACAGGGCAAGTGACGTAGTTCACCTCTGTCCACCCAGCAGGGAATGGGTACCCGATATGTGAGGTGGATGTAAAAACCCTCAAGCGCCCGTAGGAAACTTGGGTTGTATACGCCCCAGGGAGTTGAGAACGATAACTGGAATTAAATTTAATTTAAACAAATAACAAACAGATTTAACCTATTATGTGCCGCGGATGCAGGTCATCGTGAGTGACGTTGTTGTTGCAGGGGATTTGATGGGGGACGTGGTGAGTGGCGCGATCCTGCAGTCGGAGTCGTTGATGGAGGAGACAGCGGTGTTGGGGGGCAGAAGGGTGCTGGGGGATCTCGCCCCGGCCGTGACGGCCCTCCACTACCTCCAGCACCAGGGAGTCATCACACACGACCTTGAGGCCAAGGGGAAGCAGTTCGTCAAACAGGGTATGGCCTACCTGGGTGTACTCTCCCAAACAAGTGGGTGATGTACGAAAGTACCAGATGGGAACAGAAATACAAATAGGTGTCGAGTGTTTGAGATGGGTAAGGAAAAGGACGGACGAGGTTTAACAGTGGCGGAACATCAGACCATGTTGGCAGTGTATTGGAAGGGTGCAACACCTTAAGAGAGACGACAGAGGTGACAGGATGAACGTTGAGGTGAGGTGAGGTGAAATTGGGTTTAACGTCGCGTCCAAGATTATTGCGCTTATATAGCGACGTGCATGTGTGTGTGTGGCTGCTTGTACTAGTCCGGACTGATGCCGATTTATAGTGCTAGCACACTGAGATATCATGCCGCAGTTTAACATGGATACCCCACTCAGACACAGTATACTGACTCCGAGCCGACCAGTCCTTGTTTTAGCCCTTTAATGCCGAGCGCCAGACAAGTACCATCTTTTAACGTCTTTTGGTATGACGCGGCCGGGGATCGAGCCCCGGACCTTCCGTTCTCCGGGCGGACGCTCTACCACTAGACCACGGAGGCGGTCGATGAACGTTGAGAAGACTCAATGTAGGGTCATCTCTCTCCGTTTGTGTCACAGGAGTCCGGGGCAGAATAGGTCCGGAATTTTACGACTGTGGCATAAAATAACATTCACCCACATACGCATGTACAACTACCTGTCTCTGTCTCCCACTCACTCACTCACTCACTCCATCTCTCACACCCACCCACTCAGTGACGTCATTTCCCTCTGCCCCCAGGTGTGTCACAGCTGCTCAACTACAGACATCCCAAAATGGGGTTCGTGCTGCAGCAGGGACAGCCTCCAGCTACTTGGTACGTGCAACTACACCATCTGTTCTTCAATAACACATCCCGGTTAGAAAAAGTCCCCGAAAATCAATGTTTTTTCGTGCAAGACAAGTGATTGGGTGGTCAGACTCGGGGACTTGGTTGGCCCCGATTGATATATGGAGAATTTTTTTATCACTTTTATCAACCATTGTTGAAATATTTGATATCAAAAGACACGAGGGTGAGATTTTATTTATCATCCAACGTCATTCTTCCAACGTTTTCAGTTTGTAGAAAGTAATAAGGAGTATCTTAGTGTAAAACGTTCTGCTAACAGCCTCAGTAGCAGAGCAATCAGTGATGCCATTTAATTGTGACGCCATGGTAACTAATGACGTCACAATGGTCTGCAAAGCATTGTGATACAATTTCATTGCAGCCTTATCTATTAATGTAGATATCGCTTGATCTCACCCAAGCGATAGCTCCTGTCGATGCCAGTTTTGGATGATATATAGAGGTTATCACGCTTGTGTGTTTGGGGATGGTGAATATCCTGCATTAGGAATAAACATTGTATTTAGCTAGCCTTAGCGAGCTAAATACATAGTGTTTATTCCTAATACAGGATATTTACCATCCCCAAACACACAAGCGTGATAACCTCTTTATCATATAATGTCATTCTTTAATTCTGTGCTTCAAAATCGCTTTCCCTCTCTCACAAACATTACCGAAACATTGCGAGTTTTTTCTGGAATGCGCGCATTAATATTTATTACGTCACAGGGTAAGTGATGTGTCAGTCGAACAGTGACATAGCCAATATAGTTCCAACTGAAATCTCTTTCTTATACAGTGGCGAAGCAACATATACGCAAAATAACAATTATTTTTAATTGCCTTTCGCGGCAACCCATCAGTCTGTCTGCTAGTGCCCTTTGTCAAAGGGAAGCTACTCTAACCCTAGTCTATGATACGTCACGGCCACGGTCAGACGTTGTTGACAGTTGGTCTGTCCTGTCATAACGTCAAGAAGAGTAGTCAGATGTACACACAGCGACAAAACGAAACAGGGTAAAAATTCAAACAATCCAACTATTTAATTTGTGGAGAAAGGTTCAAGCCGCAGAGGTCTACAAGCACAGATATGGCTACTGATCCCGCTTGGCTAGGCCTCGTGCCCTCGCAAAATTGTGTCGAAATTTATATCTCCAAAGTTACCAAAACTTATAAAATGCCTTAGCTACGCCACAGTAAGACCCTGATTTTCAGTATATTAGACTGTTCTTTTGATAATGAAAGCAATTATCTCTGTAGTTTATTCAGATTCACGATGGTTAAATCTCGCCGAATGACGAGGGCGACGCCATGTTTGTTTATAAACAGGGAAAGTAGTCCCTACTTGACCTTTGATATTTGCATCTCTATCCGCATATGACCCCAACGGATATCGTTTTTATCCGTTGGCTTTATCCTGCCGATAAACCTACCCATTATATGATAATATTTTTTATTCCCATGCTTCCAAAAGATTTTCTATTGTTTCCGTCTCAGGTTCACTGCGGCAGTTCTACAGACGCTGTGCGTTGTCAAAGAGATGAACTTGACCTTCGTCGACCAATCCCTGATAGATAATGGCGCCCAATGGCTGCTGGGGAGGATAGGTGACGAAATCGAGATGACAGAAGAGTCACCGCGCCGTACCGGGGTACACACTGACTGTTACACTGATAGACGTAGGGGGAACACTGACTGTTACACTGATAGACGTACCGGAGTACACACTGACTGTTACACTGATAGACGCACCGGGGTACAAACCGACTGACAGAGGCACCGGGGTACACACTGACTGTTACGCTGATAGACGCACCGGGGTACAAAACAACTGACAGAGGCACCGGGATACACACTGACTGTTACGCTTATAGACCTACCAGGGTACACACCGATTGATAACACTGAGAGACGCACCGGGGTACACACTGACATCCATAACACTGAGAGACGCACCGGGGTACACACTTACATCCATAACACTGATAGACGCACCGGGGTACACACTGACATCCATAACACTGACAGACGCACCGGGGTACACACTGACATCCATAACACTGACAGACGCACCGGGGTACACACTTACATCCATAACACTGATAGACGCACCGGGGTACACACTGACATCAATAACACTGACAGACGCACCGGGGTACACACTGACATCCATAACACTGACAGACGCACCGGGGTACACACTTACATCCATAACACTGATAGACGCACCGGGGTACACACTGACATCCATAACACTGACAGACGCACCGGGGTACACACTGACATCCACAATACTGAGAGACGCACCGGGGTACACACTGACATCCATAACACTGAGAGACGCACCGGGGTACACACTTACATCCATAACACTGATAGACGCACCGGGGTACACACTGACATCCATAACACTGTCATACGCACCGGGGTACACACTGACATCCATAACACTGACAGACGCACCGGGGTACACACTTACATCCATAACACTGATAGACGCACCGGGGTACACACTGACATCCATAACACTGACATACGCACCGGGGTACACACTGACATCCACAATACTGAGAGACGCACCGGGGTACACACTGACATCCATAACACTGTCATACGCACCGGGGTACACACTGACATCCATAACACTGACAGACGCACCGGGGTACACACTGACATCCATAACACTGACAGACGCACCGGGGTACACACTGACATCCATAACACTGATAGACGCACCGGGGTACACACTGACATCCATAACACTGACAGACGCACCGGGGTACACACTGACATCCATAACACTGACAGACGCACCGGGGTACACACTTACATCCATAACACTGATAGACGCACCGGGGTACACACTGACATCCATAACACTGACAGACGCACCGGGGTACACACTGACATCCATAACACTGACATACGCACCGGGGTACACACTGACATCCACAATACTGATAGACGCACCGGGGTACACACTGACATCCATAACACTGACAGACGCACCGGGGTACACACTGACATCCATAACACTGTCATACGCACCGGGGTACACACTGACATCCATAACACTGACAGACGCACCGGGGTACACACTTACATCCATAACACTGATAGACGCACCGGGGTACACACTGACATCCATAACACTGACAGACGCACCGGGGTACACACTGACATCAATAACACTGACATACGCACCGGGGTACACACTGACATCCACAATACTGATAGACGCACCGGGGTACACACTGACATCCATAACACTGACAGACGCACCGGGGTACACACTGACATCCATAACACTGTCATACGCACCGGGGTACACACTGACATCCACAATACTGAGAGACGCACCGGGGTACACACTGACATCCATAACACTGACAGACGTACCGGGGTACACACTGACATCCATAACACTGACAGACGCACCGGGGTACACACTGACAGACGCACCGGGGTACACACTGACATCCATAATACTGACAGACGCACCGGGGTACACACTGACATCAATAACACTGAGAGACGCACCGGGGTAAACACTGACATCCATAACACTGACAGATGCACCGGGGTACACACTGACAGACGCACCGGGGTACACACTGACATCCATAACACTGATAGTCCAGCTTGGCCCTTCACCCGATATCTCGAGGAAAACCTCACTTCAAAACGTTTAGAAATACCTGATATATCTTCATACAAACAATCCATGTTTTCGTATTGCAGGAGAATTTAATGTGTGTCACTACAACATCTCTAACACACTACAACACAGCAGGGATGCCTCCCCCACCCCCATTCCCCATCCCCATCCCCGCCCCCCACGTGAAGGAGTTAAATCTAACGCTGCTTTAAACAGTATTGCAGTTAGTCCCAGCTGAAGCCCAAGTGATGTAGATCAGAGATGTTTTCCACTTTAGTGAAACCCATTAGCAGGGAATATTTTACGACGTGGTATGAATAGGCTCTAGAAGAGCGAATTGCAGTGACACTTAAACAGGTGAAGACATGGTCGGATACAGAAGTTTTAAAAGGGAGGGGTCCAAAATATTAAAATCCTCTCTCAGTCAGTTTTACTGCCTACAGCATTTGGTTTTCAAAAGGGTGGGCCCCGCCCCCGGATCCGCCTATGGAAGACTATATGTGGTTCTCTCATCCAATATGTTACAGCACACAGAGGCTGACGATGTCGTGACGTTGGTGGCGGAGGTGCTACTGTCCATGTTGCAGTGTGAAAAACACATCAAGAAGAAGGTAGGGTTACGATTGATACAAATTAGTCATTAAGTAGCATCCCAAGGCAGTTAGCCCAGTGGTTGGGTCGACACACCAGAGGTTCGATTTCCCCACATGGTTACAATGTGTAGAGCCCATAAATATTGCCCCTGCGTTTTGACTGGAGTAACTCTATAATGGAGTAAAAGCATACAAACGTGTCACTAACTCACTTTCGCAACCGCACATCCACAAATGCACACACACACACCCGCACTAACCCAAACCTACTCACTCACTCACTCACTCACTCACTAACTCATACCTCAAGTGCTCACCCACCGATGCACACTAACTCACTAACGCAAACCCACTCACTCACTCACTCACTCACCCATTCACTCACTCACTCACTCACTCACTCATCAACTCACTCACTCACTCACTCACTCACTCATCAACTCACTCACTCACTCATCAACTCACTCACTCACTCACTCACTCACTCACTCATCAACTCACTCACTCACTCATCAAATCATCCACTCACTCACTCACTCACTCACTCACTCACTCACTCACTCACTCACTCACTCACTCACTCACTCACTCATCAACTCACTCACTCACTCACTCACTCACTCACTCATCAACTCACTCATCAACTCACTCACTCACTCATCAACTCACTCACTCATCCACTCACTCACTCACTCACTCACTCACTCACTCACTCATCAACTCACTCACTCACTCACTCACTCACTCACTCATCAACTCACTCACTCACTCATCAACTCATCCACTCACTCACTCACTCACTCACTCACTCATCAACTCACTCACTCACTCACTCACTCACTCATCAACTCACTCACTCACTCACTCACTCACTCATCAACTCACTCACTCACTCACTCACTCACTCACTCACTCACTCACTCACTCACTCACTCAGTGCATCCTGGTTCCAGGAGTTCCAGGACGTGTCGGAGATGTTGAAGGTGCAGCTGTGGGCGTTCCTGGAGGAGAGGCTGGACAACATCTCCAGCTCACTTGCCCTCACCAAGGTCAGTCTGGCGCTGACCAAGGTCAACTCAGAATATGCGCACGTCGCCGTCAGGAGCGTCATCAACAGCAGGAGGAACTCCCCACTGGGTAGGGCAATGCATGGGGCTTGCCCCTGATTAGTGGGGGAGGGGAGTGCAGTGAATGAGTGAATGAGGGATAGTTCAGTGAATGAGGGATAGTTCAGTGAATGAGGGAGAGTTCAGTGAATGAGGGAGAGTTCAGTGAATGAGGAGGAGTGCAGTGAATGAGGGATAGTTCAGTGAATGAGGGATAGTACAGTGAATGAGGGATAGTTCAGTGAATGAGGGATAGTTCAGTGAATGAGGGATAGTTCAGTGAATGCGGGATAGTTCAGTGAATGAGGGATAGTTCAGTGAATGAGGGATAGTTCAGTGAATGAGGGATAGTTCAGTGAATGCGGGATAGTTCAGTGAATGAGGGATAGTTCAGTGAATGAGGGATAGTTCAGTGAATGAGGGATAGTACAGTGAATGAGGGATAGTTCAGTGAATGAGGGATAGTTCAGTGAATGAGGGAGAGTTCAGTGAATGGGGGATAGTTCAGTGAATGAGGGATAGTTCAGTGAATGAGGGAGAGTTCAGTGAATGAGGGATAGTTCAGTGAATGAGGGAGAGTTCAGTGAATGAGGGATAGTACAGTGAATGAGTGAGAATTCAGTGAATGAGTGAGAGTTCAGTGAATGAGGAGGAGTGCAGTGAATGAGGGATAGTTCAGTGAATGAGGGATAGTTCAGTGAATGAGGGAGAGTTCAGTGAATGAGGGAGAGTTCAGTGAATGAGGGATAGTTCAGTGAATGAGGGATAGTTCAGTGAATGAGGGAGAGTTCAGTGAATGAGGGATAGTTCAGTGAATGAGGGATAGTTCAGTGAATGAGGGAGAGTTCAGTGAATGAGGGAGAGTTCAGTGAATGAGGGAGAGTTCAGTGAATGGGGGATAGTTCAGTGAATGAGGGAGAGTTCAGTGAATGAGGAATAGTTCAGTGAATGAGAGAGAGTTCAGTGAATGAGGGATAGTTCAGTGAATGCGGGATAGTTCAGTGAATGAGGGATAGTTCAGTGAATGAGGGATAGTACAGTGAATGAGGGAGAGTTCAGTGAATGAGGGAGAGTTCAGTGAATGAGGAATAGTTCAGTGAATGAGAGAGAGTTCAGTGAATGAGGGATAGTTCAGTGAATGCGGGATAGTTCAGTGAATGAGGGATAGTTCAGTGAATGAGGGATAGTACAGTGAATGAGGGAGAGTTCAGTGAATGAGGGAGAGTTCAGTGAATGAGGGATAGTTCAGTGAATGAGGGAGAGTTCAGTGAATGAGGAGGAGTTCAGTGAATGAGGGAGAGTTCAGTGAATGAGGGATAGTTCAGTGAATGCGGGAGAGTTCAGTGAATGAGGAATAGTTCAGTGAATGAGGACGAGTTCAGTGAATGAGGGATAGTTCAGTGAATGAGGGAGAGTTCAGTGAATGAGGGATAGTTCAGTGAATGAGGGATAGTTCAGTGAATGGGGGATAGTTCAGTGAATGAGGAATAGTTCAGTGAATGAGGGAGAGTTCAGTGAATGAGGGATAGTTCAGTGAATGAGGGAGAGTTCAGTGAATGCGGGAGAGTTCAGTGAATGAGGAATAGTTCAGTGAATGAGGGATAGTTCAGTGAATGCGGGAGAGTTCAGTGAATGAGGAATAGTTCAGTGAATGAGGACGAGTTCAGTGAATGAGGGATAGTTCAGTGAATGCGGGAGAGTTCAGTGAATGAGGAAAAGTTCAGTGAATGAGGGATAGTTCAGTGAATGAGGAATAGTTCAGTGAATGAGGAATAGTTCAGTGAATGAGGACGAGTTCAGTGAATAAGGGATAGTTCAGTGAATGAGGAATAGTTCAGTGAATGAGGAAAAGTTCAGTGAATGCGGGAGAGTTCAGTGAATGAGGGACAGTAGGTGGGTCAGATTGACACATATCCTCCAACGACTCAGTAAGCTAACAGATCGTTGTATAACTGAAATTTTGTTCAAAGTAGGGTACTAGCAATAATACAAAATCGATGCTCATGTTTGTTTGTTGGTTGGTTAACGATATTCCAGCTATATCTGAAAAATAATTGGGTCTGGACTAGACAATCCAGTGATTCACGATGAGCATCGATCCAGGCAATTGGGATACGATGACATACATCAACCAAGTCAGTGAGCCTGACCACCCGACCCCGTTAGTCGCCTCTTCCGACAAGCATAGTCGCCTTTTATGGCAAGAATGGGTTGATGAAGACCTATTCCACCCGGAATTTTACAGGTCCTGGCGTTAATCACCGCATTTGCTAGTCCAGATTCAATTATATTCAGCCTTCATATAGCTGGACTATTGGTGAGTGTGGCGTTAAACAACAAACCAACAAATAAAACTTGGTAGCCTGAAAATACCTAGAAATATTTTTCTGAAAATTTTCCGTTATATTTATGTTGTTAACGAGACGTATCTTATCGTCCTGAATCAAAAGTTTCACTGACAGTAACATATCAACTATTTTGTTAAAACTGACCGTGTTTGAGGTTTTACACTTAGGAAATGAATCTTGGTTGCCAGGATCCGGTGGTCGTGGGTTCGGCCTTGACTATGATAAGGGGTTTGTCTAAACTTTAACCCTACTCGTCGGTGGGCCAGAGTGACAACTATCCCCCAACGAATTCAATTAAGCCTTTTCACATTGAGCTAACAGATCGCTGTGTAACTGAAATATTGTTCAAAGTAGGGCTTAACCCAACGTTCCCACTCCTGTAACAGATGTTAACTGAACTGAACCTTTATTTACACTCAGACCGCTTTCAGCGGTATCCGAGGTACGCAATCATTTTAACAACATACACATGTACGTATCAATATGGAACAAATACAATAATAAAGAGACAAAACCCTTTCCATATCCAATAGAAATATCTGAAGCAGAGTCGACTGTACAATTCCGACCATATCATTGAGCATGCGATTATGAATCACTATCAAAAAGTGATGATACCCGGTGTTCGTGACAAGGTGAGCGTATCCTGCCCGACCGGTGGCACCCGTCACAAACACATGCAAAGGCAAGTCAACCATTCACCTTAAAGATATGGTACAAATAGGGAATTGCATCGGACATCATTTATGTCACTAATGCGTCAAACTTGGAAATGTGCTCACATCTTTGACGAGCATGCATGTGTGTGTGGGGGATGGGTGGGGGGTGGGGTCTGTGGGTGTCTGTGTGGGTGGGTGTGGGTGTCTGCGTGCGTGCGTGCGTGCGTGTGTGTGTGTCTGGGTGTCTGGGTTGGTGCCTGGGTGTCTTTGTGTCTGTGCGTGCGTGCGATCAGTATGAAGAAACACAACTGAAACACAGCTGATTTGACATTGCGTCCACACTGACGTGTACAGGTTTCTACTGGTCCGACACTGGCCCGGAAGTGGAAGAGTCGACGATGTTCAAGGATCAGGTCGAGGCCCAGTGGGTGGAAGCTACGTCGTTCGCTCTGATGACGCTGCTGCATTCGGGGACGTGGTCTGACGTCACGCCCGTCGCCAACTGGCTGGTTCACCACCGGGGCAGACATGGCGTGTTTGTGGGGATGATGGTGAGACCAGGTTGTTGACGGGATCTGTGCTTTCCGTCGAGATACAAAATAGTCATCCCTTTCTTCAACATACACGTCATCTGTTTTACTGTTTCGGGTTAAATCAAACCTTCGCTCACAACACCCACCCTATATTCCGGAGGGAAGGGAGCTAACTGCTTATAAAAGTCCAGTTACAACCCTTGCCAAACATTGCTGGAACAATCAAAATCGCGTGACGAAATCGACATCCGGTTCGTACACTGCCGTGTAGATTTCGGTAGATTGCAGGATTTGCAAAGTATGTGTACCGTCAACTTAGCGCCAACAAATATTTTCCAAATCTTTTCATATTTTTAATCGAGGTGCTCACGCGATTGGATGCACTTCGCGAAGTAGGACGCGTTTTATTACACTATAGATCCTGATTACCGATCATATTGTCTTGACTGGGCGCCGCCATTTTGTTTGAAGCAAATGCAAGATTGAATCTGATTGGTCAATAGAGGGATATAAGGGACATAACTCGTAATAGCCACTATCGGCGCTACGATCGAGGCCAGGAATTCCAGCCTAGTTCGGCAAGCGTTGAAACTGGACTTTTATCGTCAGTTAACCCCCTTGCCTCGGGAAGATGTACCAACCCCATCCCTACCTAATCCCCAGATCATAGATAGCACAACAGTTCCCCAAGTAAAACAAAGTTTTTTGAATCGCTGGATCTAGTTAAACACGTTCAAACAAGGACAGTCGAATCAAAATATTTCAGACACCTTTTATTGTAAAAAGCATGTTTTCAAAACACGCATTTGTATTTCTTGTCAGTGGGTGCAAAGTTCATTCAATTTGTTTTAGGAGTACGAACATAGAGAAAAAAGATTGGTTTTCCATGGAGATTATCATTGCTCATTTGTCAGGATACGATGGCGGCGACTAACGCCCTGGCGATGTACAGTCACAGACGGCAGTCGCCCGACTCCGACCTGCACTGCAACATCACGTCACACCAATCCCAGACCTACCACCAGACCATAGACTTCTCCCAACAAGAAGCGGTGGTCAAGAAGGGCGTCTCAGGGGTAGGTACAGTCCCCTCGCTACATCAACACATGCTACCTTGACCAGGTCCCGACACCTCGGGTGAGGTGTAATGTACTTGTGTTATTGTTTTCTTCACAGGCTCCGTCGGGTGAGGTGTACTGTACATCTGTTTTCTTCACAGGCTCCGTCGGGTGAGGTGTACTGTACGTGTGTTATTGTTTTCTTCACAGGCTCCGTCGGGTGAGGTGTACCAGTTCGATAGTCGAGGATCACGTCTGGGGCAGATGCAGATCGAGACGACGTACAACGTCGCTGTTGGCAAGAACGACCACTGCACCTATAACCTGAGCGTCTCCAGCGAACCATTTGACATCAGCAGCACAGAGTATGTCCAAGGGAAAACAGTTTCTAATGTTGAAACATATCCGTTTGTCAGTTCTAACTGTAGCACTGACAGCAAGTGTATTGAAGTACCAACTGCCTGTATATCGAAAACGTGGAATCAAACAAGACTTTTCATTAGCTAAATGTGTTTTCACATTTACACGGTGAGTGAATGAGTGAGGGTGTTGGGGTTTGTGGCGTTAAGCCCAGCATGCCGATTTCAAACTCACCAAAGTGTCCAAGCACAGCTGAAGGCTCTGTGCCATGGCTGTGTCTTGTAGTACAATTGTGTACCAGATAGACTTGCAACGCGAGTGTATTAGACATATGTCCACGAATACACCTTTCAGGTATCTGACATCAATAATTCAACAAGCATGGGAACACAGCTTCTGGTTTTTCAGTCCTACACACAAGTTTGCCTCCATAGTCGCACACACAAGTTTGCCTCCATAGTCGCACACACAAGTTTGCCTCCATAGTCGCACACACAAGTTTTCCTCCACCGTCGCACACACACGTTTGCCTCCACAGTTTCACACACAAGTTTGCCTCCACTGTCGCGCACACAAGTTTGCCTCCACTGTCGCACACACAAGTTTCCCTCCAATGTCGCACACACAAGTTTGCCTCCACAGTTTCACACACAAGTTTGCCTCCATAGTCGCACACACAAGTTTGCCTCCACTGTCGAACACACAAGTTTGCCTCCACTGTCGCACACACAAGTTTGCCTCCACTGTCGCACACACAAGTTTGCCTCCACTGTCGCACACACAAGTTTGCCTCCAATGTCGCACACACAAGTTTGCCTCCACAGTTTCACACACAAGTTTGCCTCCAATGTCGCACACACAAGTTTGCCTCCACAGTTTCACACACAAGTTTGCCTCCACTGTCGCACACACAAGTTTGCCTCCACTGTCGCACACACAAGTTTGCCTCCACTGTCGCACACACAAGTTTGCCTCCATCGTCGCACACACAAGTTTGCGTCCATTCTCGCACACACAAGTTTGCCTCCACTGTCGCACACACAAGTTTGCCTCCACTGTCGCACACACAAGTTTGCGTCCATTGTCGCACACACAAGTTTGCCTCCACAGTTTCACACACAAGTTTGCCTCCACTGTCGCACACACAAATTTGCCTCCACTGTCGCACACACAAGTTTGCCTCCACTGTCGCACACACAAGTTTGCCTCCACTGTCGCACACACAAGTTTGCCTCCACTGTCGCACACACAAGTTTGCCTCCACTGTCGCACACACAAGTTTGCCTCCACAGTTTCACACACAAGTTTGCCTCCACTGTCGCACACACACGTTTGCCTCCACAGTTTCACACACAAGCTTGCCTCCACTGTCGCACACACAAGTTTGCCTCCACTGACGCACACACAAGCTTGCCTCCACTGTCGCACTCACAAGTTTGCCTCCACAGTTTCACACACAAGTTTGCCTCCACCGTCGCACACACAAGTTTGCCTCCACAGTTTCACACACAAGTTTGCCTCCACCGTCGCACACACAAGTTTGCCTCCACAGTTTCACACACAAGTTTACCTCCACTGTCGCACAAACAAGTTTGCCTCCACAGTTTCACACACAAGTTTGCCTCCACTGTCGCACACACAAGTTTGCCTCCACAGTTTCACAAACAAGTTTACCTCCACCGTCGCACACACAAGTTTGCCTCCACAGTTTCACACACAAGCTTGCCTCCACTGTCGCACACACAAGTTTGCCTCCACAGTTTCACACACAAGTTTGCGTCCATTGTCGCACACACAAGTTTGCCTCCACAGTTTCACACACAAGTTTGCCTCCACTGTCGCACACACAAGTTTGCCTGCACTGTCGCACACACAAGTTTGCCTCCACTGTCGCACATACAAGTTTGCCTCCACTGTCGCACACACAAGTTTGCCTCCACTGTCGCACACACAAGTTTGCCTCCACTGTCGCACACACAAGTTTGCCTCCACTGTCGCACACACAAGTTTGCCTCCACAGTTTCACACACAAGTTTGCCTCCACTGTCGCACACACACGTTTGCCTCCACAGTTTCACACACAAGTTTGCGTCCATTGTCGCACACACAAGTTTGCCTCCACAGTTTCACACACAAGTTTGCCTCCACTGTCGCACACACAAGTTTGCCTGCACTGTCGCACACACAAGTTTGCCTCCACTGTCGCACACACAAGTTTGCCTCCACTGTCGCACACACAAGTTTGCCTCCATTGTCGCACATACAAGTTTGCCTCCACTGTCGCACACACAAGTTTGCCTCCACTGTCGCACACACAAGTTTGCCTCCACTGTCGCACACACAAGTTTGCCTCCACTGTCGCACACACAAGTTTGCCTCCACAGTTTCACACACAAGTTTGCCTCCTCTGTCGCACACACAAGTTTGCCTCCACAGTTTCACACACAAGTTTGCGTCCATTGTCGCACACACAAGTTTGCCTCCACAGTTTCACACACAAGTTTGCCTCCACTGTCGCACACACAAGTTTGCCTGCACTGTCGCACACACAAGTTTGCCTCCACTGTCGCACACACAAGTTTGCCTCCACTGTCGCACACACAAGTTTGCCTCCATTGTCGCACATACAAGTTTGCCTCCACTGTCGCACACACAAGTTTGCCTCCACTGTCGCACACACAAGTTTGCCTCCACTGTCGCACACACAAGTTTGCCTCCACTGTCGCACACACAAGTTTGCCTCCACAGTTTCACACACAAGTTTGCCTCCACTGTCGCACACACAAGTTTGCCTCCACAGTTTCACAAACAAGTTTGCCTCCACAGTCGCACACACAAGTTTGCCTCCACAGTTTCACAAACAAGTTTGCCTCCACTGTCGCACACACAAGTTTGCCTCCACTGTCGCACACACAAGCTTGCCTCCACTGTCGCACACACAAGTTTGCCTCCACAGTTTCACACACAAGTTTGCCTCCACCGTCGCACACACAAGTTTGCCTCCACAGTTTCACACACAAGTTTGCCTCCACCGTCGCACACACAAGTTTGCCTCCACAGTTTCACACACAAGTTTGCCTCCACTGTCGCATACACAAGTTTGCCTCCACAGTTTCACACACAAGTTTGCCTCCACCGTCGCACACACAAGTTTGCCTCCACTGTCGCACACACAAGTTTGCCTCCACTGTCGCACACACAAGTTTGCCTCCACCGTCGCACACACAAGTTTGCGTCCATTGTCGCACACACAAGTTTGCCTCCACAGTTTCACACACAAGTTTGCCTCCACTGTCGCACACACAAGTTTGCCTCCACTGTTGCACACACAAGTTTGCCTCCACTGTCGCACACACAAGTTTGCCTCCACTGTCGCACACACAAGTTTGCCTCCACTGTCGCACACACAAGCTTGCCTCCACTGTCGCACACACAAGTTTGCCTCCACTGTCGCACACACAAGTTTGCCTCCACTGTCGCACACACAAGTTTGCCTCCACTGTCGCACACACAAGTTTGCCTCCACTGTCGCACACACAAGTTTGCCTCCACAGTTTCACACACAAGTTTGCCTCCACTGTCGCACACACGTTTGCCTCCACAGTTTCACACACAAGCTTGCCTCCATTGTCGCACACACAAGTTTGCCTCCACAGTTTCACACACAAGTTTGCCTCCACAGTCGCACACACAAGTTTGCCTCCACAGTTTCACACACAAGTTTGCCTCCACTGTCGCACACACAAGTTTGCCTCCACTGTCGCACACACAAGCTTGCCTCCACTGTCGCACACACAAGTTTGCCTCCACAGTTTCACACACAAGTTTGCCTCCACCGTCGCACACACAAGTTTGCCTCCACAGTTTCACACACAAGTTTGCCTCCACTGTCGCACACACAAGTTTGCCTCCACAGTTTCACACACAAGTTTGCCTCCACTGTCGCATACACAAGTTTGCCTCCACAGTTTCACACACAAGTTTGCCTCCACCGTCGCACACACAAGTTTGCCTCCACAGTTTCACACACAAGTTTGCCTCCACCGTCGTACACACAAGTTTGCCTCCACAGTTTCACACACAAGCTTGCCTCCACTGTCGCACACACAAGTTTGCCTCCACAGTTTCACACACAAGCTTGCCTCCACCGTCGCACACACAAGTTTGCCTCCACAGTTTCACACACAAGTTTGCCTCCACTGTCGCACACACAAGTTTGCCTCCACTGTCGCACACACAAGTTTGCCTCCACTGTCGCACACACAAGTTTGCCTCCACTGTCGCACACACAAGCTTGCCTCCACTGTCGCACACACAAGTTTGCCTCCACTGTCGCACACACAAGTTTGCCTCCACTGTCGCACACACAAGTTTGCCTCCACTGTCGCACACACAAGTTTGCCTCCACTGTCGCACACACAAGTTTGCCTCCACAGTTTCACACACAAGTTTGCCTCCACTGTCGCACACACGTTTGCCTCCACAGTTTCACACACAAGCTTGCCTCCATTGTCGCACACACAAGTTTGCCTCCACAGTTTCACACACAAGTTTGCCTCCACAGTCGCACTCACAAGTTTGCCTCCACAGTTTCACACACAAGTTTGCCTCCACTGTCGCACACACAAGTTTGCCTCCATAGTCGCACACACAAGCTTGCCTCCACTGTCGCACACACAAGTTTGCCTCCACAGTTTCACACACAAGTTTGCCTCCACCGTCGCACACACAAGTTTGCCTCCACAGTTTCACACACAAGTTTGCCTCCACCGTCGCACACACAAGTTTGCCTCCACAGTTTCACACACAAGTTTGCCTCCACTGTCGCATACACAAGTTTGCCTCCACAGTTTCACACACAAGTTTGCCTCCACCGTCGCACACACAAGTTTGCCTCCACAGTTTCACACACAAGTTTGCCTCCACCGTCGCACACACGTTTGCCTCCACAGTTTCACACACAAGCTTGCCTCCACTGTCGCACACACAAGTTTGCCTCCACAGTTTCACACACAAGTTTGCGTCCATTGTCGCACACACAAGTTTGCCTCCACAGTTTCACACACAAGTTTGCGTCCATTGTCGCACACACAAGTTTGCCTCCACAGTTTCACACACAAGTTTGCCTCCACTGTCGCACACACAAGTTTGCCTGCACTGTCGCACACACAAGTTTGCCTCCACTGTCGCACACACAAGTTTGCCTCCACTGTCGCACACACACGTTTGCCTGGTGCGTTGAATGGTCTCGTTCTCTCTCGTGTGGGAGTGTTTGATTCTTCAGGATGTGTTATTATCTGGGCGAAAAACAATTGGATGACTTCACAACATTTCTTTATATCCCTACATATCTCCTACAAATACACTTTATACTTGTATCGGGATAAGGTAACAGGTGCGAGAACATCAGGCAGGTGTACCTTCATATCCCGAACAAGTACAGTTACGAGTGCTCTACTAATCTACTGCGTAAACAAGTTCCATCTCCTTTGTCAGGACGACACTGTGTAAGCAGTGCGGCTTTGCATGCCCACACGACACTGAAGGCGAGTCATCACGCCGGAAGCGGAGCCCAGTTGCCAGCGCCAACATCATGTGTGTAGAAGTATGTCTGCAGTAAGTAGCACTGACTGGACATTTACCAAGAAGAAGGTCATTTTGTTCCATTCCATGCGTTTTCTTCAGCCAACCATACTAAATAAAACAGACCAGATAATTATGATCATGGTAAAAACCAGATACCATAACATAAACCAACTCCGACCTTTTTCAAACATTTTATGGCCTCTTTAGGCTGAACTGAGTGTTTTGAGAAAATTCACCAAGACATAATCGGATTTACTTTATATCTGATACCAGTCTTATGTATGGATGCCTTTCTTAGGTTTTTTTGGTGACTTTGTAGGTCCTTAACAAATACTAGCCGCCACAACGTCCGTGTGGACGCAGGAATTCCTAGTGGTCACAAGATCATCCCAGTCACACAAGCAGAGGTGAGGTCAAGGTCACATTATACTGAGAGTCGAGTGAAGACAGCTGTTATATTGTCGACTGCCGCTTCCACACACTCGTCATCAAGAAGCCAAAGTCACTCCTCCTGTCAAAGTCTTGTGGAGAGTGTTTTGTCACTCTGAATCTTAATGCTTAGATCTAAATATGCAACAGATGAGGCGGTATCACTGGTCCCCTTAGTTCTAGTTCCGGTGGGTAAACCAATGGAAGGAAATGGGGATTGAACGACGTAAGGTTATCGATAAACCTCAAGCTTAGGTTAAATTTGTTGGCTAAATTACCTTGATTTGACTTTGCCAATCTGAGCAGAAATTCCGATTCATATGCACAAAGAAACAGATCAGCAAGAAGGGTCGGGGGGGGGGGGGGGGGGGTTACAATTGGTGCCCATGGGGGTGCCAACTTCTTCCCTAAATGCCTTACCCCAAAATTTTACACAGCTGTTATCAATGAGGAGGTTCAACATATCGCATATTGTAAAAACTTCAGATGGCATTTGCTTTGATTTTTAAAAATTATCCTAAACCTCTGAAGATATATTTGTAAGTTTATCTATGATAACTACGTTTTCTAACAAAAGCCCCTTGGTACAGGGAATAAACTTTTTCCTTTCGTTTGTCATATGGGATAGTGGTGTACAAAGTTGAAAAATGAAATGTTTTGACAGAATGTAACCTGGTTCTTTTCGGAGTCAAGCCAATACTTCCTGTGAATATAACAAGTCCGTCCTTGATAGTAGGAAGGATTGTGGATCATTCACAGGACCCAGCACTAAATCTCTCTTTGTACGGATTTGTATGGAGTTTTGGAATCCAGCACAAAAGAGGAATGGACATCTCTTCAGGTCTTAGACTCAAGTCAAAAGTGGACAGTACTGACGCATGGTTTGGGCAGATTTCTTCCTCAGTTAACATACTGGCCTTCTACGTGGCATTATTTGATTTGTCATTTATACCAAGTTATTTGATCACACAAGTAATGTAGTGATGCCCACATACAATGGTTATGTTATTTGATCAAACAAGTAATGCAGTGATGCCCACATACAATGGTTATGTTATTTGATCACACAAGTAATGTAGTGATGCTCACATACAATGGTTATGTTATTTGATCACACAAGTAATGTAGTGATGCTCACATACAATGGTTATGTTATTTGATCACACAAGTAATGTAGTGATGCCCACATACAATGGTTATGTTATTTGATCACACAATTACTGCAGTGATGCTGACATACAATGGTTATGTTATTTGACCATACAAGTAATGTAGTGATGCTCACATACAATGGTTATGTTATTTGATCAAACAATTAATGTAGTGATGCTCACATACAATGGTTATGTTATTTGATCAAACAAGCAATGTAGTGATGCCCACAAACAATGGTTATGTTATTTGATCAAACAAGTAATGTAGTGATGCTCACATACAATGGTTATGTTATTTCATCAAACAAGTAATGTAGTGATGCTCACATACAATGGTTATGTTATTTGATCAAACAAGTAATGTAGTGATGCTCACATACAATGGTTATGTTATTTGATCAAACAATTACTGCAGTGATGCTCACATACAATGGTTATGTTATTTGATCAAACAATTACTGCAGTGATGCTGACATATAATGGTTATGTTATTTGATCAAACAAGTAATGTAGTGATGCTCACATACAATGGTTATGTTATTTGATCAAACAAGTAATGTAGTGATGCCCACATACAATGGTTATGTTATTTGATCAAACAAGTAATGTAGTGATGCTCACATACAATGGTTATGTTATTTGATCAAACAAGTAATGTAGTGATGCTCACATACAATGGTTATGTTATTTGATCAAACAAGTAATGTAGTGATGCTCACATACAATGGTTATGTTATTTGATCAAACAATTACTGCAGTGATGCTGACATACAATGGTTATGTTATTTGATCAAACAATTACTGCAGTGATGCTGACATATAATGGTTATGTTATTTGATCAAACAATTACTGCAGTGATGCTGACATACAATGGTTATGTTATTTGATCAAACAATTACTGTAGTGATGCTGACATACAATGGTTATGTTATTTGATCAAACAATTACTGCAGTGATGCTGACATACAATGGTTATGTTATTTGATCAAACAATTACTGCAGTGATGCCCACATACAATGGTTATGTTATTTGATCACACAAGTAATGTAGTGATGCTCACATACAATGGTTATGTTATTTGATCAAACAATTACTGCAGTGATGCTCACATACAATGGTTATGTTATTTGATCAAACAATTACTGCAGTGATGCTCACATACAATGGTTATGTTATTTGATCAAACAATTAATGTAGTGATGCCCACATACAATGGTTATGTTATTTGATCAAACAATTACTGCAGTGATGCTCACATACAATGGTTATGTTATTTGATCAAACGATTACTGCAGTGATGCTCACATACAATGGTTATGTTATTTGATCACACAATTACTGCAGTGATGCTCACATATAATGGTTATGTTATTTGATCAAACAATTACTGCAGTGATGCCCACATACAATGGTTATGTTATTTGATCAAACAATTACTGCAGTGATGCTCACATATAATGGTTATGTTATTTGATCACACAATTACTGCAGTGATGCTCACATATAATGGTTATGTTATTTGATCAAACGATTACTGCAGTGATGCTCACATATAATGGTTATGTTATTTGATCAAACAATTACTGCAGTGATGCTCACATATAATGGTTATGTTATTTGATCAAACAATTACTGCAGTGATGCTCACATATAATGGTTATGTTATTTGATCAAACAAGTAATGTAGTGATGCCCACATACAATGGTTATGTTATTTGATCAGACAATTACTGTAGTGATGCCCACATACAATGGTTATGTTATTTGATCAAACAAGTAATGTAGTGATGCTCACATACAATGGTTATGTTATTTGAGGCCTTGTCAGTGGGAGCAACTACACACTGTTCATGTAGGGCAGTCAGACTTTGGATGACAGCTGGCTGGGAAAGAATGGGCTTGTTCCATTTCCTCTTTTTAAGCTTGTGCTTTCTGCCATGGCAATGTCACGCACTGACTTAACTAACACTCTGAAAGACATTCATCAGGTTCTTCATTCTCCTTTGGCATACTCTTTGACAGCATCCATCATATTTTTTTTAATTTGTGATCCCAATTGGCAGGAGGCTGCTCGTGATATTTTGGTCCATAATTAAATAAATGGAGAAGTCACCTGTGATTATATGACCGGCAGGTTGGTAGCAGTATGATGTGTCTTGGCACTCCGTTCCTATCATTAAACAACCTGGATGAAATGGTGTTCGAATAGTAAAATGAAATTGTTGTTGGTTCCAGAAATTCGGTTCCTGACATTTTGGAAACCGACTTTTATATGAGAATGTTACTTAAATTATACTGGCACTGGGATTTTATCACAACAAAATAAATTGTCCGGGAAAATTCTGTAAAAGACTGTTGAAAAAAACCTTGTCTGACACAAAAATTTCATTGTTGCAAGGTGTTTTTTTTACAGAAATTAATAAAAATGTATTAAAAATTAATAAAATGTCTGGTTTTGCAGCTATAACTGAAAAAATATCTAAGCTCCATACACAATCCCAGACATCCCCAGATTATCAAATGGTTGGTCCCCAAGGCATCAGTCCCCTTTCTGTTTATCTGTGATGGATGACTCGTATCGATCATTTCTGTTGTGTCTCTCCGTCATATATCAATCCACAAAGGGTACATTCAATGCCATATATGACGTTTTCAGTTTGACATGATAGGTCTACAACAGATGTAATGTATAACTCACGTGTTATGTTGTTTTTACAGATGGCTATCATGACGAGGAGAAAGACAATGTACCTCTACAAAAATGGACTGTTTTCCGTGATGTTAGAAGAGGTAAACATGCTTTGAAATTTGCAATAATGTCAACAAGTATTATAGCTACTAGAAGTTAAGCTTTAAGTACCCATGTCTCTCGTGTCTGTCTCAGTACCTATGTCACTCGTGTCTGTCAGTACCAATGTCTCTCGAGTCTGTCTGTACCTATGTCACTCGTCTCTGTCTTAGTACCCATGTCTCTCATGTCTGTCTCAGTACCCATGTCTCTCGTGGCTGTCTCAGTACCCGTGTCTCTCGTGTCGGTCTCAGTACCCATGTCTCTCTTGTCGATCTCAGTACCCATGTCTCTTGTGTCGGTCTCAGTACCCATGTCTCTCTTGTCGATCTCAGTACCCATGTCTCTTGTGTCTGCCTCAGTACCCATGATGTCTCTCGTGTCGGTCTCAGTACCCGTGTCTCTCGTGTCTGTCTCAGTACCCATGTCTCTCGTGTCTGCCTCAGTACCCATGTCTCTTGTGTCGGTCTCAGTACCCATGTCTCTCGTGTCGATCTCAGTACCCATGTCTCTTGTGTCGGTCTCAGTACCCATGTCTCTCTTGTCGATCTCAGTACCCATGTCTCTTGTGTCTGTCTCAGTACCCATGTCTCTCGTGTCTGTCTCAGTACCCATGTCTCTCGTGTCTGTCTCAGTACCCATGTCTCTCGTGTCGATCTCAGTGACCATATCTCTCGTGTCGATCTCAGCACCCATGTCTATTGTGTCTGTCTCAGTACCCATGTCTCTCGTGTCGATCTCAGTACCCATGTCTATTGTGTCTGTCTCAGTACCCATGTCTCTCGTGTCGATCTCAGCACCCATGTCTCTCGTGTCTGTCTCAGTACCCATGTCTCTCGTGTCTGTCTCAGTATCCATGTCTCTCGTGTCTGTCTCAGTACCCATGTCTCTCGTGTCGATCTCAGTACCCATGTCTCTCTTGTCTGTCTCAGTACCCATGTCTATTGTGTCTGTCTCAGTACCCGTGTCTCTCGTGTCGATCTCAGTACCCATGTCTCTCTTGTCTGTCTCAGTACCCATGTCTATTGTGTCTGTCTCAGTACCCATGTCTATTGTGTCTGTCTCAGTACCCATGTCTCTCGTGTCGATCTCAGTACCCATGTCTCTCTTGTCTGTCTCAGTACCCATGTCTATTGTGTCTGTCTCAGTACCCTTGTCTCTCGTGTCGATCTCAGTACCCACGTCTCTCGTGTCTGTCAGTACCAATGTCTCTCGTGTCTGCCTCAGTACCCATGTCTCTCTTGTCTGTCTCAGTACCCATGTCTATTGTGTCTGTCTCAGTACCCATGTCTATTGTGTCTGTCTCAGTACCCATGTCTATTGTGTCTGTCTCAGTACCCATGTCTCTCGTGTCTGTCTCAGTACCCATGTCTATTGTGTCTGTCTCAGTACCCACGTCTCTCGTGTCTGTCAGTACCAATGTCTCTCGTGTCTGCCTCAGTACCCATGTCTCTCTTGTCTGTCTCAGTACCCATGTCTATTGTGTCTGTCTCAGTACCCATGTCTCTCGTGTCTGTCTCAGTACCCATGTCTCTCGTGTCTGTCTCAGTACCCATGTCTCTCTTGTCTGTCTCAGTACCCATGTCTATTGTGTCTGTCTCAGTACCCATGTCTATTGTGTCTGTCTCAGTACCCATGTCTCTCGTGTCGATCTCAGTACCCATGTCTCTCTTGTCTGTCTCAGTACCCATGTCTATTGTGTCTGTCTCAGTACCCTTGTCTCTCGTGTCGATCTCAGTACCCATGTCTCTCGTGTCTGTCAGTACCAATGTCTCTCGTGTCTGCCTCAGTACCCATGTCTCTCTTGTCTGTCTCAGTACCCATGTCTATTGTGTCTGTCTCAGTACCCATGTTTCACGTATCTGTCTCAGTACCCATGTCTCTCGTGTCGATCTCAGTACCCATGTCTCTCGTGTCTGCCAGTACGCATGTTCTTCTTCCTTCATTTCATTGTATGTGTCTATGGCTATCTCTGTCCCTCTGTGTTGCCTGCCTCTTTATGTTGGTGCCAATGTGTCTATTACGGCCCTCTGCATATTTGTGTATTGTTGTCACTGTGGTCACAGGTGGCTGAAGGTGAAGAGATCTGTTTCGGGTTCCGCACCCTGGACAAACAGGAGGTGGCCCATCACCAGCCTTCCGTTGTCACCATCAGGGAGGAGCGGCAGAGAGGTGGGTAGACAGAATGGTAGACAATGGGGGCGTTGTTTTTTGAGTGATAAACGTGTTGGCAACGGGTCATAGTTTTGAGTGGCAAATTGTGAAGGCAATGGGGTCATTGTTCTTGAGGGTTAAGGGCTCACGTCGTTGGTGGACAAGGTGTGTATACTGGATAAGAAATGATTGTGCCGATAAAAACATTACTGTTTGCTGGACATGGTGGATCTTCTGTAAAAGTAGTGTTGCGAATATTAACACATGTATATGCGCATTGACTGAAACAATCTGAGGAAGAGAATTTATGGACGTTAACTTCTATATTTTGAGGAACACATCACCTGATGAAGGAGAAAACTACCTTTATAACGAACACGCTTTTAACGAACTGACGGATATGACGAACTTCTTTGTTTGTCCCGGCCACTGCTGTACCTATGCTGTACATATGCTTATTCCGAACTACGGTTTTAACGAACTAAAATTAATGGCCCCTGTGATTTCGTTATAACCGTAGTTTACTGTACGCAGAAACGTTGTGTTCGCCATGAGAAAGAAGTCCATAAATTCTCTTCCTGATGTGTATCACTTCTAAATGTCTTTCAAAGACTCCAAAATGGACGTTTGAATAGGAACTAAGGGACGGTTCGGACCTATTTCAAGAACAGCTTGTTACCACAACCATAAACCCAGGGCTGTCACACCTTCATGTTGCAGAGCCATCCTGTAGCCGTGCCTATGACGCTAAAGACAGCTCGGTGACTCTGCCAGTCCTGTGTTCAGACCTGTCCCAGAGACACAAGGGTGTCTGCATATGTGCTTCAGGTAATCGCAACCCTGTCTCTTTGCATGTTGTTGAACGCCGCACTCAGCAATATCCCAGGTATATGACGGAGGTCAGTAAATAATTGAGTCTGGACCAGACAATCCAGTGATTGACACCATGAGCATCGATCCACGTAATTGGGATACGATGACATGCATCAACCAAGTCAGCGAGCCTGACCACCCGGTCCCGTTAGTCGCCTTTTACGACAAGCATAGTCGCCTTTTATGGCAAGCATGGGTTGATGAAGACCTATTCTACCCCGGATCTTCACGGGTCTTAGCCAATATGTGTTTATGAAGTATGTTGATGGTAATTGTGAAAATAATATAATGAAAACAATACCCATTGTCTCAAAGTGACTGAGCGTGGTTGAGGTTTAACGCCGCCCTGATCAGTGTGGTCCTTACTTTCTGTATTCTCTCATCTCCGACCTCAACCAGCAAGAGAGCGCGTGCGATATTTTAAAAACACAGTAAAAAATGTTTTTTCACGAATTGTGAAACTTATTTTATGATATTTAAAGTTTAGAACACAAAGTAACACTTTGATTAACTTAGGGCGTCGATCGAGTTGGTTTTTTTTGTTTTGTTTCGTTTTGCTTTGGAAACGAATACCATGTGGGTTGCTTGACCTTTTGCAACCTCAGGAAAGAACCAAGTTCAATTCTGTCAAAACATTTGATTTTTCAACTTTGTACACCACTATCCCACATGACAAACTTTAGGAAAAACTTCATTCCTTGATCCATGGAGCTTTTGTTACAAATCGTGGTGAACAGAGATACAGTTACGTATCTATATTCAGAGGTTCAGGACAATTGTGAAAAATAAAAGCAAATGCCATCTGAGGTTTACTGAGAAAACAGTATGTGAAATGCTGGACTTCCTCATTGATAAATCTACGTAAAATTCCCGGGTAAGGCAAGATGTAGGCATCCCCATCCACCAACTGTGCTCCACTTCTTGCTGATCTGTTTCTTTATGCATATAGATCGGAATTTCGGTTCGGATTGGCAAAGTTAAACAAGAAAATTTAAGGGCAAATTGAGTGAGAAAACGTTTTATTGTTTCACGTGGGAATGAAACTTCAGGGCGGGCGGGAGATGGGAAACCCAGAAGAATACGGACAGTCTCATATGAGGGAATGAGAGCTTTATACGGGGGAGAATCAGAAACAGATACGGGTCATAGAAGAATACCATTTTGTTGAACCTATCCAGCATGGGTATCATGCTGACAACCCAAGGAGTATAACCAGGGCGAATGTGGGATTCAAACCTACGTTCAAAGGACCTTGGCACGAGTAACAGGCGCATATGCTGCATAGCATATTGTTGTGTCCTGACGTTGTCTTATACATACGCTTTGATCAACTTGTACCCAGCAGATAGGGGAATACTCGCTAATGTATTCCCACGTACGGTTGGCCAAAGGCACCACAAATAGTTCTGACAAGTTAATGACATAGTCGTTAGGATCTATCCGTGGATAGTCCAGGTTCAGATTAATACCCAGCAACACGTGCTTGTCATATGAAGCGATGTAATACATCGGCGGTAGGGTTCTCTGACTTGGTTGATAGCGCATCTCCGTGGATCGTTGCTCATAATGTCAATCAGTGGATTGTCTGGTCCAGACTTGAATATGTACAAGCCATGTCATATAGCTGGAATATTGCTGAGTGCAGTGTTGTCAACAACCCAACAAACAAGCATGACGTTACGTTATATGTTCACCCACATATGTATTCACCCACATAACGATCATTGATCACCCTGCGTCAGGGACCGCCTCCGTGGTCTACTGGATAAAGCGTCCAGAGTTGACGGCCTTGGGCCGATCCTCGGCCGCGTCACACCAAAAGACGTTATAAGATGGTACTTGTAGTGTAACGCTCGGCACTAAGGGGCGAAAACAAATGACTGGTCGCCTCAGAGTCAGTATACTGTGTCTAAGTGGGGTATTCGTGTTAAACTGCGGCATGGTATCTCAGTGAGCTAGCACTATAAATCGGCATCAGTCCGGACAAGTACAAGTAGCCACACACACACACACACACACACACACACACACACTCACACACAAACACTCACACACACAAACACTCACACACACAAACACTCACACACACAAACACTCACACACATAAACACTCACACACATAAACACTCACACACACACGTCGCTATTTAAGTGCGACAAACTTGAAGGCAGCGTTCAACCCCACCTCACCTCACTTCACCTCACCTCCCTGCGCCAGGTCTTTCTGGCCTTGAATTGTCTTGCTGGTCTTGGTTTCATCAAATATACTGTAAATATTCCTCCTAATTCAACCACGACCACACACATAGTTCCCCACTGACCAGTACCCGGTCTGTGTGCTGTAACATGTGGACCATCAATCACTGTGTGCACTGACACCTGCACCTGCACGTTCGTCCATCGTCTCTAAAGGAGAGAATGGGGTTTAAAAATTTAATTTAAGCATTTCCAAGCATGAGGATCATTTCTGACTCCGACTCGGTGACCGGTGACGAGGTTCCGTTATGTTCTGTGTTGTCGGCATGTTGCAGGTACATGCGGCAAGTGTCTGCCACGCCGCCGTCACAAGATGAGAACGAAGCACGTGAGGAGACAGCTATGCGGCGTGGATTATGGTAAGTCGAGCCTCGCTCGGCTACACTCTGCAAAACAGAAACGTAAAAGTGATTTTAGACGTAGAATTTATATATCATATGAATCAACAGATGATAATCGATTATTCAAAATTGGCACACATCATTATCATCGACCCAGGTTCCACATGGCACAATGGAAAGTAGATTTCCAAGGTGAAGGTCAGCTCAATATCTTGTATGGCTGCCATTAGAGTCCAAAACTGACTGGCATCGTCGTCCCTAGAAGCAATCAGATCATGATTTGTGGCCTGGGGAGTGTTCACCCACTTTGCCTGCAGTGCTTGAGCCAACTGTCGGAGGTTCTGTGGTTGTTGGTGAGACCTGGAGGGCCATGGCAAGACCTGGATGTTGTGAGTCCTGAAAAAGGCCGATGTCACTCTTGCCGTGTGAGGTCGGGTGTTGTCTTGTTGGAACATGACGTTCGTTTGTTGCATAATGGGAAGGACGTGTGGCTGAACAATCTTATCTGTGTAACGTTGTGTCGTTAACTTCCCTCAAAGCTGCACCAGGTCTGCGTAGATGGCTGCCTCATCACCCTACCACCATCAAATCTGTCCACTTCCTGTTTGCAGTATCGTGCACAACTGTCAGATATTAACGAGTTTACCACTTTGGCGTTTCTTTTGCAGGGTAAATTTTAATGTAAACCTTATAACGCCAACTCCCACCACATGGTACACAAGCCATGACTCCCCACCGTTACTTCCACATAGATACATCACATTAGAATCAGATCTTAGTTCTCGCTCATCGCTGAAGGTTGGAGACTATTGTACAATGACATAGGTACATTGTGTGAAGCCCATTTCCGGTGTCCCCCGCCGTGATATTGCTGGAATATTGCTAAAAGCGGTGTAAAACCATACTCACTCACCCACTCACTCACTGTCGTATACTATAACAGATCTAGTTTGGAGACCTATCAGATTGGAGAAGGGTTCGACACATACGAAGTTGTGTTTTGTGATTTCAGTGTACAAGATTGAGTCACGGGGGACGGAGGCGGAGGGGGCTTGGCGTCACACGGAAACCACGGTGCTCGAGACCCACATACAAGGTACCCGCTAGATGAAATAGGGTTTAACGTCGCGTTCAAGATTATTGCACTATATATACGTGTGTGCGCGCGCGTGTGCGTGCGTGTGTGCGTGCGTGCGTACGAGTCCGGGCTAATGCCGATTATATAGTGCTTTCCATGCCGCAGTTTAACATGAATACCCCACTCAGACACAATATACTGACTCCGAGCCGACCAGTCCTTGTTTTAGCCCCTTAATGCCGAGCGCTAGGCAGGGTAACAAAACGTACCATCTTTTGTCATTTTGTTCACATCCATTCCAACATTTTGTCTAATATAGTCCTAGTATTTGTATTATTATCCCCCCCAGTATATAATGCGGGGTGGATATAGCGATCAGCCAGTCTGTCTGTCCGTCTGTCTGTCGGTCCTTAATCATTTCCTTTTCCGGGGCAGAACTCGAAAACCGTTCAGTGTATTTGATCGAAACTTGGCAAATCTATCAGTCACATACTGAAGTGGTGACTGTTGATATTTTGGGAATTTTGAATTTTGAATTTTTAAATTGTTTATGAAAAGAATTTGGACATAGAATCCATTGGGTTCGGTTCCGGGGCAGAATTCGAAAACCATTCAGTATATTTGATCGAAACTTGAAAGATGTATCAGTAAGGTGCTGAAGTGGTCCCTATTGCTATTTTGTAATTTTTATTTTTTTATATTTTTAAACAATTTGGACTTAGTCTCAAAAGGGTGGGGATAGGTGTGGTTTGTGTAACACAACTTGAAAACTGTGAGAGAATTTTCATCCAAACTTGGTACATGTATTAACCAAGTGCTGAAGTGGTGCATTTTGCTATTTAGGAATTTTAACAAAAAGTAATTTTTCCTGTTTCCATGGCAACAAGTTTGACTTTGACCACTGTTCATAGTCGTGTGTTTGTCTGGACCATATATCTAAAACTAAAACGTATTCTTTCTTGAAACTGTGCACACACAAAAACCAGGTTATCAACTGGTGCCTTTTGCTATTTAGGGATTTTTAGAATTATATATATATCTGTTTCCATGGCAACAAGGGTTTTTTTCACTGACATAGAAATACAAAGTTCTGAATCCCAATTCCATAGTATTGTCTTTATAGCTCAAAAAATTCTCTTGTATATGGACAGACAGATTAGAAATTCTCTCATCAAGTTGGACTTCAGGTGATTTGCTCTTTCGAAGTTGTTGGGGCCGGGGGGATTTGTCATCCTCTGATGACTCTTGTTGCATACAATCTTAACAAACCAAAATATCTCACACACAATTTGAAAACAGTTGGCGAAATTGTTATGGCCTGACTATAAATTCGAAATCTGCCACCAAAGCTGTTGGTCCCGAAGCTCAAGTGGCCTTTTGTTGAGGTCAGGTTTTATGTGTATGATAATACACGTCAGAGGGGAATGGAGGATATTCCATGTGTCGAGTGAAATTTCGTGTGTCTCTCATCGAGTGACATGGGGAAAGGAGATATTTTCACGAGTGGCTCCTGAAAATATCTCCTTTTCCCGATCACGAGACACATGGAATATCCTATTTATTATAATTATACTTTTTGTGTAGCTGTCTACCGGAAAATTAAATTATTTCGTCACAAATGTAAAACCTTGAAACGAAAATTCTCCCTAACTAACCAACAGGGACGGTTCACCACCCCTTATATTTGCGACTTAAAAAGTAGTTTTGTGTTTGCCAAATCTTTATAAAATATAATCAAATGTATCCAAAAATATTTAGGGTCACCAAAATTCTTTATCATACAATTAGATATGATTTATACAAAATCAACTTGAACAAAAAATATTCTTGAAAACGAGAAGACCGCTGTTGGAAGCGAAAGAATACACGCTGGTCAAGTAAAGAAAATGGCGCTTTTCGAAACGAACAGGACGTCAACGTTTTGTGTACGGGCTAGACACTTACGATAAAGAGAGGTCACTCTTGTATGACAATAGTTCCGTCAAAGTGTTATTTTCACAGCAGTGAAATATCAAGTGTTATGTTCACTGCAGTGAAATATCAATTGTCTTTAACACCTTAGTATATAATAAACTGTTTTATTTAACTTAAAAACCGAAAAATGAAACTTAAAACAACATTTATCAACATTTTTATGTTTCGAACATACTTTTCACGAACCTTAGGAAACGGGCGTAAAATATATGTTGCTGGCGTACGGGTACTTAAAAAGGCATTCTTAAAGGCATTGTGATTTAACAGCGCGTTAGGTTAGATAAAAAGGTTGCATGTTCGATCCGTAGGAATAGACAGAAGACATTTCTGATTTGATTTTACATTTCATAACATTGTGTTCAAATGCAAAATATATTTCTCGCGAGAAACAGTCATATGTACCAATATATAAGGAAGTGGTATCCCAGGGATATTATAACATCGCTGCTCATGAGATTTTACCCGAACAATAAGATGACGTCACTGGAGGTTTACAAGTGGACAGATGGATCTTCTGGGTTTTACTTTCAGGCAGAGACCGGGTAAAGGTGGGGCAGACCCTCACGTTCTCCACCCCCGGGTACTGCACCGTGTGCCCCAACTACAGGGTGGGACAGGCCGTGTACGTGCTTGGGAGGGACGGGGACCGCCTGAGGGATGACAGCGGGACAGTGATGTACGTATATTTACGGAGAATCGAGGGCACGGGTGGTCCTGTCTTCTGGGGCGCAACAATTATCTGTGCAGAGTTGACTCCCTTGCGATACGTCGCACTTGTGAGAATGTGCGTAACTGTGTAAGTAATTTGGCGCGCGCGTATGTGTTTGTGTGTGTGTGCGTTCGTGCTTAAAAGGGGCATAACTCGTAATTGCCGCTGATGGCGCTACGATCGAGCCCAGAAATTCCAGCCTAGTTCGGCAAGGGTGGAAACTGGACTTTTAAAGTCCGTTAACGCCCTTGCCTCGGGTAGATATATGATGAGCTGAAGTCAAGAGCTAGTGTCTTCTATATTATTCAGTGTGGTGAAGCGAACAAGGTCAATATAACTTCAATGATGCTGTAGAGCGTGTGAAGCCATTAGGACGATAAGGACGGTGAACCCTAAAAAGGACATGTTCCCATATGCTTTGATATGGTCATTCATGGCAAATCTGACACAGCCAACATCTTGCAATATACAGAGCCCAGTTGTTGAATATATATTGTTTGTTTGGTGACAAGTTATCTAGTTTTACAAAACATACCAGATTAGCATTGCAGGAAAGGTGATGTTGCAGTTTCAGACACGTCGTGGACGACTCGGTGGTCTTCCTCAACGTCACAACGACGAGGGTCAAGAAGAGAGTATCTGCTGTGAAAGAATCGTTTGTGAAGCGAGCCATCAACTACTACAGGAGAAGGGGGTGCCTTGGTTCCAAGTAGCAGAGACAAGGGAATCACGTGTTGTGATATGTGAACAGTTGGGCCCTGGTCCACGAAGTAGCCCGGTGACAATACATTTGCTGCTACAATATTCGTGATTGTATGTGCGCTTCCACAACGGTTGCTTCAATGTTCGAGATTTTATGAACGCTTCCACAACTATTGCTACAACTTTCGCGATTTTATGAACGCTTCCACAACTATTGCCACAACTTTCGCGATTTTATGTGCGGTTCCACCAACTGTTGAGTCACAATGTTTGTGATTTTATGTGCGCTTCCACCAACTGTTGCCTCAATGTTTGTGATTTTATGACCGATTACACTACTGCAGCTACATTGTTTCTGATTTTATGAACGCTTCCAGCTTCTGCGTATTTTCGCACTCACTAATATGGCCGTAAATAAGATCTCTTTATGTAGTCCTCGCAGGCGCAAATTCATACAAGGCCCTGTTCCTATCACATACAACTTATACTGGTTGGTGTCGTGAATTGTGTAGCCCAGTTTCACAAAGCTCCAGTCATATACTTTTAGCATAGTTGGTTGTTGGTTGGTTGGTTGTTTAACGCCGCACTCGGCAATATTCCAGCTATATGACGGCGGTCTGTAAATAATCGAGTCTGGACCAGTCAATCCAGTGATTGATATGATGAACATCGATCCGCGCAATTAGGGTCGATGACATGCATCAACCATGTCAGTGAACCAGACTACCAGATCCCGTTAGTCACTTTAAGCATAGACTTAGCCTTAGACTTACATTCCTATGAACGCCAGTTAAGTAGAATGAAACGATTTCCCGGCCAAGGTTGTGCTTCAGCGTTTAACTGGGGACTCTGTGATACTGATGGCTAAACATTAATAAAGGCTTGCTCAGGTTTAGATCCTGATTACAGAATAGCATATTCAACTTCTATATATCTCCGATGTCCTTGTTCACGGTAAAGAGGGGGAAGTGGTGTCTTTGCCATTGTGCAAGAATGTCCCATGTACCTCTGTACCGGTCAACATATCCACAAGGTAGATGTGGAGTTACATTTAATGTCCCGGGGGTGGTGGGTGGGGGTGGGGGTGGTAGGGGGATGGGGATAAGGAGGGAGGGGCATCCTTATTCGGAATATTATGTCTCCATCCGTAATAATAAATACCCCAGACTTATACACCACCATAGCTTTGTGTCGTCACCAGCTTAATCGCTCCTATCTCTGAGCACGAAAATAGTGGAAAGAAATTTGATCCCCAAAATGAAACGTAAGGCAGCGAATGGACCCAGGGCATATTCATGAGAGGTTTGTGGGGTAGTGGTGTTGTATGAATGCATAAAATTATTTTCGCTGAAAGGCGACAATTGTTTACATGAAATAAAGGAGAATGTCTGCTGAAATAAAGGGGAATACAAAATCAGCCCTCCCTGACAGAATGATATAAAATCAAATGGTCGGTCCCTAAGACCGGGAAACTTTTAATTCGTATCCTCAGCTTAGATTATCAGTGAACCATTCATATAATTTTCACCATTATTTTACCTTTCATGCCCAATGGAACCTGATTTAGTGCATACCCTACACTGATTATTCTCTGGCGTTTTTTATGTTACATCACTATTCACAAGCTTATTGCTGCTGATGTTGCTTTGAACCTGGAGCTGATTTCCATATATCCGATCAGCATCCGCATCCCACGAGGAGTCTCCACAGCTATGGGGTCGCTGAAAACATTGACATTGTCTTCTCTGCAGTAGTTGCACGATTGATTTAAACAGGTGCTTGGCTTGGGCAAATCCTCAGTCATGAACACAGTGACAATGCAATGTTCATCTTCCTCACCTTATTAAATAAGTTAAATAAGAACAGTATAATGAAAAAGGTGTTAACTTCACACATTGGTCATGTTGCGGTGTTTTGGGCCACGCGTCCAAATCCAAATTTACTCGATATTTTTACGGACATCAGATACGTCACGATGCAAATTCTGCGGAAAAAATCAAATATTTATCTTTTTTATATGGTTTTCAATGGACATTGTCTTTTCTGTGTTTCAGTACATGTAATCGTGTATTTATGTGTTGAAAAATGTAATTTGTTTGGCATGTACATTAATAAACAATAATATCTAAACACATTCACATCATCCATGACCGTGGAACCAGGAATATCGGGATGCAGGTTATCAGTGTAGTGGGCTGCGGATACAGCTTCTTGGGAAAGTGGGGGTGGGGGTGGGGGTGTTGGGGTGGAAGGGCACTTAAAAAATATATAAAAGGGAAATAATTCGGGAAAAAATTGCATTTGTAAGCAACAAATTAGTTGATGAAATGTTGATGCACGACCCGCCACTCTGCGGATTTACATGTGAAACAAAGAAGTGCCGTAAAATCCCATATGTTTGATGAATAGTTAATTAATAATCTGTCATCGAGGAGCTGTTGATTGAGTGTAATACAACTATGTATACTACTCTGAACAAGTTGAAGACACCCATGATTGGAAGGATTTTTTGTTTGTTTGTTGTCTAACGCCGCACTCAGCAATATTCCATCTATATGATGACGGTCTGTAAATAATCGAGTCTGGACCAGACAATCCAGTGATTGATCAGCGAGCCTGACCACCCCATCCCATTAGTCGCCTCTAACGACAAGCATAGTCGCCTAATACGGCAAGCATGGGTTGCTGAAGACCTGTTCTACACCGGATCTTCACGGGGAGACAATTGGAAGGTTGTTTGTTGTAATACCCGAGGTTGCCAACCCCCTTTTCATACTCGGGATTTGGGATCTATTCAGAGGGTAAATCGTATATGGTTCGCAGATTCATCATCTATAAAACATCATGGTGTGTGTAAATAATTCCTTTATACATATGTGTTTCAGTAATTAACTTCAAATCCCACCATTTTCTGGTGAGATTTGTGTTAGGTTAGGACAGGGCTGTCATCCACATTCTCACCAGCCATTAAAGATTAACTATAGTCGTGTAAAGAATAGTGTTCTTGAACTTCTTCTGAGTATCTGACTCTCATTTTCCTGATTTGGTAAGCGACGCTTAGATTGGTTGGATGAAAGGTCGTTTTGACGTGACCTGGAATGGAATGTCCTCAGATCTTTGTGTAGGGAGATCTGATCTGATTTGAATGAGATTGCGAGAACCATGTGCTTGAACACATACACGGTAGTCGGACATGATTTTAGCGATCGCGTGTGTGTGTGTGTGTGTGTGTGTGTGTGTGTGAGAGAGAGAGAATAGTGCAAGACATACACAATGATGCTGATTTTAACATTGACAAGGCAAGTTACCTACTATTTATGGTCGACATGCTTTCTCTATGTTTCACTGAACTATTTTCAAAGGTTTCTCTAACTCATGTTAGGTAATGAAGTATGTCACAATATCTTTTGTGGCTGGGAATACATTGAATGATCAAACTTCAACAGTAAAAACAGAAAAACAGAACGAATCAATTTCATCAGAATAATGATTTTTATCAACTGGAATTGACCAATAGGATTCAGTTCCTTCGTCACTGTGTTGTTGAGCATCAACAAGTAAAAAAAATTACACTAAGCAGTCAGTTAGGAAATGTATATGACCCCAGCACAACCAAGATTGACCCCAATTAGTGCGGCTCCCCTCTCCCGTCCCTGTCACGTGGACAAACTGACACATTTACATGAGAACACCACCAGTCCTCGAGGTTCAGAGCCTCACCTTCACCATGATACATGTTATTATCAAACATAGCAAACCCAACTCAAACTTTGATTCTACAAACCGATGGTCTGCTTCGTCGGCATCTGGAATTGTGACATAACATGATGTTGGTCAAGAAAAGGAGGTACAATTACAAGAACCCACATCTTCCCACTTCACTTCACAATACTGACATAGACTCTTTCTGAGAACAAACTAAACCCAGTGCACAACTGCCTTAAGTTCAAAACAAGAGAATGATTAACAATACTTGCGTCTTTGTCCAACCACAGTCCTGGGTTGGATTCCCCACAAAGTGTGACGTCCATTTCTGGTGCTCCCCCTAACAATGAAGTAGCTGGAATATTGTTAAAAGCAGCTCAAGAACTAATTCCTTTTGCCAGTCCTTGCAAAGCGTGGTGTCCTACATAACATGATCATGAACCACATGACATTCCAAACAACCATTAATATTTAATGTGTCCTAACACCACCCTACAGCAAGCTGCACAGACTGGAAAGACTCATGTGGTGCGGTATTGCTGATATGGATCATTTACAAAGCACATGGAATGGACGTGACAGAACTTTCCAGGAAAATAGCTGCCAACAAATGGATTTGGGTACTACAGAAAATAAGAAAGTGAGTTTATGGCTGATTAAAAAAAGTCCATCCGACACGACTCTCCTGACTCTTGGTCGGATATTGGTCCGAAATTCTATCAGCTGTCTTTCTTTCCCTCAACAGGAGTCTGGAGAACCGTCTCGGCGATCCACTTGAGATACGGCGGGTTGCCATTGTCTATCTGAAAAAAGCAAATACGTGGTCCAGTTGATACACTCAACATGTTCCATGCAATAGCTACATCACAGACAGTGATTACCAAGAGTGGAAACAAGTCGAAAATATAATTTTGCAAAAAGAATTAACCTGCTTGTACAAAGGGCCAATCGCATAAACGTAGCCTGGTTTCTGCGGTACACGTGTGACACGTGCATCACAGGTGTCGAACCAGTATAGCCAAAAGCCAACCTAAACACTTTGGGCCCAAACAATCACATTGCATATGAAGGCCTTAGTGGCTCAGTCGGAAGCAAGGTTTGAACATTTGTCCCAGGCTTCATGCAGGTTCCGGGTTCAGTTCCCACGTCTGTCAGCAGTGGCTTGGCTGCAAGATTATAGCACTAGGAATGTAAAGTAGCTTTTTTTTCAAAATCTATTTGGCAACTAAAATGAATATCGTAGCAGTGAAGGTGATCCCTACCTTGGAAGATATCACCTCAGCACAATCATACGGGTGGTTAGACCTGGAACAACAAACAATACCTTCAGTTTAAGGAGGAACATATCAACAATTCTGCATTCCATTCAAATACAGGTCCACGCATAATCAAGTTTAGCCAGGATGAAGAAGATGAAGAAAGTGGTTGACAGTGTAATGGTCCATGCAGTTGGGATACGACATGTCACACACGGTATCCACACAACAACCATCTTAGTTGATTAAACACATTACTGGGAGCCAGGTCTGTCCTGGAATCCCTACAGGGAGACCAGCAGAAGGTACTGGGAGCCAGGTCTGTCCTTGAATCCCTACAGGGAGACCAGCACAAGGTACTGGGAACCAGGTCTGTCCTGGAATCCCTACAGGGAGACCAGCAGAAGGTACTGGGAACCAGGTCTGTCCTGGAATCCCTACAGGGAGACCATCAGAAGGTACTGGGAACCAGGTCTGTCCTGGAATCCCTACAGGGAGACAAGCAGAATGTACAAGGAGCCAGGTCTGTCCTGGAATCCATACAGGGAGACAAGCAGAAGGTACTGGGAGCCAGGTCTGTCCTGGAATCCCTACAGGGAGACCAGCAGAAGGTACAAGGAGCCAGGTCTGTCCTGGAATCCCTACAGGGAGACAAGCAGAAGGTACTGGGAACCAGGTCTGTCCTGGAATCCCTACAGGGAGACCAGCAGAAGGTACTGGGAACCAGGTCTGTCCTGGAATCCCTACAGGGAGACCAGCAGAAGGTACTGGGAACCAGGTCTGTCCTGGAATCCCTACAGGGAGACCAGCAGAAGGTACTGGGAACCAGGTCTGTCCTGGAATCCCTACAGGGAGACAAGCAGAAGGTACTGGGAACCAGGTCTGTCCTGGAATCCCTACAGGAAGACAAGCAGAAGGTACTGGGAGCCAGGTCTGTCCTGGAATCCCTACAGGGAGACCAGCAGAAGGTACTGGGAACCAGGTCTGTCCTGGAATCCCTACAGGGAGACAAGCAGAAGGTACTGGGAACCACTCTTTGCTGGAATCCACATGAAGAGATGGACATGGGGTACTGGAGTCTGTCCTGGAATCCTCATGGGGAGACAAGTGGGAAGTACAGGGGATATGGACATGGAGGAGAGGTGACCCATTCTGTCCAGAATTCCCCACTTGCCAGCTGTTGTTTGGTGCCCGACAAGGGAGCATCGCAACCCCTGACCATGGGTAACCCACTGACAAGATATAGGCACCCACCGGACATACGTCTGGTCATGGGAACATCGCTACCCTGACCATGGAATGACCCACTGACAAGATATAGGCACCCACCGGACATACGTCTGGTCATGGGAACATCGCTACCCTGACCACGGGCGACCCACTGACAAGATATAGGCAACCAGTGGACATACGTCTGGTCATGGGAACATCGCTACCCTGACCACGGGTGACCCACTGACAAGATATAGGCACCCAGCGGACATACATCTGGTCATGGGAACATCACTACCCTGACCCACAGAGTGATGATCTGGACACCTACCTGACATATGAAGAGAGTTCATCAATCTTAGATGTCTGAGTCTTGATCATCTAAAACAATGTAAAACAACTTGTAACCATGACGATCGTGAACAGAGCAACCATTGTTGGAAACATAAACTATGGGTCAGTCACTACCAGAATCCTTTAGATGAAAACTGTTTGTTTTGTTTGTTTGTTGTTTAGCGCCTCACTCCGCAATATTCCAGCTATATGACGGCGGTCTGTAAATAATCTAGTCTGGGCTAGACAATCCAGTAAATGACATCATGAGCAAATGATGAGCATTGATCCACGCAATTGGGATACGATGACATGCATCAATCAAGTCAGGAGGCCTGACCACCTGATCCTGTTAGTCACCTCTTACGACAATCATAGTTAGCAATTCTAACCCAGATCTTCATGGGTCTACATGAAAACTGAAACTTCAGCCATCCAAGTGGCAAACAGTCCGCAACAACGCGTTTCATTAACTTTTATTGCCACATTTGCTCCAGAGGGCCAGATAGTGCAGCTGTACACAATTTTTTTAAAAATATGACCCATGAATCCTGCACTACCAAAGGCTGAAAAGGAGAGCAACACAAAATAACCCTTACCCAAATACTTGTGGACCTGATGGCAAAGGTTCAGGGCTTTGTGTGTGTTTGTTGGGTGTGGTGTGTTCACGACAGGGCCTGTATTTACTGTGATATTCTGAATTGGCCCAGAAAGGTGTCTTGGCTTGGCTTGTTGTTTTACTTATCTACTATTAGTTTAACTGATTAATAACTAAATAAGTGACTCAATCTGAAAACATATTCCAAACAAGAAAGAAACCGCACACAAATTGTTTTCCTGTATGAGATCTTGCTTTGGTGTCGGCAAATGGAGGACATTGTACTCCTTACTCAATACAATACAATACAAATACTCAAGTTCAATACAAAGATTGTTAAAATCTCAGCAAAAGAAAAGGTTTGGGATTTGTGAAGTCCATTTATTTAAGTTTAAGTAAATGATGACAGACAGTAAACTGTTAGGGTCCAACCAGATTAGGGTCCAACCATTGGATATTCGGGGTTAGGGATGAGCTATGAACTTGTTCCCTACATCATTGGATTGAAAAATAAAACTCTTGCCTCAAGTTTGTTGGACATGCTGTATGTCCAGGAAAATAGGTGTTGTGAAATCCTTTTTTTTAATTATATTAGACCTACCAGAGAAATTGTCTTAATAACTACAGACGATATAAAAAGTCCCCGAGAGGAGGAGAGAGATGGTTGCCATACCAACAGGAGTTCCGGGTCTTCATTGACTTTGTCCTCCCATTCATATCTGCAGCAGAACAGAGTGAGTGAGTAGGTTGGTGAGTGGATGAGTGAGTGAGTCATTGGAAAAACAGGTGGGTGAGTGAATGAGTGAGTGAGTGTGAGTGAGTGGATAGGTGAGTGGGTGGGTGAACGAGTGAGTCGGTTGGTAAGTAGGTGAGATGGGTCCATGGGTGAGAGTGTGGGTGGTTGTGTGTGTGTGAGTGAGTGAGTGAGTGAGTGAGTGAGTGAGTGAGTGAGTGAGTGAGTGAGTGAGTGAGTGAGTGAGTGAGTGAGTGAGTGAGTGAGTGAGTGAGTGAGTCTTTATCGCTACAGTCATTAACATTCTAGTTTCATTGCCTGTTTTGTTTGTTTGTTGTTTAACACTTCACTCCGCAATATTCCAGCTATATGACAGTGATCTGCATGTAATCAAGTCTGGACCAGACAATTCAGTGATTAATATCATGAGCATCGATCCACGCAATTGGGGTACGATGACATGCATCAACCAAGTCAGTGAGTCTGACCACCCGATCAAGTTAGTCGCCTCTTACAGTTTAGTGGTATACATGCCAGAATGATGTCAGAGGACTGAAGTGATGCAGATCGTAGAATGTTTGTCGCTGTTGTGAAACCCACAAACAAGTATTGAAATACTAGTTCTCCTCCTGTATATCGTTGTCTGAACACCTCAACCTCATCCCCTTTCACATTAAATGTGTGCACCAACCCAACAGGAGTTAGGAATATGGAAATGTGGATCTGTCTTTTAACAAGCCCCGGCTGCTCCTGTACAGAAGCATGTGACATGTGACATGTGACACTTACACGGAGGTGATCCCAGGCAGGATGTTGACACAGGCCGCTAGCCGCTGCTTCACGATGCCACTGAAACATGGAAGTCACATGTCTTACAGCTATATAACATGGTGTTATAACAGTTCAATAACAGCTATATAACATGGTGTTATAACAGTTCAATAACAGCTATATAACATGGTGTTATAACAGTTCAATAACAGCTATATAACATGGTGTTATAACAGTTCGATAACAGCTATATAACATGGTATTATAACAGTTCGATAAAAGCTATATAACATGGTGTTATAACAGTTCCATAACAGCTATATAACATGGTGATATATCCATTAGAAAACATATATAACATGGCATTATATCCATTTGATAACATCTACATAACATGGCATCATATTCATTGGATAACAGCAATATCCTAGTGGACTGACTGTACATCAGTCCTGGCCTGGCACACCAATGGTTGAAAGTACGAGAAACAATCAGCGCCATCTGTGACACTCAGCCAGGTCAGACTTTGTGACCATGAAGTCTTCTCTTGTGACATGCATGGGGTGGAGAGTGAGTGAGTGAGTACGGTTTTACGCCGCTTTTAGCAATATTCGAGCAATATCATGGAGGGGGGAGGGACACCAGAAATGGGCTTCACACTTTATACCCATGTCGGAAATCGAACCCAGGTCTTTGGCATGACGAGCGAACACTTTAACCAGTAGGCCACCCGACCGCCTCACATGGCATGTACAAGCTGTGCAGGGTCTATACCCTTGTGTTAGTGTCAACGTCATTAACTACTGTCACTGCCATTACTGTCGAAGTCTGTTGAGTGGACATATCCAACTGTTTCTGTGCAGGGTCGATATCCTTGTGTTACTCTGTCAACGTCATTAACTACTGTTTCTGCCATTACTGTCGAAGTCTGTTGAGTGGACATATCCAACTGTTTCTGTGCAGGGTCTATACCCTTGTGTTACTCTGTCAACGTCATTAACTACTGTCACTGCCATTACTGTCGAAGTCTGTTGAGTGGACATATCCAACTGTTTCTGTGCAGGGTCGATATCCTTGTGTTACTCTGTCAATGTCATTAACTACTGTCACTGCCATTACTGTCGAAGTCTGTTGAGTGGACATATCCAACTGTTTCTGTGCAGGGTCGATACCCTTGTGTTACTGTCAACGTCATTATGTTGCTCATAATATCAATCACTTGTTTGTCTGGTCCAGTACCTCATACCCCAACAGTGTGGGATGTTGCCCATATTATCTATCACTGGTTTGTCTGGTCCAGTCAGACCCCAACGGTGTGGGATGTTGTTCATAATATCAATCACTGGTTTGTCTGGTCCAGTCAGACCCCAACGGTGTGGGATGTTGTTCATAATATCAATCACTGGTTTGTCTGGTCCAGTCAGACCCCAATGGTGTGGGATGTTGCTCATAATATCTATCACTGGTTTGTCTGGTCCAGACTTTACAGACCATCATCATATAGCTGGAATACTGCTGAGTGGCATCAACCAACAAACACACACATGGCAACCACCACTACCTACTGGGCCAGCTTCTTGGCGACATCCATATCAGGTACCGTCACAAATGCCATAGAGGCAGATCCGGCGACGTATGATTCGGCCATGGTGCTGACAGCGCGACAGACAACACCAACAAGTCCTGGCATATAGTACACACCAACACCAACCTTGAACAGAACATCACGTCAGTTACATATGTCAGACACCAGGGATTTATGTCAGACACCAGGGATATATGTCAGACACCAGGGATATATGTCAGACACCAGGGATATATGTCAGACACTAGGGACTAATGTCAGACACAAGGGATTTATGTCAGACACCAGGGACTAATGTCAGACACCAGGGACTAATGTCAGACACCAGGGACTAATGTCAGACACTAGGGATTTATGTCAGACACCAGGGACTAATGTCAGACACCAGGGACTAATGTCAGACACCAGGGACTAATGTCAGACACAAGGGATTTATGTCAGACACCAGGGACTAATGTCAGACACAAGGGATTTATGTCAGACACCAGGGACTAATGTCAGACACAAGGGATTTATGTCAGACACCAGGGATTTATGTCAGACACCAGGGATTTATGTCAGACACCAGGGACTAATGTCAGACACTAGGGATTTATGTCAGACACCAGGGACTAATGTCAGACACCAGGGACTAATGTCAGACACCAGGGACTAATGTCAGACACAAGGGATTTATGTCAGACACCAGGGACTAATGTCAGACACAAGGGATTTATGTCAGACACCAGGGACTAATGTCAGACACAAGGGATTTATGTCAGACACCAGGGATTTATGTCAGACACCAGGGATTTATGTCAGACACCAGGGACTAATGTCAGACGCCAGGGACTAATGTCAGACACCAGGGATTTATGTCAGACACCAGGGACTAATGTCAGACACCAGGGACTAATGTCAGACACCAGGGAGTAATGTCAGACACCAGTGATTTATGTCACACAAGGGAATAATGTCAGACACCAGGGACTAATGTCAGACGCCAGGGACTAATGTCAGACACCAGGGACTAATGTCAGACACCAGGGATTTATGTTGTTTGTTTGTTGGTTATTTAACGCCGCACTCAGCAATATTCAAGCTATAAGACAGCTGTCTGTAAATGAACTAGTCTGGACCAGACAATTCAGTGATTGATATCATGAGCATCGATCAACGCAATTAGGACCGATGACATGCATCAACCAAGTAAGCAAACCTGACCACCCGATCCTGTTCTTCGCCTTTTACGACAAGCAAAGTCCCCTTTTGCGGCAAGCATGGGTTGCTGAAGACCTATTCTACCCGGATCTTCACGGGTCAGGATTTATGTCAAAACCAGGGACTGACATCAGACACAAGGGATTTATGTCACCAGGGATTTGGGTCAGATGTTCTTACGTGTTAAACTTTTGAGAGGAAAGGATAGTTTAGATATGTGTCCTTCATGTTCTAAGACTGTAACATACCCAAGCCATGACATATTCAAATGATTGGCCACTCTAACCCTCCAAGTTAACCCTTCCTCTCTCTGCATGCACTCCCTCTGCAAACACTTTGTGCATCGACAAGTTCTCAGCAAACCATGTAAATTAGGTCAGTATAATATGTCTGGATATCTTTGTATTGTATGTTGTTGCATTTAAATGTTTCAGTATGTGAAACCTGTAATTAAAAGTGTTTAATATCCTCTAATTCTTAGCAAACTTTCTTTAATTAAATTAAACTAGGCTTAAATATTGTAAGCTTTAGTAATGGCTAATATATAACCTTTCTATCTCTTTATTCAAAAACTTATTTCTTAACAGGCCTTAATAGCATTTCGCCGGACTGAACATGGACCCAGGAAAACATACATTCAGAGTTAATTTAACAAATGAAGTTGTCTCCCTTCGTTCCGAATATTATTACAAAGTAATATTCTGTGTATTTAAGTTAAACTTGCTTGAAATGCCATCATGTATTGGCATTGCTCAATACGTCTTATACAAGGCATGAATTGTCACTCAGCTGACCATATAGTAACACGTCGGCTAACATGGCAGAGGAGGAATAGATCAGGGAATTCCCAGGCATATTAAACTGTCAGCAAGTAAGCCGAGCGTCGCGTCATTTACCACAATCAGACTAAGAAATCCAATTATTCCAGGCGAGACTTTCACCGTGTTGGCACCCGCCACTTTGTCTCAAACATCGACTTTCGCTTTCGCCACAGCTCCTTCCATGTGAACAGACAAGCAACGGACATTTTGATTGGCTGAACAACGAGAAGCGACCAATCGGATTCACCGTAACAATATGTTAGTATAGTGTATAATCGTGATGTAAACGGAAACAAAGTGTGCATATCTCACTATTATGCATGATGGCGTGGTGGTTGTGGCTGAAAGGTAACGGGGCAATCATTGTCAATGCGTCCCGTGTGGTTGGCAAATATGTAACTTATATTTCTAAACATCGGCTCGTTTCATCAGCTGAGCGTCGGTGGTGTAAAGGTTAGCATGGTTGCCTTCCAAGCAGTCGATCCGGGTTCGATTCCCGGCCGACGCACATTTTGTCATTTGTAGTTTTGTTACTGGTTTTCATCAACTGGAATGTCAAGTCGAGGTATTGCAGGACAGACTTGTACAGAATGTTAAAACTTTGAATGAGTATTTTGTACAGCGACCGTCTCAAATACGCTACCTTGAACTGACATGGTTGGTTACGTAGCAACGTTTGCGGGACTATCTGGGTAATCTGATCTCTTTTGATGAAGAGGAATACACCAGGTAAAAGTAACTGACAACGAACAATCCATGGTGATGGATGACAAATGATTTGTTTGTTTGTTGTTTAACACCGCACTCAGCAATATCACAGCTATATGACGGCAGTCTGTAAATAATCAAGTCTGGACCAGACAATTCAGTGACTGACATCATGAGAATTAATCCACGCAGTTGGGATACGATGACATGCTTGAACTACGTCTGACCATCCGATCCCGTTAGCATAGTCGCCTTTGGACCCGTGAAGATCCGGGGTAGAATAGCTCTTCAGCAACCCACTAACGGGATCGGGTGGTCAGGCTCGCTGACTTGGTCGATGCATGTCATCGATCCCAATTGCGTGGGTCGATGCTCATGATATCAGAAACTGGATTGTCTGGTCCAGACTCGATTATTTACAGACCGCCGTCATATAGCTGCAGTATTGCAACAACAAACAAACATAGTCGCCTTTGAAAAGATGCGACAAGGTATCCTGAGTGGGTATTGTTTTCGGGGCTTTTAGCACTGCTGCAGCTATGGGCTTTAGGCATACATTATTTCAGAAACATCGTTTAACGAAAGCCATTCAGTGACGTGTCGGTCCGGGGCGTTTGAAGTTAGTGCGAGATCTATAATATGTATATGGAATAGCAAATTTTGCGCCACATCACATTTTTTTCATGTTTTCTTAATTATCAAGTATATATATTGACAAAGCTATGACGTATTGTCCTCGGTGTGTTTGTTGAACAAGCTGACATCTAATTGTGTCCTCGGTGGGGACATTCGCTGTGTTTGTTGTACATGGTGGCCCTTCAGAACTGGTTGTATTTTGTCTGGTGTTTAATGCTAAATAAGAAATTTAATCCCCTGGTTTTTTTAACTACTGTCCCATTGTAATGTTAATCGACAGACGGTTGATAACGTAATTGTCAAGTCACAGCTAGTTGTAACGCAAGGTTTAGCGCGTGACGTGACGCAAGGTTTAGCGTATGACGCCACGATGGTTTCTGTTGCCGCCATGTTTGGCAAAACTGAATATGTCAGTGACACAGACCGGATCATCATTACTTAATTATTACTATTTATTTCAGGTAGGTATTCAAATCAAACACCAGACACATTCAGCAGTAGGCCCTAGATACTGTTTACATTACTGTTTTATGTAGGAAAACGCCCGAAAGTATGTAGATCTATTTGTCAATTATTCAAATCGGTGGTTCTGCAAAAGTTTTCGTATTTATTTTTAGTATTAGTCATTCAGTATTTTGCTGTGGACGTGTTTGGTTTGTTGTCAGTTTTAATTGTTTATTGGTCACCTTAATGAATCCTTAGACTATACACTTCTTAAACTTATATGTTGCAATGTTATTAAAAGAAAATTCAGACGTAAAGGGGTAAAACATTCACTTTACAACCGGAAGGAGCATGATTGAGGTAACAGGTCATTATGCATACTGTATGTTGCAGACCGGAAATAAGGTCACGGTTGTGCTTTCTTTGCGATACTTATAGTGAGTGTGGTTTTATGCCGCTTTTAGCAATATTACAGCAATATCACCAGCAATGGGCTTCACACATTGTTCCCATGTCCGAATCAAAACTGGCGTGACGAGCGAACGCTTTAACCACTTGGCTACCCGACCGCACTTTCGATACTTAGAATAGCTAAACGAAAAAAACTGTTGGAACACTTTGTATTTTTTTAGGCATATTGTAGATCTAAGTATTCTAGAGTTGATTTTGTGATTGTCATCCCCAGCCCAACGGGCGTCCGTCCGTCACGTTTCGTTTCCGGAGCATAACTCAGAAACCGTTAAATATATTTGCATGTCTGTCAGGTTGATCTACAAGCTCAACTGGGGCATTTTACTATTTAATTTTTTTGGATATTGATATATTTTTTATTTTTCCATGGCAACAAGTTGAACTTTTTGAAATTTAAGAATTCTTCTTTTAAATGCCAAAAAAATTCAACTTGATACCCATTTAACCTGTTTAAGGAATCTTATAAGTCATAATAAAGTTTTTTTGTGTGCCTACATTTTGTGTTTGTCATTATTTGGAGGTATCTCCCATAGTACGGGGAAACTGTGCATGCCTTCTACCAAGTATTCAGTATGTGCCTCAATAATGGTTGAGGGTAACTTTCGTTTAATGACTTCATTATCAAATCCATCATCCCTACTTCTGCACTGATTATGACAGAGAGATGAGTGTGCGATAAGATGGCCTACTTCTCTATGAAACTTTTTACAGTTTTCAGCACATGTTGGTATGAAGACTTGTGTGCTGTCGGTGCAGTTCCTTCTGTCACAAAAAGTCCCAGTACCTGTTGAAAGAAAACGATACCCAGGCATGCTAGCTTTTGGTTTAACAACTCACAAATCTCAGGGCAGTACTTACCAATATATTGTTGCTGATTTAACACTCCCCTTCAAACACCAATGGCACAAGGGTTAACAAACTCAATGTTAAGCCGCTCACCATCAAGAAAGGGACTCAAACTTATCAACTTCTCTCAAAAGAAAGTACTTGTACGGCAGAACAAGAAATGGAGCGCTTGAGGAACAATGACATTCTCCCATGTCAACATCCCCTTTGTTCTTTGCCAAAGGACAAGACGTCTGTTGGGCATTTATATATGAGATCACTTCCAAGACACTTTACAGATCTAATGTCTGATATATCTGTGCACCATCACTGAAACAAGAAAAGATGAGACTGCCAATAGTAATGATTTTCCTATGCCAGGTCACAATGTTCTGTTGAAGCATTCCCAACATGGACTAGCTATGGTAATCAAAGATGCCTTCAGTACAGAGAGGCAACAGAACTACAGATACCTACTGCCGTAGAGGCTCTCGGATGCTACAGTGAGGCCAGTATTACTCTCTTGGTTGTTGTCATCTATAGGGCACCATCATCATCTCAGAGAACTTTCCTCATTCACTTGCGAACTCTGCTGGAGCAGCTGCCTCTCAATCAGTATAGGATTGTTATCACTGGAGACTTCAATATGGACCAGTCTGTCATGACAACAATGCACTATCCAACCTCATGAAGCAGTTTACATTCGGTCAGTATATCAGCAAACCAACCCCCACTCTTGGGGGTACACTAGACTTGATCTTCTGTAATAAGCCCATCTCAACAGGAGTCTTTCCAGTTCCATACACTGACCATCATCTTGTGTGGGGTGTGACGGAATAGGTGTAGTATATTGAAGTGACTATCATTATTTCTTTGTATGTTAATCAATGTGGTAATGAACTGCACTTTTTAAATCTTAATATTTTGCATTTAATCTACAATGTCCAAAGCAACATCTTGGGTTTGAACAGGTAATGACCATAGTCACATATCACAAACTAATACCATTTATGTTTCTTAAAGAATATTCCATGTAGATATTATTACGAGTCAAAATGTGACTTGTAATGTTTTTTTCTTTCTCCTACCCTAATGAATTCAGTAGTAAATGTAGTAACTGGTTTTGTCAGTTTGTACTTCCATCATGTTTTTGTGGAGGTTTCATTTTTTTTCTTGAACTTCATAGAAATTGTGTTTTGCAGCATTTTATTTTGTTTCTTCAAGATATTTTGCATTTACATCAAGTAGATGCTCCCCTGCTGCCTTTTACTCCTTACAAAATTTTGAATATTTTCAAATGTATGTGTTTCTGTGATCAAATTTCACTATTGTTTACATAATATACACTTCATTTGCTGGGCAGGAGACTTGACCAAGTCAGTGCAAACTCTTCTTTTTTTTTACAATTTCCATGACAAGTTCCACCTTGGTTAAACAAGAGTCATCAGAAAGATGACATATCCCCCCCGGCAGCTGTCTGTAAAGTAACCACTAGTAAATGTGCAATTTTGTATGTAATGAGTCAACAGTTGAATGTTCTTTTAGAAGCATACATTGTTTACCCAATGAATGGTTTTCGAATTCTGGCCCGGAAACGAACCCGTTCCCCAATGGAGTCTAGGTCCAACTTCTTTCCATATAAATTGTAAAAAATAAAAATTCGTAAAAAAATAAATATCAAAAGGCATCACTTCAGTATGTGCCTGATAGCTTTGCCAAGTTTCGATCAAATACACTGAATGGTTTTCGAATTCTGCCCCGGAAACAAACCCCATCCCCAATTGAGTCTATGTCCAACTTCATTCCATAAAAATTTAAAAAAAATTAAAATTAGAAAAATCCCAAAATATCAAAAGGCACCACTTCAGTGTGTGCTTGATAGATTTGCCAAGTTTCGATCAAATACACTGAATGGTTTTCGAATTCTGCCCCGGAAAAGGAAATGATTACGGACGGACAGACTGGCTGATCGCTATATCCCCCCGCATTAAATGTCGGGGGGATAAAAAGGTTAGGGTTTGTTTAGATTTAATTATGTCATAAATTCTGCAACAGGTGTGGGGGATATAGCCACGTTAGTGGCAAACTCTTGTATTAATTGTTCTGGTATTCTTTATTAGGCCTAGTGACATTGTTACAAATAGTACTTGTAGTTGGTAGGGATAACCAGGATCACTGTAGAAGTTAACAGAGTTACCACGTTACAGTATTTTTGAAGTACACATGTATTAGACATAATGGCAAAGAATACTATGTTACATGTGTACAAAGTCAGACTATCATAAAGGTATTGAGTTAATGGGATTGAGTGAGTGAGTGAGTTAGTATGGTTTTATGCTGCCTTTAGCAATTTTCTAGCCATATCACCATAAATGCGCTTCATACATTGTACCCATGTGGGGAATCGAACCCGGGTCTTTGGCATGACAACGCTTAAACCACTAGGCTACCCCACTGCCCCTGAGTAAAGGAAGATAATGTAATGCTTAAACTGGCTGTGTGATCTAAGGGAGATAATCAACCCTTCCATTGCACTTGTGTACTGTACGAAAGAATGTTCAATTTTAAATGTCATGAGTTAGTTTAGTCTATGCTGCATGACATGCTTTGATCATATTCCTTTTATACTGTTTCACCATGAGATCTCAATGTTTTCTTATTTTGTTTCTGTTATTTCTTGCATTTACATGGTTTATAAGTGAGATAAAGTACACTCCCTGGTTGGCTTTGTTCCTCGGCATTGCCCATACCGGATTGCCTCGCTCTTACTTTCTCGACCATAACCAAGGAGGAGTGCTTTATCCATCACATACAGTACGTCTTTACCCCAATATTGTATAGGTTGTAACCAGTTGGAGATATAGAAGTGATGGAAGTCCTATACTTTTCAAACCCGGGGAACCCAAGTCCTAAGTGGTGACCCACAGAACCGAACGGGGAACCAGTGAGTCGATACAGCTACATCAGCTACCGCAGCTACATCAACACCATACTGAGTATATGGGGGAGTACCCCGTCAACAGCCTCTCTTATTCCGTTTACTGTCCCGTCAAAACTGACCAGATGATTTGGTCATAACGACCCCTCTGATCATGCTGATGGTTTGATGTGCTAAATGGTGGGTATCTCACAATGGTGTGATGTCACAAGGTTTGATGTGCTAAATGGTGGGTATCTCACAATGGTGTGATGTCACAAGGTTTGATGTGCTAAATGGTGGGTATCTCACAATGGTGTGATGTCACAAGGTTTGATGTGCTAAATGGTGGGTATCTCACAATGGTGTGATGTCACAAGGTTTGATGTGCTAAATGGTGGGTATCTCACAATGGTGTGATGTCACAAAGGTTTGATGTGCTAAATGGTGGGTATCTCACAATGATGTGATGTCACAAGGTTTGATGTGCTAAATGGTGGGTATCTCACTATGGTGTGATGTCACAAGGTTTGATGTGCTAAATGGTGGGTATCTCACAATGATGTGATGTCACAAGGTTTGATGTGCTAAATGGTGGGTATCTCACAATGGTGTGATGTCACAAAGGTTCTATGTGCTAAATGGTGGGTATCTCACAATGGTGTGATGTCACAAAGGTTTTATGTGCAAAATGGTGGGTATCTCACAATGGTGTGATGTCACAAAGGTTTTATGTGCAAAATGGTGTGATGTCACAAAGGTTATATGTGCTAAATCGTATCTCACAATGGTGTGATGTGGAACTAGGTCACCAGGTGGGCATCTCAGAATTGTGTGACAATAATAAACTTGTCTGTCTTATATGACCTTCAGAACTGTTAACTGATCATACACAAAAAAAACTTATACTCCACACAAAGACATAAATAGAACACAAAGCTGTCAGACTTCTATTTGGTTTGTTTTATTCAACATGAACAGGGCTTATATTACAATGATTCTGTACATGTTCCCGGTGACATCAACAATGGTCTGGACTGTGTCACCATGTCACACCTGCCGGGGGACTGTCACCTCGTTCTTGCAGTGAGGAAGTCTGGTGTAAAAGATACCACATAATTCCTCACACATCTTTTAGATACATTCTATTTGGTAATCCACACTCAATACATCTTGACTAGATTTAACACATCCTAACCTTTGAGCAGTGCCTCTTGCAAACATCTTCATCGTAACATTTGAGTATTACCTTTTGCAAAGACCTTCATCGTAACATTTGAGTATTACCTCTTGCAAACACCTTCATCGTAACATTTGAGTATTACCTCTTGCAAACACCTTCATCGTAACATTTGAGTATTACCTCTTGCAAACACCTTCATCGTAACATTTGAGTATTACCTCTTGCAAACACCTTCCTCGTAACATTTGAGTATTACCTCTTGCAAAGACCTTCATCGTAACACTTAAGTAATGTCTCTTGTAAAGACCATCGTAACATTTGTAGTGCTTCTTGCCAAGAACTAGCTCATCATGACATGTTGCTCGTCACCCAAACACTCTTGTTAATTCACAGACACTTACAGTGTAGATGTATAACATCGCAATTTACTCTAAATTGTAACACAATTTCACATCCTGTATATATGAAGTAGAATGCAACTTACACATATCGTAACACATTTACATCATGTACACCTGGTAGGTGTACCAGATCATAATTCATTAAGATACACAACTGTGTAAACAGTCTCTATGGCGTTGTTCACTCATGACACATATATACCTTCTTTTGCAAGCCCTCACTCGCTTCGATCCCCTCACTGGCATCATCATCATCATCATCGACATGTTAATCATAACAATTAATTATGAAAATATAACAGTAGTATTTTATTCTGTATTTCACCCATACTCACACATTACTTAGAAAACCCATTACAGTTATCATATCATGTCTCCAAAAATTATAATAGTTAATAATGAGCAATGAGCTAACTCTCGATCTTTGTAAATAAGATGATGATGGATAGAATCTGTATTCATTTCACTAATGTTAATTTTCACATGATAAGTGGGTTTATATTCACATGATCTTCACTTGGTGGTTCTTATTGATCTGGTCCCAAAAGACTATCAAAGACCATTGTTTTGTACTAAGTATCTAGTACTAAGTAAGTATCGACTACTAAGTAGGTATAGTACCATGCTGGCATCTGGTACTGGGGAGGGATGACACTACAAGAGGGTGGATCTTTAATTTGAGCAGAGTGACTGTTTCCAGCAGTAAAGTATTAAATAATACCCAATGTAATTTATGCAAGTTTAAAATCAATTTTGTTTATAAAGGGGTAAACTTGACTTCTTTACCTGTCGTTGTAGTCTGAAGTATTAAAAGACTTGCATGGCCATCAACCTCACAAAAACCTCCCCACACCAACTGTTGAGTCGTGCTTCACATAATTATGCTGGAGATTCTGGGAATTCCCCCAACAGTGTCGTTTCAACACAATCTGCCAAATCTTACTTCACTTAAACATGCTGGCGATATTAAGTGCTCTTCTTAAGTATTATTTGCTGAATCTTACTTCAATCAATGATGCGGCACCTTTTATGACTGCCTCTGCCGAATGTGACTTAACAATATTATGTTGGGGATTTTATGAATGCTTCTGACATCCTGTTTCCCCCACTGTCTGCTGAATGTCCCTTATCTTATTAAGGTGGAGTAATTAATGAGTGCTTCCAGCAATGCTGTCTTCATGCTTTCTGGGTCTTCCCTTCACATTCATGTTCAAAGTTCTGCACAGGTTGGAGATTAACACAATTAGTCCATTAGTCCATAAAGTATTAGAATTAAGTTTGAAAACATTTGAAATCCAGTCCTAATTATTTGCTATAATCATTGTCCGTGTACACACCTGAAGTAAAGATGTGTGAGAATGAAGGGTACTTTATCTAGCCTAAACATTCAACTAATGATAAACTGTCACAAAAAGATGATTCATTCACATGTAATTTTTTGTAAACTTTTTTTTATCACTTCAACGAGATGCTTTACTTAACAGTTTTATGGAAAAAGAGGGCTGCATTTTTGTGATAGCAACCCACAAATCAATTTGCACACAAGAAACATGAGGGGTTCATCAGGAACTGTGTGTACTTATTAAATGTATGTCAAAGAGAGGGTGTGACATTTGTGTACTGATTTCGTGGACATTTATTTTTATTCTCTTGTACCTTATATAAGAATCTCCCAACCTTCTGAGACACACTCCTAAATGCCTGGGTACTGCTGGACTCTAGGACAAAATACTCAAGTGTGCTGTTATAACATAAGCTTATAACCCTGTTGCATAGGATCATTGTGTCCGGAGTCATACCACTCTGACTTGGCCTCACACAGTACAAACATATAGCACAGAGTAGGTAGAAAAATAGCCACACATGTCTCCACTGGCATGTGATACTCTCACCTGCTGATAAACAATTCATATCTCACTCGGTGCATATATCTAAGTAATCACCATTGTACATATATAAAACTACATAACACAGCTGTAATGTCAACATTGTACATAGCCACAGCTGTTGTGTCAACATTGTACATAGCCACAGCTGTGGTGTCAACATTGTACATAGCCACAGCTGAAGTGTCAATGTTGAACATAGCCACAGCTGAAGTGTCAACATTGTACATAGCCACAGCTGTTGTGTCAACATTGTACATAGCCACAGCTGAAGTGTCAACATTGTACATAGCCACAGCTGTTGTGTCAACATTGTACATAGCCACAGCTGAAGTGTCAACGTTGTACATAGCCACATCATATAGCCTGTAGGTGCAGACAGTAAGCATATATCTGTCCTTAAAAAAGTAAAGTTTGTATAATATTGTGTTAATAACAATTCTATGTTGGTTGAGCACCCCTTTTATGCAAAAGTAACATTTAAACAAATCATTTATCTCATCTCTACATGCTGTACATGTGTTATCTCAAACAGAAACAGCTAGTAAAATACATATTTGTCAAACCTTAAATCTAATCAGTATCTTCAACATCAACATTTAACAGTCTAGTAAAGTCAGTAAAAACATATACCGGGGTATATAACAATGTGAATACTTTTTACCATTATAAAATATAATTATTACAATTAATTACCATTAACATAATCTTTCATTTCAACAAGATTTGGTATACAATGAGATCTGATTCTCAACAAAACAGTTCATGTTTCATTAATCCAGTCCCATTTCAGTCTGGATGACAGAGTTGCATCTTGAGCACCCCGGTTAGATGTGCAGGACATCAGATGGACCCTGACGGACAGAGCAACCGTTGGCCGAAACGCTTTCCTTTCTTCAGTTGCCTCAGAGGAGAAGCACGCCCACTTCCTGTTTGTACCCCTCAACGAAAAATATAGTTGGACGTGGCTAGCTTCTCATGGAAATCCTATCAAAGTCTCACCGAGAGTCCCCAGTCAAGGTGCACCTCAGAAACATCCATTCACCTTCACAGGGCATACAGAATGGTGGATTAATTCAAACTTTACTTATGAACATATCGTACTTGTCATTCTCAATATATCCAGGGCCCTCTTGCACAGAACAATCTTAGTTACAACTTATCTTAGGCGCCTACAGTCAACTTTACAATCACCATACAACTGTCCTATTCCACATCCACAAACTGATCTTTGCGCGATTGTAAGACGGCTTGGATTTAACATCATGATCTTAGCTAAGATTGAAATCTTCAACGGTGGAGGTGCAAATATCTTAAACTCGACCCGTCTACAGATGTCTGCAGACGCGCATACCTTGCTGCGCAAACAATAAGTGGATCCGGTAATGACACACAACATTACCTCCCTCCATCGCACCTTGCACAGTTAATTGAAGGAAATGATTACTAGTATGATGGCATATATTTTTGTCGGCATTAATACTGTCATGATTTTGGAATTGTTAGAGAAATACCTACTCATGTTTTATTAAAAGTACTGAAATACGAATAAATACATTATTTACCGACCCAATTATTATAAACATTAAAATAAATAATAATAGTATGTCCTGATAACATAACAAGTAAATGTAGGATGGTCATCTATTTGGGGGAGCTTTTAAACAAATTCTTAATATATCCTTGTTTTCGTTTCGCTGCTGTAACAAAGGATGTTATGATTACCTTTTCAAAACACCGAAAGACGAGGATTTCAAGAATGCATGGACAGGAAATAAGAATACTGTTTTGAGAAAGCAGTTGTTAAATATATATTCACTGGGTATTAACTATATTCATAATTATTTTTAAAAAGTGTGAATTTTACTTTTGCTATTTATGGGACATTTTACACAAATTTCAAATGTCTCATCATGTGTATTTGCTTGTTTGATGAGTATCTGTATTTTTTCCTTTTAAATTCAGTTATTAAAACGCTTGTCCCCGTCCCACTCGATTTTAGATTAAAACGTACGATTTTGCTCTTCAGCTTGTATTTATTTGTAGATTAAGTTAATGATAAACCAAAGACAAAATAACTGACATGAATGTGACCCAAAAGAAATACAGGGGAGCTCAGCGATTCTACAACATTAATACACTGAGCAAGGTAGATTCTACGCTACAGGCTTGTACAAAGGGAAACCACTCCCATTTAAAGTATAAACTAAGATTAGCTGCCCTTGATTGATCTAAAAGGTCATGGACATTACAAATCGCATGCAGAAGACTTAGGTTTTCATCCTTCCCTTGATTAGTGAAAAGGTATGTTGTGTCACACTTCTTTCAGCATTGAATCGGTAGGGAATAGTTCTTTTAGCTATCGACTCGATAGTTATGTGGTTCACTATCACAGTTAACAATATTTCTTACGTTAAATCTGTAGTGCCTTCTTCGTGTTGTAGAAGTGTAGATTCGAATCATAAAGTTTCACAAAATAAAGAGGCAATGTTTGAACATAAAGCGGATTATTTATTTGAAATAAGCCCTGTCTTGCACACCATTTTGTCAAGTTTATTCAGGGACTACAACGATCTTAGCTACTTAAGATTTGTCCGGACCAATTGTAAGTTTTCGATTGTAGCTTACAATATTCTTAGCCTTCAATCGCTTTGTGCAAGTGGATGGCGATTGAGGCCAAAGCCTAAGATCACAATCGTAAGGATTTACAATAATCACAGCGCTAAGATTGTTCTGGGCAAGTGGACCAAGGTCTCATAGAATTATTCAACAGCCAAATAAAGAATTCTTTTCAACAAACTCTATTTCAGGCAGAAACAATCAGCAGAATTTCTACTTCTCATTCGTTAATAATTTTCCATATTTTGGGGTTTTAATGATCAGGTAGTTGCCGCACCAGTCTAGAAACGTCCGTGTTCAAGCATACCCTTTACTCAAGGCTCACTAGAATATGGCAGCAAACCTTCCATGTCTAAACATCAGACAAAATATAAATTGTATATACATATTTTCATATTTCTTCAAATACAAAATAAACATTTATCCATGTGCTGTAGTCAGAAACCCCAGTGTTCAAGTGGTCAACATTCTGGTAAACCTGCACTAACTCCTGGATCCATTCCCTGGTTCTCGCAGCCTCAAATTACCTGCCCTTGATTGCCATCTGCCAATTGGATTGGCTACGCTACTAGATCTTACGCACCAATCAGAATGTGAGTTACAAACCAGCCTCATTGTTGGGTTGGCCAATGCCATTGATTATGGTTGCGAGAAATCCAAGATAGAAAAACTGACTGACACACAAAAGAAATCTTTTTGCTGGAAAGGATGTCTTCATGTCCTGGTCAGTGAAATGTTGGGTACTCTGCGATCGCAAGAACCAGGAATGGTTTGGTTTGTTGTTCTACGCCGCACTCAGCAATGTTCCAGTTATATGACGGCGGTATGTAAATGATCGAGTCTGAACCAGACAATCCAGTGATTGACATCATGAACATGAATCCACACAATTGGGATCGATGACATGCATCAACGAAGTATCCAGGGGTTGGTGCCCAGGAGATACAGAGGATGGTGGCTGTGGTCATCATCATCTCAAACTTACTAATCCACACAGCAAAGCCATCAAATACTAATTATTTGTATTCTTACATTCAAAGTGTTAAAATATTACGTCACATATGGTATGATTATCAAGATTATATGTGAATGATACAGATGTATTTGTTTGAGAATATTAGGTAACACCCATGTAACTATTTTCTTACAAACTCTCCTTCCTGTCGAGAAGGGGAGGCGGGGGGTGGGGGGTGGGGGGACAATTGTCTCCTCTCGTGACTGCATACAGTGTCGACATGAGAAACCAAAGACAGCACATCAGAACACATCCAGATATACACAGACCTCTCTATCATCACCAACTGAGGTCGTATCCTACAAATCATAAATTCCAAAAAGTAAAACGCTTTGATTTTAAACTGATTAATTGTAAAGTATAGATAAAAAATCCCACGCTGCAACACTACATGCTATAAAGCTGGTATAGCAACGTGTTGTATGTAACATGTGTATATATGTGTATACATGGCTTCAGAGTGTTCATATAGTAAACAAGTAGACATACTTTGTGACACACTTGTGCAAACAAGTGTCAAAATGCTTGTGCTATATACAGAGGTAAACAATTGAGACAGTTAATGTACACCGTAAATACGATATGCAAAGGGGTATATGCAAAAAGTATATTTTTTCTAAAATATTACAAATCTGAGCACTATGGTGTAAAATGCCACAAAACAAATCTAAATGATAAAGTCTGAGTGCAATACACAGGAGCTGGGAGTATTGGATGATATTTGAACACAAGTCGCGGAGAATAGGATAAACAAGAAAACATCATTGAGAAGGTTACATACCTGAACACTGAAACAATAGGCATCTGAACAATTTGGGTACAATATACATAGCTGAAAGCTGAGTATACAGATGTGATCGGGGTTGCAGTGATATGATAGGCGGCCAGTAGGGCTGTAACGATTCACTGATACCTACGATATCATCGATACTTAGGTACACTAGATACTTGAATCGTCAGTTTGTGAGATTGCGATACACTATAAATAGAAACAGGAACTCGTTTTCTTTGTTAAAGTTTTTGAGATGTCAACACATAAATTTTTGAATTAAGAGTTCTATTTCAGTGATTTCATCATTTCTTACTATTTGATGTGATGTATCGTGACACCAGAAGTATCGTCAGTCCGTATTGTGATACAAATGGTATCGCAAGATACCAGGTGATACTCGGCCCTGCCTGGCATGATACACGTGATTCTTACTAGTGCTGGGACGATACACTGATGAATTGGTGGATCGCTTTATTTTACTTCCTGATACAAGAATAAATCACACTCACGCACAAAGTAAAAAATATTGATTCATACCTTAAATGTTTACTTTATTGGCTGTAACACCAAACACTAATTAGTAGTAAACATTTGTAGTGAATAAGTAAATATTTTCATCCATTGCGCCATACTTGACAGTGCTATCTGTAAATCGTCAGTGTGTCAGGTGTTTGACTATCCTGTCTATGAAAGAGATGATACACACCACAGATAAGAGCACATGCAAGTATCATGATTCGTATCGGATCGTGACCAAGGTATCGTGACCAAGGTATCGTGATACGTATCGGATCTGACAGTTGGTGTATTGTACCAGCCCTAATTCTTACGTGAACAATTGGCCACATAAAAAATGTGTAGCAGACAGACTCCGGAGGAGGAGTTATTAGGATCAGCACGGACACGTTGAGGGTCAACAAAAGCACTACTGACGTCCAAACAGGACTCTACAGGGTTAACTACTCAAGGCTTCAAATTCATCCAGAGTCATCGCGTCCAGTCGGCGAGGGCCGGTCTGTGACGGAGTGTTCGACTCCTCCGAGTTATCACTTGCGTCATCGGAGGTGTAACTGATGCGCATCCTCCACCGGTTCTGACCGGTCATCCCTAGGGGGCGCTGTGGACTGCTGCTCAGGTTGTTGACCTTCAGGTCAAGCTTCTGGCGTGGCGACCCGACCGTATGCACATCACGGTTGTCGTTGAAGTTGTCAAAGCGGTTGCCATGACTACTCTTGACAGTGCTGGTGTTGCTACTGGCATATGTTGAATAATAATCACTGTCCGACGGAATATTGGCGTTTGAATCACGATCTCCAGAACTGGATGAACCATGTGCTGTTCGCGTAGGTCTACGAAATTTGGGCGGTGGATCGATTTTTGGAGTGTGGCTGGTTCCAACCTTCAGATCCAGTCTGTTCCCGCTAGCATCCTGAGGCGGACAGGGCGTGATGACCTTCACCTTGTCCTCATTCATCTCCTTCCTCCCGTCATCAGAATTGTTTGTGAAGGAGTTCCTGAAAGGATTGCCATTGATATTGTTAGCGAGTGTGGTGGGTGGTGCGGCGCTGCCGTAGGGCACGCCCCAGCCATTGGACTCTGCGTGGGTCAGGTTGTAGGACAGGCTCTCGGACGACATCTCCCGATGGCCACTGTCCGGCGAGTCTGTGTCCAGGCCTGCCTTCGTGTTCTCAAACAACGCATTGTCGGACACGTTGCTGATGTATGAGTTGTCCACCTCGCGGAACTCGGGGATGTACACTGGTCCAGGGCGTGGCGTTGTTGGGTCCGGCAACATCGGCACCTGAAACACAGCATGCAATAGTTTTTTTGTTTTTTTTAAATATTTTTTATTTCAATTGGTACATGAGGTATATACGTGTAGTCATTCATAGAATCTTAAAACATGATCAGATATAAGTACGTACATATATTGATTGACTGAGAAATTATAATAAGTAGGCTGATAATTCCTTCCATTTTCTGTCGAATCTATTAATACTACCATTTTTCTTTGCGATAAATCTTTCTATTTTACATACATCTTTCAATATTTTTATGAAAAAAGGAAAGCATAATGGAGTTTTCTTAATGCTTGACTGGTGAATGTATTTTTTTGCAAGAAGATTATATGGTTGAAAAGGTAGTTGTTTTTGTTGTAAAAATGCAATAGTTAGCACAGTGGCGTGTTTGATTTCGTCAAGGCAGACAGGGATCTTATTGAGTCAAAGGCAGACAACACTCGGACAACTTGGCAGACCCAGCAGTCTTATCTGCTAATTCAAATATTGTTATTTATATGGATCTAGCATCAGGGGAATATCATGAACATCATTCAATTACACAGTCCCGATTAACACACAGGCCAACACCACACAGTATCCAGTCCATACCTGTGGTGGAGTCTGGAACAGCACCTCCGATGACGTCACGCCGCTGACCTTGATCTCGAGGTCCTGTATGCGGGACACCAGCTGGGTCACATGATCCAGGAGGTCCCGGTTGTGCATTAGCAGCTGGTGAGCTCGAGCCTGGAACACCCAGTGAGTGAGTGAGTGAGTGTTTTTTATGCCAGTTTTAGCAATATTCTTCCCATTACTGACATATCATCGTCTATGCTAAAAAGTTTGAAGCCTACTACCCTGATCCTGTCACATGACATGATTTTCATAAGATTTTTGTCTTAATGAATGGAAGCTTACTACACTGAAAGAAATATTACTAGACTGGGACTTTGGACTAGTAGCTAAAGTCACAGACTGATATCACATCCGGCGACATCAGAAGAAGGCTTTATCCATTGTGAGGAATGGAACCAAAGTCTTCAACACTTTAACCACGTGTCTACCCCACTGCCCCAATGAGTACACGTAGTTGTTCTATCCATTGTAGCAAGTCAAGTCACCGCTAAGTGGGATCTACCCGTGAAGATCCGGAGTAGAATAGGTCTTCAGCAACCCATCCTTGCCGTAAAAGGCAACTGTGCTCGTCGTAAGAGGCGACTAACGGGAATGGGTGGTCAGGCTCACTGACTTGGTTGATGCATGTCATTGTATCCCAATTACGTGGATCATTGCTCATGATATCAATCACTGGATTGTCTGGTCCAGACTTTATTATTTACAGACCACTGTCATATAGCTGAAATATTGCATTAAACAACAAACAAATATTACGGTGGCAGGTAAATAATCCAGCCTGGACCAGACAAACCAGTGATTGATACTATCAGCAACGATCCACTCTGGCGGGTACGACGATACACCATCAACCAAGTCACCGAGCCTGACCAACCGGTCTATAAGTACATTGACAGGTATACGTTGCTGTGAGTGAGTGAGTGAGTGAGTGAGTGAGTGAGTGAGTGAGTGAGTGAGTGAGTGAGTGAGTGAGTGAGTGAGTGAGTGAGTGAGTGACATTGGGCTTCAGACATTGTACCCATCTCAGGAATTGAACCCGGGTCTTCAGCGTGACGAGCAAACACTTTAACCACTAAGCTACCCGTCACCGCCCCAGGGGATCAGTTTGAACTCTAAATGGCAACAAATACCCAGTGACATCTACAAATGTGACAAAAAATGTCCCCTGACTGGAGAACACAGTACCTGTGCCTCAATCCTTGCGGCTGTCTCCGCCGACAACTGGTCCTTGAGAAGGTGCACCTGCGCTATGGCAACCTGCGTCTGGTGCTGCTGCTGCTCCAACTGTTGTCGTATCAACTGCATCTGGTGGTGAGAACTGAGCGGGAGCTGAGACTCGGGGGCATATTCTCCAAGCATCACTGGAGACCCGAGCGGGGACGTAATCGTTGTACCCCCAACCTGATTGTCAAACACAGACATGTTCATCATCAAAGACTGGCTTCAGGAGATACAGAGATATGAGGTATCAATTTTTCCAATTCAAACTTTATTTCATATAATCTTATTCTGACATTTTTACCAAGGAAACAACAGAGAGATATCTTGGGAAATGGGATTGAATTTCTATAAAAAATAAATAAATATTGTCCCCAAAGATAATTTGGAAAAATACATCTTTGTTTCTGGTTTTACCAAATAAAAAAAATAATTATTCCCTGTATGGCCTGAGAAAAACAACAGTACCCCCAAAATGCATGTCTCTGTTCAAGGACAAAAAATTATAACGGAAATGGGGACGGCCTCCAAAATACTCATATGACTGACAAATGGGGACCTTGAATTTCTATTAAAAAAAATTAAAAATTGTCCCCGAAGATAATTTGTAAAAATACATTTTCGCTTCTGGTTTTACCAAATAAAAAAAAAAAATTATTCCCTGTATGGCCTGAGAAAAACAACAGTAGCCCCAAAATTCAAGTCTCTGTTCAAGGACAAAAAATTATAACGGAAATGGGGACGGCCTCCAAAATACTCATATGACTGACAAAACACATCAAAGGTTTTAGGTGCAACCAAATCTCTTCAATCGAAGTAGAAACTAAATTGCAATATTGCAGACATGCACCTACCGTTGGAGAGTTACCTCCCCTGGACTGTAGAAGCTGGGCTTGTTTGAGCGCCAGTTCCGTAGGTGGGGACACCCTGCCTTCCTTCACTGGCTCATCCAAGTTGTCCTTGTTCAGCTCCTTCTCCTCAAGTGCATCCTTGTCTGAAAAACAATCCTCACAGGTAAGAACTGCAATCCTCACAGATAAGTACTGCAACCCTCACAGATAAGTACTGCAACCCTCACAGATAAGTACTGCAACCCTCACAGATAAGTACTGCAACCCTCACAGACAAGTACTGCAACCCTCACAGATAAGTACAGCAACCCTCACAGACAAGTATTGCAACCCTCACAGATAAGTACTGCAACCCTCACAGATAAGTATTGCAACCCTCACAGATAAACACTGCAACCCTCACAGATAAACACTGCAACCCTCACAGATAAGTACTGCAACCCTCACAGATAAGTACTGCAACCCTCACAGATAAGTACTGCAACCCTCACAGATAAGTATTGCAACCCTCTCAGATAAATACTGCAACCCTCACAGATAAGTACTGCAACCTTCACAGATAAGTATTGCAACCCTCACAGATAAACACTGCAACCCTCACAGACAAGTACTGCAACCCTCACAGATAAGTACTGCAACCCTCACAGATAAGTAATGCAACCCTCACAGACAAGTACTGCAACCCTCACAGATAAGTACTGCAACCCTCACAGATAAGTACTGCAACCCTCACAGATAAGTATTGCAACCCTCACAGATAAGTATTGCAACCCTCACAGATAAACACTGCAACCCTCACAGATAAGTATTGCAACCCTCACAGATAAACACTGCAACCCTCACAGATAAGTACTGCAACCCTCACAGATAAGTATTGCAACCCTCACAGATAAACACTGCAACCCTCACAGATAAACACTGCAACCCTCACAGATAAGTACTGCAACCCTCACAGATAAGTACTGCAACCCTCACAGATAAGTACTGCAACCCTCACAGATAAGTATTGCAACCCTCTCAGATAAATACTGCAACCCTCACAGATAAGTACTGCAACCTTCACAGATAAGTATTGCAACCCTCACAGATAAACACTGCAACCCTCACAGACAAGTACTGCAACCCTCACAGATAAGTACTGCAACCCTCACAGATAAGTAATGCAACCCTCACAGACAAGTACTGCAACCCTCACAGATAAGTACTGCAACCCTCACAGATAAGTACTGCAACCCTCACAGATAAGTATTGCAACCCTCACAGATAAGTATTGCAACCCTCACAGATAAACACTGCAACCCTCACAGATAAGTATTGCAACCCTCACAGATAAACACTGCAACCCTCACAGATAAGTATTGCAACCCTCACAGATAAACACTGCTGAAGGTGGAGGCTGAAGTCTGTACAGCACGACTCTACAGGGTCCGACACAGACACTGCTGAAGGTGGAGGCTGAAGTCTGTACAGCACGACACTACAGGGTCCGACACAGACACTGCTGAAGGTGGAGGCTGAAGTCTGTACAACACAACACTACAGGGTCCGACACAGACACTGCTGAAGGTGGAGGCTGAAGTCTGTACAGCACAACACTACAGGGTCCGACACAGACACTGCTGAAGGTGGAGGCTGAAGTCTGTACAGCACGACTCTACAGGGTCCGACACAGACACTGCTGAAGGTGGAGGCTGAAGTCTGTACAACACAACACTACAGGGTCCGACACAGACACTGCTGAAGGTGGAGGCTGAAGTCTGTACAACACAACACTACAGGGTCCGACACAGACACTGCTGAAGGTGGAGGCTGAAGTCTGTACAGCACAACACTACAGGGTCCGACACAGACACTGCTGAAGGTGGAGGCTGAAGTCTGTACAGCACGACTCTACAGGGTCCGACACAGACACTGCTGAAGGTGGAGGCTGAAGTCTGTACAACACAACACTACAGGGTCCGACACAGACACTGCTGAAGGTGGAGGCTGAAGTCTGTACAGCACAACTCTACAGGGTCCGACACAGACACTGCTGAAGGTGGAGGCTGAAGTCTTTACAACCAACACTACAGGGTCCGATACAGACACTGCTGAAGGTGGAGGCTGAAGTCTGTACAACCAACACTACAGGGTCCGATACAGACACTGCTGAAGGTGGAGGCTGAAGTCTGTACAGCACAACTCTACAGGGTCCGACACAGACACTGCTGAAGGTGGAGGCTGATGTCTGTACAACACCACACTACAGGGTCCGACACAGACACTGCTGAAGGTGGAGGCTGAAGTCTGTATAACCAACACTACAGGGTCCGACACAGACACTGCTGAAGGTGGAGGCTGAAGTCTGTATAACCAACACTACAGGGTCCGACACAGACACTGCTGAAGGTGGAGGCTGAAGTCTGTACAGCACGACTCTACAGGGTCCGACACAGACACTGCTGAAGGTGGAGGCTGAAGTCTGTACAGCACGACTCTACAGGGTCCGACACAGACACTGCTGAAGGTGGAGGCTGAAGTCTGTACAACACAACACTACAGGGTCCGATACAGACACTGCTGAAGGTGGAGGCTGAAGTCTGTACAGCACGACTCTACAGGGTCCGACACAGACACTGCTGAAGGTGGAGGCTGAAGTCTGTACAAGACAACACTGAGAATGACAAACACACACATTCAGTCGGTGTGTGACAACAGTGACAAGATGTTCACTTGATAACAACCCCAACAGGAAACAGCATTTCACACCGAAGCTGTCAACACAAATTAAGTCCATCACAAACTATTACCCTTCAAACAATCAGATGGAGGATTGAAATCAATACCATTACTCAAGTTCTTAAAGATTCTTTTCCTTGCTTAGAATCAACACAAATACACAGCTCCGATATTTCTCTGCCATGTTATTATTTTGAATGCCATGTTTTTATTCACTGACTGTCAAGTAAATCTGTTGTTCTTTTTTATTTCCACAGATTCAAAGCAATTGGACTGCTGCTACAGCATCTGCATGGGAAGCAGGAATGAGGGATTTATCGAGCTGATGCTGAATTAATACAAAATAACCCAAAAGCTACGAGGAATTACGGATTAACTGAACCGAGCGAATAAATGAGGGACAGATAATCCATAATTCCAAGTAGCAGGTATCTTATTCTCTATATTACCCACAGTCAAGTAGCAGGTATGTTATTCTCTATATTACCCACAGTCAAGTAGCAGGTAAGTTATTCTCTATGTTACCTACAGTCAAGTAGCAGGTATGTTATTCTCTATATGCAGGTATCTTATTCTCTATGTTACCCACAGTCAAGTAGCAGGTAGGTTATTCTCTATATTACCCACAGTCAAGTAGCAGGTAAGTTATTCTCTATGTTACCCACAGTCAAGTAACAGGTAAGTTATTCTCTATGTTACCCACAGTCAAGTAGCAGGTATCTTATTCTCTATGTTACCCACAGTCAAGTAGCAGGTAGGTTATTCTCTATATTACCCACAGTCAAGTAGCAGGTAAGTTATTCTCTACATTACCCACAGTCAAGTAGCAGGTAAGTTATTCTCTATATTACCCACAGTCAAGTAACAGGTAAGTTATTCTCTATATTACCCACAGTCAAGTAGCAGGTAGGTTATTCTCTATATTACCCTCAGTCAAGTAACAGGTAAGTTATTCTCTATATTACCCACAGTCAAGTAGCAGGTATCTTATTATCTATATTACCCACAGTCAAGTAACAGGTAAGTTATTCTCTATATTACCCACAGTCAAGTAGCAGGTATCTTATTATCTATATTACCCACAGTCAAGTAGCAGGTAGGTTATTCTCTATATTATCCACAGTCAAGTAACAGGTAAGTTATTCTCTATATTACCCACAGTCAAGTAGCAGGTATCTTATTATCTATATTACCCACAGTCAAGTAACAGGTAAGTTATTCTCTATGTTACCCACAGTCAAGTAGCAGGTATCTTAATCTCTATATTACCCACAGTCAAGTAGCAGGTACGCTTTTCTTAATTTCCCTTTTACAAATGTGTCATCGACTGAACTGTTTGTCCAGCCTTGAACTGAGAATCATAAACTTAACAAACCTATAGTGTTCCCTCGTTATTGCGCCCTTCAATATAGCGCTAACTCGGTTATAGCACGCGGTAAAGCATGGCTCCCAAAATTTACTAACATTTTCAATAAACTCAAGTTTTCCAATGATACGATGTTTTCCCCCATCTCAAAAAACATTATCAGCTGATCACTTAACACCGGAAATACCAGTCAACAATCCGAACTGAAGTACGCAATTTAATCCTTTTATTATAATATCTGGTAATAAAAAAAAACGTTCCTTGTTTATCTGGACTAATGTTTGCAATGTATTTTTTAATTATATTCAAAATTTCATTCGATAATTATAGTAATGTTTACAATAATTTTGGCGAAATCGTATGCAAAGTGATCAGTAGATCACACAACTCACCGTTATCAACAGCAACCACGGTCAGATTACCACAACTGACGCCTTGAAACAAACTTTAGTTGCCAGGGAATGGATACACATATCATAAATTCTATACCATGACTCACTAAAAGTCATATTTGAGGCAGTTTGACTATTAAATGTCAACATAACGTTTTCATAATCGAAATACATGTTGATTGGTCAAAATCGTTCCATACGTGAAAAAATATCCTGCATACAATCTGTACCAAAGTGCTACGCTTGTGGTTCTCATAATTTTAAGTATATATGGTGGAAGCTGCAACTAAAATAACACGATAGTGGAATATATTATTCCTGATAAAATAATAATTTCAGATACAATTTCTTCTGACCATTGCATCAAATTTCTTTCAAGTGGTATCACTGGGTACGTTGTAACTGAATCACCGGTAGATTGGGAGGAAACGTGTGCACAGCTGATCGCTATTTCCAGCTTAGTTTACGAGAAAATACACACGGTAATCTCTGCATATAAAAAACAATGCCTTTGAGAGCAGGAATTACATTTCAAATGGTAAATCATCATGTCTGGTGATGTTTTATATCAAATTTCATACTTTTATTTACCAAGTTTGTTATAGATCTACCTACCTGCTTATTCACCTGAAGGGATACGATGTGTTGGGTTTTTTAAAGCGCATAT